TATCCTGCGTATGCCCGAGGGAAGTAAAAAATAGCTAATTATTAATATACTAAATTTATAAATAAAAGGTGGTGGCAACGCGGTTATTTAAACTAAAAAACTGCAGGATATAAAAATCCTTGGGTGGTAAAGGTACCTAAAGCTTAATTAAACTATTTTTATAATACTTATTAAAAAAGGTTTTTAAGCCATGCTTAATTAAAACCTTATTTTCTTAATGCAAAGCATGGTATTCCAAGCACTTTATATTTATATAGCTAAGATTAAGCTTATTTTAGGGCTTTATTAAGTCCTAAAATACCTTTAAAAAGGTTAGCTAGCAGTAGGGATTTAGCTTATTAGCCTAATAATTATTATAACACCTATTTCCTGCCCGTACTTCACGCCGGGATAGAAAAATGCCATACTACTTATAATCTAGGAGAATTAGATTATCCCCCGGGTTAGTAATATTAAAATAAAACCCTATTAAGTAGGGCTAAGTAAGAAAAGGCCTACTATAATAGCACTAATTATATTTTTAATAATGCTCCTAGTTAGGCAAAAAAATTTAGCATGTAAGCTTCTAGCAGCAGTGCTTTAGTAAAAAAAGGTTTATAATATAAGCACTTTTTTAGTTTATACATGGCTTATATATTATATTTTATTTAGTTTTTATATAGGACTTGCCACACTAAATATAATAATGCTAATTAAAAAACTATGCCTAGCTATATATATTAACAGTATGGTTACATGGCGCATAGTAAATATTAATAAAATAAAAATCCCTAGGGACCCTTTTATAGCAACAGCCGTAGTAAACCATCCCTTATTTTAGGACCTTTAAATAGGGATTAAAAGGGCGGGGACGCAGTTATTGCTATTAATAGCAAGGTATAATAAAAAACTAGCTAAAAATAATAAAAAAAGAAAAGAATAAAAAGAAGGAAAAGCATATATAATAAAAAATTAGAAAAAAAGCGGTATATTTATATTTAAAAAATAATTTCCTAAGTAAAAATACTAACTATAGTAAGCCTGGCAGCTTTATCCCAACGCGCTAAAACATAACTAAAGGTAATAATTATAATAAATTTAAAGCTATACCCATAATAGGACCTAAAACGCGTTAAAAAATAAAATAAAAAAACGCGTTTATAGTAAAAAACTAACTCCCGGCGTGTTTAAAAGCCCACATAGCACCTTAAATAGCTAAACACACGGTACCCAGGGCTAGTATTAAGGGCAGGCAAGCCTAATCCACCCTTAAAACATATCCTAAAAATAATAAGGCTGGAAAGAAGTATACTACCAGTTTAATTAAATAGGTAAATTTATAGGCCTAGTTTATATAAAAGTTTTTTTTTTACCACCTTTACCCTATATAAACTAGGCCCCCTAAAATAACTTTTACATAATTAAATGTTTACGCCCACTTTACTAGTAAAAAAGGGGTTATAGGAATAATAAAAAAGGTGGCCATAAAAAGCTAATTAAGGGCAAAACACTGCTAGGGGCACTGGACGTAGGCCAAGCGGGGATGGCTCTAGGGATTAAAGTGCCTAAATAAAGCTAAACTAGCCTAAAAAACTGCTAGAGTTAGCAGGGACGGTAGTATAAAAGGATAGAGGGACATGCCTAATTATATAATACTAAGGGCGCTAAATATAGGCCAAGCGGTGCCTAAAGATCTAGGGATTAAAGTGCTTAAATAAAGCTAAACTAGCCTAATTATATATAGCTGGGGGCGCCAGACGTAGGCTAAGTGGTGCCTAAATATTTAGGGATTAAAGCTGGCCACGAAGGGCTAACTAAGGGTAAAATATTATTAAGGGTAAAAGCTGCTGGAGTTAGCGTACAAAGGGAATAACATGCCTAAATATCTAGGGATTAAAGAGCCTAAACAAAGCTAAACTAGGTTAAAAAAACCGCCGGAGTTAGTAAAAATAGTAATATAAAAAAATAAAGGGATTAACATGCCTAAAAATCTAGGGATTAAATAGCTTAAATAAAGCTAAACTAGCCTAAATATTTAGGGATTAAAGTGCCTAAATAAAGCTAAAATAGCCTAAAAGACTGCTGGAGTTAGCGGGAATAGTAATATAAAGGGATAAAGGGACATGCCTAACTATACATTACTGGAGCTAAATATAGGCTAAATAAGGCTAGCTTTAGGGACTAAAGTGCTTAAATATAACTAAACTAGCCTAAATATTAGGGAATTAGAATGCTTAAATAAAGCTAAAATAGCCTAAAAAACCACGGGAGAGCCAGTGAGAGAGGTAGCCACAAAGAAATAACTAGGGGTAAAACACTACTGGGGACGCTGGATATAGGCCAAGTGGTGCATAAAGATCCGGGGATTAGAGTGCCTAAATAATAGCCTAAAAAACCACCAGAGTCAGCGTATAAAGGGAATTAAAGTGCCTAAAAATCCAGGGATTAAAATACCTAAATAATAGCCTAAAAAACCGCTAGAGGCAGCGCATAAAAAAAATTAGCGTGCCTAAAAATCCAAGAATTAAAGTGCCTAAATAATAGCCTAAAAGACTGCCGGAGTTAGCATATAAAGGGAATTAAAGAGCCTAAACGTCCGGGTATTAAAAACCCTAAGCAAAGCCAAGCGGGGTTGCTAGTATAAAAAAATAAAGGGATTAACGTGCCTAAACATCCGGGGATTAAAAACCCTAAGCAAAGCTAAATAGGGTTGCTAGTATAAAAAAATAAAAAAATTAACATGCCTAAACATCCAGGAATTACCCTAAGCAAAGCTAAACAGGGTTGCTAGTACAAAGGGATAAAAAAATTAACATGCTTAAAAATCTAGGGATTAAAAAGCCTAAATAAAGGCAAACTAGCCTAAAAAACTACCAGAGTTAGCAGGGACGGCAGTACAAAAAAATAAAGAAATAAAAAAATTAACATGCCTAAAAATCCGGGGATTAAAAAGCCTAAATAAAGTTAAACTAGCCTAAAAAATAGCTAAATATTAGTAAAAATAGTAATAATAATAAAAAAATTCCCCCTAAAAGCACTAGATATAATGCAGGCGGTGCTGGAGTTAGGGATTAATATAGGGATTAATATACCCTAAACAAAGCTTAAACAGCCCTAAAAATTACTAAAAATAATAAAGGCGGTAGTAATAATAAAGGGATTTAACCTAGCTACACGCAAAGTTTAAATATATTATAAAAATAAAAGGTATAGGTCCCTAAATATAAAAACAAACGTAGACACATGGCCATAAACGCGGAACCACTAAAGGCGGTACCTGGTGGCAGAAGCCAGAAGGCGGAGCGGGAAGGCAGAACCCAATGAGTACAACGGAACATCCGAATATAAGGGAGGGGATCAAGGCGGCTAGACACGTCTGTCGCCGCTTGGACCATAACGAACAAAAGGTTGCTCTGTTTAGGAATGAGAACGTGGCCTGCGAACCGATGGGAACTGGAAGGCGATCGCCGCAGGGTTAGAATCCTTCCGAGTTCTTAGCGACGTTGACAATGTTGATTCTGAATGACGGCTGAGAAGTTCATGCATCATCAAACCTAAATTGCATCTAGCGCTGCGCTAAGGACAAGCCTGAAACAGCGGACCATCGATCCTAGGTACGTAGGTCCCGTCATTTTTAGGGCGCAGGCTTTAATGCCGGGATTCATGCGCGAGGCGCGGAAGGGTAACCTGGCCAAATTAGGAAATAGGGCGTAGCTCTATTTCTCTATAGAATAAGGCCTTTAATAGGAAGGCGTTGTATATCTATAGTAAGAACTAATTACTAATTCTCTAAGTCAGAGTTCTAAGTCGAACTTGGTGTTTTGTGCGTCATGTAACTGGCCGCTGCCTTGGCGCGGGGCTAGTTCGCGCCGAAGTCTCTCTGTTAGGCGGCCTTAGGCCACTATGCGTCATGTGACTGGCCGCCGCCTTGGCGCGGGGCTAGTTCGGCGCCGAAGTTCCTCCGTCAGGCGGCCTTAGGCCATTATGCGTTATGTGACTGGCCGCTGCCTTGGCGCGGGGCTAGTTCGGCGCCGAAGTCTCTTCGTTAGGCGGCCTTAGGCCACTATGTGTTATGTAACTGGCTGCCGCCTTGGCGCGGCCTTTCTTCATCCGGCGGCCTCAGGCCACTAAATTGCGTTATTACAACACTGCGCAATTGCAACACCATAGCAGTGATAATACTGGCCTAATTAGGAAATAGGGCGTAGCTTTATTTCTTTGCAGAATAAGGCCTTTAAGTAGTATTTAAGAATTTAAGAACTAAGGGGGCTGCGCCCCCTTAAACCCCCTAGCTCTGCAAGGCAGATATATATATTTAAGGCAGAGCTACGTACGAAAGGCGGTTAGAAAAGATCATGTGACAGTGTTTTTTTTTAGACCAATCACAGTAATCCCAACGCCGCGAGGTCTAGGCGGTAAGAAGAGGTCATGTGACAGTGTTTTTTTTGGACCAATCACAGCGACCCTGAGCGATTCTGCCGTTTTACATGATCCCTAATAAAGCTCACGTGACCGGGAGCCGGGACCTACGATTTATCGTGCGCGGGCCTCCACTTCGTTCCGGCCTCGCGCAATTATTACGGGCTCAAGAGGATATGCAGAATCGAGGCACATTAAGCGAAGTCCGTGCTCAGGGTTATGCGTGAACTCCCAGTACCATGCTTGAGGGTGACTAATTTGTTGATGTCTCTATCTCTAATGTTATGAGAAACTACTAGCTCCTAATAGGGTAGTCAACTTGATTATTGAATGCCTCTAAATACCTCGTCAGGAGCGCAACATGAGCACCATGTGAATTACAAGATATAAAAAGATGTAGAGACAAAAAACCGAGCTCCGTTCTACACCCTTGCCCAGACGCCATAGCTATAGCAATAACAGAGATCGAGTCAGCACCAAACGAGCCCCATTGGGGCCTTTGAATGTTGGAGGAAGCAAATCCGGAGTTATAAAGATAATGATAAAATCAGGGTATTTGTACAGAAGATAACAAAGTTGAGAAACGGGGTCGATCCCGACCCTCAGTAATATTCCTCCTTCTCCAAGATCATGATCAGTTCGGTCAATTCCTTGCGCAGTGACCTATTTCGGTCCCAGACTTCGACAATCTTCGGTCGGTGACTCATGAAGTAAGCCTTCTTCCAAGAGAGCCCATTGAAGCCCGGAGCGATGCCGTTTGGTAAATTCCTGGCGAGATTGCGAAGGACAAGTGCAGCCTTGTATGCAACACCAACAGGCTCTCCTCGTTCACTGACTGGTGTATCCAAGTAGAACCACTTTCGAACAATACGTTCCTGGAGCACAGCACGTTTCGAGCTAGGTGCTTCGGCATCCGCGGGCCGGTCCTCAGGGAGATGCGACGAGACATGCCCTGCGACCATGGCGGTGTTTGCACTGGGGCCAGAAGAGCGGAATTTCGTGCAGTTGTCCCACTGGCAAGTATGAACGGGCGTCTCGGCGTTCTCCAGGTTATATTGACCCGGTGTTTCGGTTGGTTTCAGGTCCATGTGGTCTGAAAACACGTGGTTGCGCAGGTCGGCCGGCAGCGCGAAGGCGCGCTGACACGTTTTCGCGGGCTTTGTGTTATCCTGCCACTTGCAATAGATGTAAGGGAATCCTTGGAAGGTGTAGGCAGTCTCCAAGGGACGGATTCCCTTAATAATGAATCTGGTTGACGATCCAGGTCCGTTGATTACCTGGGCCTGCGCGTTTGTAAACGTCGTGCTGACGTTCTTAATAAACTCCGCCGCGGGGAGTACACCACCGCCGGGAACCCGAGGATCGGCAAACCGACTTTGATAGGCTTGCCAGAGCGCAATTTGTGTAATCTCACACTCGGCATCCTCGACAAAGCAGCATCGCAGCCAACGGGAACTGCGTTCCGGCTCAGATATGTCCATCAGATCCTTAAGCAATTCTGGAGGTACGCGTGGGATTTCGGTTGGAGCCGGCGCTACCTTCTCCTCCTGCAGGACAGTTTCCCTCTTACTCGGCCGACCCTCGTGCGTCAATAGCGCAAGCATGCGTGGAATGAAGACCGTCGGGAAGTTGAACACTTCCATCATGGTCTCGATGTTCTCGCGAGAAAGAGTGTATTGATACCAAAAGTCAAGCGCGCCACTCAAGATGTCCTTGTCCAAGTCGATCAAAGTGAGCAAGTATAGTTGCTGCAGCGTCTCTTTCGGTATGCTCTCCATTGCCCGGTTTGCTTCCGGTTCGTCTAACTCGGTTGAGAAGTGCGTGAGAGCCCACAGCGCACGAACAACATGGGCGCGATCAGGAGAGTCGAGGCAGTTGAGCAGTGAGATCCAGAGTGGGTCTTCGGGATCAGTCCTCATAAGCCTTGTCACTTCCTCTGCGATGTCAAGCGCGTCATTTTTCAGTTCATTCAGCCGTGGCTGGTCAGGGATATTAAGCATGATTACCAAAAAATCTCTTAGCAGACCACTGGCACAGCTTGCGATATAGAATGCATTGTCCGGTAGAAGGACCATGTTTCTAATGATCAGGGTTGCTTCTTTGATATTCCGAAGGCGATGGTTGAATTCGTGTGTCTCCAGCGAATCGTCGGGCAAGGTGACCGGGATCATCTTGATTTTGTCCAGGATATCTCGAGTGCCGTGTAGCGCGTTGAGTGCGTTGATGCGGTCAGTGGTTTGCCTGAAATCGTACTGGAGCTCCCATTTGACCCCTGTGCAAAGCACTGAGACCTCCATAGCCTTCTCCATCAAGTTGTCCGCAAGTAGAGGAAAGCCCTCGAATTTGAATTTGTCCCCTCGCTGATTTGATATTTGGACAAGGTGATATAGCGCGAAGTCGACTTCATCCGGAATGCCTGATTGCAAGCCGTAGTGGGCACGTTTATAGATATGATCCGCTAGGTTGGGGGTTAGCTGTTGCTGAAAAAGTGGAATGTGCAGGGAAACGAGGGCATGAGCTAGTCAGCACACGTACACTTCGGGACATCGATAAACCTCAGACCAAAGTAAGGGTCATAGTAGTCTGCTTGTCTCGTTGTCTTGCCTCTATCATAAACACTGCTAAAGAGACTCGGGCGGTTGCCGGGCGTCCAGACATCGCGCGTGGACATGGGGACTTTATGCTCCTTGGGTTCCCAGCTCTCGGGCGCAACTTGAGGACTACCCGGATGCGCAGGCGACATTGAATGTGCCTGAGTGACATGCGTCGGTTGCGGGGATTGGTTTCCGTGCATATGTGAGCGGCGTGCTGGTGTGGTGTCAGGGATAAAGGGCTGGTTGACCTTGGGAGCTTGCCGCAGGCCCTCTGAAACACATCGAGACATTAGTATACTGACCAAAAATGAGAATATTCTAGAAAGAGTCGCTCACGTCGTAGGGATGTTCGAGGTGTTTGAACACTCATTTTGGCTCAATCTAGGGCCAGGCAATTCCAAAGGTTTGTCTGCGTTGATCTAATTTCCCCAAGGCTGTTTTCTCCTCGTCGCGTTTATCCCGAGCACCCAGGGATTAAGAAACTGATTCTTTTATTTGTTGCACCGCGAAATCCTTGAAATCCGGTCGTATTCCGCCGCCTTAGGGCTGGTTGTTGATGATCGCCCTGCAATGGCACGCGTAAAACTCGTTTTGTAATCGGTCGTTTTCAATGAGTCAAACGGCGTTTCCGGGCGTCACTTCGAGGTTTATATCACGTTTGGTGTCTCCAAGGCAATGGTGTGTCTGGTAGGGCCGATAAGATCGCCCGCGAATGGTGAACGAGCGCGGCGCGGTCCCAAGCTATCGCAAGTAAAGGACGAGGTTGCGATTCGGGTCGATGTGACCGGAGAGGGTAAAACAACCGAAGATTGACGGACGATCACGGGCGCAAAGAAAATTGCTCGTTAGCGACAGTAACAATATGGAGTGCTGGTGCAGTTGTCTGATTGCGGGCAAGCAGCTTGACCCTGCGATCGATCGGACCTGGCGTCTTCCAGGCAAAAAGTCCGCGCTGCTACGGGCTCGGCCTCAGCCTCAGGCGCGTCCCGGATTATCTGTACTGCCGGAGTCTGCAGTATGTCTGAGGCATATTTTGCCTGAGGCACTAAGGCATTAACCTCTACAATAGGCAATTAATACGAAGTATAGTATAAGATCGTTTCTCAGTGTGTACAAAATTATTCCTGAGATGTCCCCGGAAACCTGCGGCTCACAGCATCTACAGTGCAACTATAGCAGGTTGTCCACCCGTTGGTCCAGGTCACCTGGCCGGATGGATTCGACCTGGTCGTTCCGGGATGCACCTTACAACAAACCATCCATCTCAAAGCATTCTCTGATCAGCTAGCTTTATCAATCACAGTTATCTCCGCTAATGTCTTATCTCTCTAATGTTTCAGTCTACTCACGCCCCGCAGTCCCATCAACCCACGACGCTCGCTCGTTTCCAGCTCTCCAAGTTCTCCTACACCACCACGTCCATCAACCATAGAGCGCCATTGAACTGGAATCATGTCATTGGAGACGGCACTGTTATCGGCATCTTTGAGAGATATGCGGCTCTCTCTTCTGCGAGAGTTCTGTTTAGAGTTGTCCGCAATGACCGAGAGACGCTGGTAAGTATGGAGTTGAGATCTACTCGAAGATATATATTTGCTAAATTTACTCAACAGGAAGAAGTAGGCATAACTGACCTCGTAAAAGAATTCGAGGGCCAGTTCCGCTCGTGGCAAGACGGCTCAAGACATGCAGCATTTGCTGTAGTCGTAAAACTTCCGTGCCTTGCTGTCAAATACCCTCAAGGGCCCGGATACGTCGGTTCAACCTTGTGCTTCAAATTAATCCACCACTCACAGTATTCTAGGTTCGACGTTTCCAAGTCAAGTTCTCCTCTGACCGAGACTTCTACTCAGCACTGGCTATATTGAGCGAGATCAACTGTCCCTTTTCGGAGTCGAATGTTAGTTCTGCACGGCCCATGAGCAGAACAACCTCGTCACTCACGAACCTGGGGCATATCGGTCCCGGTTTAGGTTCGCGGCATTTCCCCTCTACTGCAACCGAGACCCCTACGTTGAATCGCAGTACGCAACTGTCCTACAGGCCAACTACTGCGTCTAGCACCATCGCAAACTCCCCTCCAGGTAAGCGGTCCAGACACATATGGGGAAGAGGGCTCAAACTAAGTATACACAAGACCCTGATACAGTGTTTCCATATTCTTCCTTCTCTTATACCACACCGGATGACTCAAGCCGCCGAATCAGCAGCAGCACACTGGGCAGCACTCGCAGGTCTCCCTTCGAGCCGACGTTTCCGACAACCATTGTTCAACCTTCAACAACAGACACGAATCCATTCAAGAGACCAAGCACTACCACAGCAAACTTCAGCTTAGAGTTAGAAGATATACCACGGTTGAGCCCCAGCCGAGACACATACAGATGCAATCGCCCAAGCACATCCACGGGTCTCAATGAGCTAGACTTACCCCCAAAGAGAGTGCTACCTTTCTCCAATAGAGCCGCCAAAAGAAGTCGTCTGACGCCGAAGGCAGCAAAGAAAGCTTCTACTAACCAGTGCGCAAGGGACCCAGCAACCAATGACATCTCATCCTCACCTACTAAGTCCACGAGAAAATTACCGGCACCACGAACCACGACAAGCACGAAAGCCAAAGTAGGGACCCAGAAAACCCAATTTACACTCTCCCCAAAACCGCTCGAAGATCTCCCCCAGAGCCTCAACAAAACGGTTGCTATAAATACAGAGAAAACAACCGTTCCGCCCAAAGCCCTCTTTGGACAGCTTCCTCTTGCTACGCCAGATAACCTAGCGAAGTACACGTTAGAGCCCACCGAAGAGCGCATTGCATGTTTACAAAGCTGGCTCTGTGCGCACCTTGAAGATCCCAATTTTTCCCAACTCTGCGAAGATATTGAAGGTGTTGCTCAGCGGTTCTACCTGGGAAGGTAGTTCGTTGTGTAGCTGCGAACTATGCAAGAGAATACGGTGTAGTAAGTAGGCTATATACGTATGTCTCCTCTTCTCGGTCTTTCATCTCTTGCTTGCTTCTTGTACTTAGGATTACTTGATTTTATTATTTGTGGCATTGCATGTTTGCTATCCTGACAGAGACATTGCTCGTCTAAGCGTAAGCGTTCTCTTCGTTTGTTGTTACCCATTTGATTCATTCGAGCACCATATGGAAGACAAAAACTAGATATATGATTGAGATGAATTGTACCAATGCTCAGTTTATGAAGAGATATACTCGTACTTGAATTGAGTGGTGAAATGATAGAATAAAGTAAGCAGTATACTATTGGCTGTATTAGTGACACAGCTCAAACATGCCGGAAGGTAATCGTGATAACAGCTAGAATACATACTTCGGCGCCAAACCGAAGTTGGAGGAAACAATAAAAGAGGAGATTGGTTTCTGTTTGATTTCAGCAACTCCGAAATAGAAGGGATGTTTCATAGAAATTGGAAAAGAAACAGCAATTGCCAGGGTCCGGCAGTGCTGTAATGAAGGCAAAAGATATTGGCAGGCAGAAGCCTACCGAGATCGACGGTAAATAAAACCGGCAAAGACATTGAGGTATCCCTCCTTCGTCAGCAAGGTGAAATCGACGACTATGCGGCCCTGCGGCGGAGCAGCCGAGCCAAGGGTTGGTGAGACAGCAGTTATGTTATGGTTCTCCGTTGATGGGATGGCGGAGGGCGGCGGGGGCGACACATTTGCCGCTACTGAGCCCTCGGCACCGACAGCAAGATCCGCCAGGTGCTGGAGGGAGCGCTGTTCATTCGGACCGACAACAGGGGGCGGTGCAGACCCGAGTTTGCTAAGGTTCGGATCATGAAGCTGAGTCTCTTGTGATTTAGTGCGTCTCCATTCGAGGAAGAGACGGATCTTGGCATCCCAACTCTCGGTGTGGAAGATGTCGCCGAACTCTGAAGATTGCAATGCGCGTTTTTCGCGGTGGTCGAGGATGTCTTCAACCCTGCTCAGAGCGTCCCAACATTCATTCGAGTACTCCGGAAGAACAGATGCTTCCAGAAGGGTCATTGTTGCCAGAGCCAGGCTGTGAAGGTCGAAGGGAGTTGTTTGGCGAGATTCCAAGGTCGCCCTGTGTAGCTCATTGATGACCTCTTCAGCGCTGAAGATAATCTCGTAAGGGCTGTAAACAAAGATGTGTCGTTTGATTAGAAGTCGCGTCGTCCAGTAAAGTTGATTCTGCAAACTCTCAATGAAGCCGTGAGAAGAGCCATCTTCGGATGCCCCTCGGAAATCATCAAGGCCAGAAAGCCGTTCTAGCGCGGCTGCCAGATTGGCCGAGATCACCCGCCCAATGCCGGTGTTGGACTGGCAGATGTTAGGCTCGGCTGCAGCTAAAGTGATGATTTCACTCAGAAAGCTTGAGTATGCTATACATAAGTTAGCATGTGTCAAGAACAAAGAGGATTAAATATGCACGTACAGGCAATTCCTGCCGCTACAGGACCAACAATTCTTTCATCTTCCCGACCACCTATCTCATGCGTTCCGAGGACGCTGGTGTCAGCGACACTGACAGCATACCAGCGTGTCAATATCGCCAAAGATACCCAACTTCGCCTGGCGAGGTTCGCTTCCGAGTCAAGGTCAGGATCCGAAATTCGATTAGCTTTCAACTGACCCAGGTTCTTCGCCAGATCCGAACCGAGCTTGGTGGCAGATTGGATCAGTGTCTGCTTCGGGATACCATCCTTCAGCACGAAATTGTCAGGTCCGCGTGAATCGCAGTCGAGGATCATAAGGAGGATACTCTGCAGCCATATCAAGTTTACCCCTGTCGATCGTACTAGAGCTGGTTGTCGAGTATAGTATAATAGAAGGTCTTGCGCGTTGTCATATGATGTAACCCTCTCGAAAGTGCCGGCCAAGCGATCGACGTCGACGCGCGTCAAAGTATACAGACTGTAGAGGAAGATCTCCTGCACTTCGCGGCTGCATTGATGAAGGAGCCCCAGTAGTCGATCCTTTGTGTTTGGAAGTATCGGAAGGATTGGGTGAACCTTCTCGTAATAGCTATTTGCAGTCAGAAGCCGAGCACCTTTTCGGTATATGAGGGCAAGCTTACACATTGAGAGCACTGTCGTCTACATTCAACGGCGTCATATCTTCCTCGTGTTTTAGCGTATCGGGAATATCCAAACCAGCAGGAAGATCGCCATCGTTGCCCGCCCAGAAAAGGTTTCCAGGTTTTGGCGCCGAGCCGGCGACGACCGTAGGATTGAAAGGGTCTGTAGAGTTCTCGCCCGCATCTAGCAAAGTCAGTAACACTGGGACCATGCGAGATGGAGGCATTGAAGGCTGACCGAACGCATTCTGAGGCCGCGAGTTGAATGGCGGTTGGGCAATAGAGGAGCTCGGCAGCCCGTCAAACACAGAATATGTCCTCTTCCGACCGATAGCCCCGGTATCCATTGGCGACGAAAAATCTTGGTACGCTCGGGGCGACGGTGCTTCGTTCATGGGCTGGTACGGCATGTCGGGGTGAACCATAGCAGGCTGCATCTGGCTTTCAAGGGTATGTAAACGCTCCGCAAGTTCCTTGATGTATCTATATCTCCGTGTAAGCGCAATAATCGTTTTCGGGACAACCTTCGCCTTACCCTTTACTCGGACCACGCTTCATGGGCACACGACTAAATTGGCAGACGACACCCAGCCGGCGGCAGTTCGAACATGTTTCGACCCCGGATTCGGAGCTCGCATCGCAGCGGACCTGTGTGAAAAATTATGTTAGCTTATAAACGTTCTGTCGCGTCGAGAAAGCAAGAAAAACAATGGTGAAGGCACACACCTTTTTGCGCCTGCACTCATCGCACGCTCTGGAAATCTTGGTCCGTTTCCTTCTAGCACTCTGATCCCCATAGCTGAGATCGTGATTCGGATCAACGCCCACCTGTTGGCTCGGCGGGAACGGAAGCATGTGCTGCTGCTGATGTTGATCCGGAGAGGGCGGACGGCCGATGTCAGCGCCCGCGGCGTTGGACGAGCCCAGGACCATCGATTGACCGTGGTGGACGCCATTACTCGAGCCGTCATTGATGCCAGGGCCCGAGTTTTCGCGCGAAAGCTCCGCGGACAAGAGCTCGTCGGTGGTTAACTGACGGTTTGTGTAGTACTGCATGGTACCCTGACCCATCTGCGCCGCATTGGGCGACGGATAGGAGGGCGCCGGAGGCATATCAGAATGCTCGCGGGAATTCATTTAGGCTAGATGCGACAGAAAGACGCGTACGGGATGGTGGTTGATGGTGGAGCGAGGCTCCGGATGATGGAAGGGAGTTGGAAGGACGGCAGAGACGCGAGGCCAGCAGGCAAGGTTTTACAGGCTAAAAATTACTTGGGCGGGGGGCATTTTGAAGGGGCTAGCGCCGAGTGCCCTCGGCGATGAGAGTAGAACACAGCAAACATGGCCGCGCGACTTGAAGCAGGAATCCAGAGGAGTTGACTTGGATCTGTCGATGTCTCGGACAGCGATATAGTTCTCTTGGATGATCGCGGAGGCCCGGCTTTTTGTTTCTGCGTCCAGCGGCGGATTAATACTATTTCCTGCCCACCACCACCCTCCCGGATTATTATCAGATGTCGGTTCATACATTCTTCACACGAGGTTCATGGATTCTCTGTGAGGATTGATGTTAAATTGCCGCGATGTGCTTGGCTTTGGCTCCTGGCTTTGTGCGTGAAGCTTTTGATGCAATCATACAGTTTCCTGATTGAGACAATCGCAATGCACTGGAAATGACGTGCGCATCAGCCTCAGATAACCCAACCACTGGACCTGCCCAGCAGAGGACTCGAGTGATGATTGTCAAAAGAGCCTCATCATAAGCAACGAGAAGAATCGAGGCTGCTGGCAGCCAATAATAGACCCCATCTGAAAGGCCTTCCATTGTCCTTGTCCGTTCGAAAGCCCAGTCTCGCAGGGATGCACGGAGGGCTTTCTCAGTAATACACTCGGCGAAGCGAAAAGAAACATGATCACAGGTACACGTCTTCTGCATCCATTCTACCAATCTTGACTTTGAAATGGCTCCTCGGTCTTTAACACTGTCTTAACATACCATCGACTCGCGCTGAAAGCGATGCTATAACATGCTAGCTAGACTAAGATCGCTACCGCGTCAACCTGGTTTGTCTGGACGAACAATCTAGCGGCGAGCTACAGCTAAGCCCTTTGACCCCTATTGCCCAGTATCTTGTACTCCGTATCTTAGAGACCTGAAGCTGAACGGTCATCAGGATGCTTGCAGAGTGCATTTGGATATGTATGCTTGATAAAAATGACTAAGCACAAGACGGGCGTGTGGTTTAGGGGTATAACGCTCCATTCGCATTGGAGAGGTCCCGGGTTCGATTCCCGGCGTGTCCACATTTTTTCCAATTTTTTTGACTTCCTTTATTTTCTTTCTGGAAATAGTGCGCTATGGATGACAGTGGCAGCCGAACAAATGTCAATCTCGGGGCTAATCTACGAATTGTGTTGCATGGCAATGGTCGCTCTGAATGAGGATCACAGCACCGAGCCTCTTGGCTTGTTGCTCTTCCTCACATTGGCGGACTGCATGAGACCTTCTCCAGAGCGGCGCAGACGTTTTGCAGGCATGATCCAGCAGACTCCAATAACAGTGTTGGCAATGGTCGGGGCCCCTGCATCGCGCCTCACCTAGTCCAGCTTCCAAGGCCACTCACTGCCCTAGCCTGAACTGCGAGTTGTTGGGGCGCTATTATCAGACAAGGACCCCGCGGATAGTCCTGAATCGAACTGCCGGAAACTTCTTTGTTCCACACACATAGCCTTGTCTTCATCGTCATAATCGCCTCAACCGTCTCACACCATGTCCATACCTGAAGAGTGCACTGTGCTTGTGGTTGGCGGCGGACCAGCAGGGTCGTATGCCGCGTCTGTACTTGCCCGGGAGGGCATAGACACTGTTCTGCTGGAGGCAGAAGTATTTCCTCGGTATGAGCCCGTCCACTACACTGGTTAGCCTGGTTTGAGAGGCTAAAATCTTTATTCCATAGGTACCATATAGGGGAGAGCCTCTTGCCCTCTGTCCGCTACTACCTTGACTTCATCGATCTGTATGATAAGTTCAACAGCCACGGATTTTTACGCAAGGTGATACACATCTCTTTTAATACCGTTTTCACTTGAAACTGATCGTGTGACCCATACAGACAGGAGCCACTTTCAAGCTCAACTCTCGAAAGCCGGGATGTATGTGAAAAGAATACGCAACTACCGGACCGTGCTGATGCTCGTCAGACACGGACTTCCTAGCTGCGAATGGAGCTGGCAACCATAGCTGGAACGTTGTCCGCTCTGAAGCCGATGATATTATCTTCAAGCATGCGCGCAAGAGCGGTGCAAAGGTCGTTGACGGTGTGAAGGTAAAGGAAATCGACTTTGACCCCGTAAGTGGTCGGCCAGTCTCTGCCTCGTGGACACGGAGGGATGGTAGTGCGACTGGCCTAGGCAGAACTCGCTTTAGGTACCTGGTCGACGCCTCCGGACGGGCGGGGTTGGTAAGCACCAAGTATATGAAGAATCGAGTTTATAACCCGGGATTGCGAAGTATAGCTATCTGGGGCTATTGGGCCGGAGCCAAATCTTATGGGCCTGGAGTGGGGGATCCATTTGCCGAGGCACTCGAGGGTATGCGAAACCTCAAGATCTTGAGATTGACCTCATCTAACAAGCATAGACGGAAGCGGCTGGGTCTGGTATTTCCCTCTGCACGACGGAACATGGTCTGTAGGAATCGCCATAAAGCAAGACCGCGTCGGACCCAAGAAAAAGGCATGTAAGTCCACCTCGACGCTGGACTTTTACCTCAAAACGCTCGAGGAAACACCGATCGTTGCGGACCTTCTCCACGGTGGGAAACTGCAATCAGACAAACTGCGAACAGCATCAGACTGGTCCTACAGTGCATCCGAATACGCCGTCCCCTATCTGCGCATCGCTGGCGACGCGGGGTGCTTTATCGACCCTCTCTTCTCATCCGGCGTTCACCTTGCCATGAACGGCGGGCTTTCTGCGGCGCTGACAATCTGCGCATCGCTCCGAGGCCATTGTGCAGAAAAAGCTGCAATCGAATGGCACAACCAGAAAATTACAGAAGGGTATACGCGGTTTCTTATGATTGTCAAGAGCTCGCTGGATCAAGTTCATGGACGCGATGAACATATACTGAACGACATCGAGGAGCCGGAGGGATTCGATATTGCCTTTGAACATTTCAAGCCAAGTACGCACATCCTCACCCACTTTCCCAACTGCACCCGTCCGGTGGCCCAGGGCTGACTGAGGACAATGGCAAACCAGTCATCCAAGGAACCGTAGATGCCGGTGGCAAGCTGAGTACAGCAGACATCGCCAAATCCGTCGATTTCTGCGTCCGGGTGCTCAAGAAGGCTGAAGGGGAATATCAGGCGGACTCACGCGGACACGCAGGCTCGGGCTTCCATTTGGATAAGGATGGAGCCGAAAATGATGGTGATGATATCATGATAAAAGTTGCGCGCCTTAATCGAGTGGTGTCGTTCAGTGAGGACTTCACAGCGGATGTAATCAATGGCATGGCGCCCAATATGTGTCGTGGTGAGCTAGGACTTGTCCCGGTTGCTCTCCGTGATTAGAGAGATAGATGTCTCCCTCGCAGCTAATTGTAAGAAGATGACCAGAACTTTCACTGAACTAGCGGCTGATTCGATAGCGATCACAATGGGTTCGAAGTCACTGTATAGCTTGTAGTGAGCTGCGGTACTGGTGAGATTGTGGCGAAACAGTCTTGGGCAAGGTTAAGGGCTTCAGAAACATTAGAAGTATAGCTAGGCGAATACGACAAAACGCCACTCGCGAGTATATCAACCCTTGTTCTGGTGTAGCCCGCCGTCACCGAGCACTCCAGAGCAGCTTGATGAGTCTAGAGACTCGAAGCGGGAAGGACAACCATTGCCTCTTGCAAGGGCTACGTCTCAAGGAAGACAGGGGAAATCTTACGGACTAGTTCGAGTGAGATTTGCCGTCGGCGACAGAAGTCAAATGGTTTAGCATGCTCGGGAATTCTGGGCACGCCGACACACAAAACGATCTAGATTTGCAGAGAATGTCGGCGATGGCGAGGAATAGGAAAATGCAGTCGGTGTCAGCATTCGCGCAGCGGACATATTCCGTGGGCTAGGAATAGGATACACCGGTGTGTCCGCCGTCGACTGAAACACCGCTAGCTTGCTTCACCGGTGGACCGATTTAATACCAGGCGTTCAATGATGACCTTTCCTGCTTGAAAAGTCAAGTGATTTAGAAGACAAGTTCTTGTTGACCACCGGCAAATCCAAGTATAGGGCGCAGCCCCCTAGCTTGACCATCGGAAATTATCATCGGTGGTCGGAGTACCACGGTCAAGGAAACAAGAACATTGAATAGCGAGGCATAGCTGCATAGCGTCCTTCGAAGCGGGACTGTCTGAGATCCTGGGGAAGCTATCGAGGCCTGCGACGAAGATCCCCCGGAAGAGAGAACTTGCCTGCAGTAGTAGTAGAGTTGGTGTATTATTTGTTACCAAGAACCCGTGGAGTAGATACCTTGAATAAAGATACGCAAGTCGCCGTATCTCTATGAACTCGAGAATATTTTGCTCGCCGTATCGTCCATCCACTACTCCGTATACGCTTTTTTTTTGACACTGAGCATTGATTTTGTATTCCGCAAAACCCTGTCGCAGATCGATAGAGGCTGAATACGCTGTCGCTCCCGGCACTGGCCAGGTGAGTAGTGCCTGTCCCCGAGCTGAACCGCACAGGACGAGACCTGAATGTAGTTCGCATGATTGAAATTCCCCGAGCGAACCCGACATGTGTCTTGGGAAGGCTAGGATTGGTGGAGGTTCAGTCTGCCCCATGACCGACCGCGAGAGTCGAAGCGCTGCAGACGCACCGATACAGTAGCTGTGACGCCATCCTGCAGGCCCAGCGCTCCGTTTCCTTACCACCGAGAATCTAATCGGACGATGATTAAATTTCGGGGCCGACGAATAATCGAGGACGTAAAAGCCTTGCTTTGTGAGTCATTGACGTTGCTTTTGCTGATCAATCGGACGAAGTCATGATCTTTTCTATGGCAGAGAAAAGTAATTCAAGGACTCGAGCGTTGTTTCGATCTGCGCGGGATGGTATCTCGAGCAGAAACCCCATTCACTAGTAACTTCGGTAAATAGAACGCCGCACTAGTCACGTACAAGTACTACTTAGAAAGGCGTTTTATTTTTCTGCACAGTCTAGGGATGCCACAGCAAATGCGAGCTGAGGCAGAGGCGTGCCCTGGCCAGCTGCACATTTTGGTGTCACACCCAGAGCTCGTCAGCAAACGAATGAGTGGCCGAAAATGCAGGATCGGTCTGCATGGAAGATCGAAAGGGCATTCTAGAAGGATTGTCGGTAGGGATGTGGCAAGTTTGGGACCGTGAAGTATGACCGACGAGCAAATAGTAGTGGATGAAGGCCCGAATGACGGGTCATTGGCGAATCTTGAGGCCCTCCACGCCGAAGTTCGAACAAGACGAAATCGAATTTCTCGATAAATGCCCCTGTCCTATATCAGACAACGTTGCGGTAGCCGGCCCGGTTTGCCCCAGAGTCAGACCCATCAACCAGACTTCAACGGTCCGACCCAGCCTTTTTACGGAGACAGAAGAGAAGCGCCGCCACTTGTGAGCCCTTGTCTGGGTCGTGAGCCCTAAGGCTAAGGCACAAGGAACAGCGAACCACAAACCGGTTGCTCGAGACATAGGTGGAAAATCGGTGATTCCTTCCAGTGCCCAGAGAATCTCATGCGCGCGTCGGTAGATTTGCCCAAGGAATCATGGTCTGAGTCTTACAGCCGTACTGGATCGGTATGGTACCTAATGTGGCTATGGCTCGAGACCTTCACAGTAGCGCCGATCCAGGGGCTCAGAAGGCAACCGATCCGTAGGTAGGACCTAGACTAGACGAGCTGCAACAAAAGAGGACGTCAGGACTCAGGACGCACAGGAAGCCGGAGATGGACAGAGTCTTACGTACCTTGAATGATCTGTGGGCTTGGTATAGAGCAGCACGAGGTCCCATAATTTCGATGAACAGCTTGGATGTGGAGCAGGGATGAAATATGGATCAGCAAGCAGGCTGTTCTTACATGTTCTGACAGAGAATGACGCTCTGAATGACGAGAGCTGCTGGCTGAGCGAGGAAGACGGGATTTTGATGAAGGAGAGATGTATCCTCAGTTCACCTGCGGAGGATATGGAGGACAGCGGCCCTTGAGCGTCTCGCTAACTCTCCAGCCATGTTTCCCTTGTTCCATGGCTTATTATACCGTCTATCTCTATTCAACAATAACCAAACAATCACCATTCAGATGAGGCTGTCAATTACGGTCAATACGTGTCTCATACAGCCCTCCGGCCACGCACAGGCGCCAGCAACGCCACTCCACTCGGGCTAGCAGTGCGACTACTTCTGCGCTGCCTCGCCCGCTCTCCATCCTCCCTCCTCCTTCTCTCCTCTTTTCTCATGGTTTCGTTCGCGTTTCTGCGTCGATATCGAGCGTTTTCTCCCTCTATCTTGGCCGCCACAGCCGGTACTTGGTGTCCTGTCTCACGGCCGGCGCCAAACGGTGCGTAGGCTTTGGCCCTTCTCCTGCAATTGATCTCTTTTCCTTCTGCTTGCCTTTGCTGCAGCCTTCTTGGCGTTTTTTTCGTTCTCCCCAGACCGACTGTCCCTCCCGTTCCTGGTACCTGGGATCGACTGCGCGCGCGCTCCTACGCAATTGACCCCCCCACCAACGATCGAGTACGTCGCTCGGAACACCAGTCGCGATCTGGCCCCTTTACAGGTTAAACGGCGTTTGTGATCTGGCTGGTGCATTGGGATATTCGTTGAAGATACCCCTGCTTTCTTGGAGTTCCTCTTTGATTCCTAGACGGACCGCAACACTTATACCCTCGATCCTTGCCTTGAAGGCCATTTCTATATCCATTTCGAAGCACTCCCCCGCTGGGATCGCTGCTGTCGCACAAAAGAAACGATATCAATAAGATTATACGGAAAACTCAACCCAGAGCGACGGTGTGACTGTGACCTCATACCTGCTCTCTACAAACATTAGATTCCCCTCAAACCTCGCCTTTATATCTACCGTCGCGAATCGTCGCATGTGCCAATCCCAGTAACCGCGGCGATGCTTATTGATGGCGAGAAGTGGGCTTGTGAAGCTTGCGTCCGGGGTCACCGTGTTAGCAGCTGTCATCACAATGGTATGTCGCTTGATTGCCCGGAAATTCGACTGCCGCAACTGACTCAGTTCACAGACCGCCCCTTGACCCATATCAACAAAAAAGGCCGTCCAGTCTCTCAATGTCCTCACTGTCGCGGCCTACGCAAGTCACGGACAACCCACACAAAGTGCGAGTGTGGTGACAAGAAGAAGAACAGCCACAAGAATGATCTAGATCCCCATACTACTGAGAAGCGGGATCTGAAGCGTGAGCATGATAGTTACGGCATCCTGGTTCCTTGTTTCTGATATGAATATTACAGAGGACTCTCGTCCAAAATGTGGCTGCATTCATGGACAGCGCTGTACCTGTGCGCTTAAAAAGGAACCCCATCTGGATACCGTACCGGAGACTAGTGTGCCACCACCTGCTGCTCCTCCGACAGAACAACCTAGGAAACCTCAATTGACGTCGACCAAGTCAGAAAGCACGCTCACCGTATTCCGCGATGGTCACCATAAGCCCGCTCATAAACACAATGACATGGCTCACAAATGCGGTCTGCCCTACACGATCCCGCGGTCTCACACTATTCATTCGACGCCTGAAACTGCCCGTCGGTCAGTGGATCATTTGCCCTTGGCTCAACCTTCGTTCATGGGCGAATCGATTGCGACCCAAACCCCAGAACAACCACGCAGTAGTATCTATGGGTTTCATCGACGGGTCAAGTCCGAGCATGGATCTCCAGAAAATGTCCCCGTGGTTCCCCCCGGAGATGTCCCAACATCTGTCCCCCCACTCGACCTCTCGTCGCTATTTTCTCATTCTCAGCCAATGGAGGATCCCAACATTGCTGGCGTTCCTGCCCCGATTCCCATGACCATGCCGAAAACACTAGACTCGATTGAAACGAGTGGGCTCCCTTTCTCGTTCTCGTTGCCGTTTTCCACTCTTCCAGCGACAAATACTTCTCCTGTCAGCGGCCTGCAGTTCCAAGATCCATACCAGGAGCCCTTTTTTACCGCCCCGGAAAATGATATGGCGTTCTGCTCTGCATTCAATGCCCCGCCAGTTGATTGGTCAAGTGTCCCGTTGTCTTCGGCGATGCCGAATACAAGCACGCAACCTCCTTCATACGCTAGCTTCGACTACGGCTCTATGGGCCCAGGAATTCCAGCGCCGTCATCGTCAGGTGATATTTCTGAATTAGAAGAATTTGCGCCCCTTCCTCACTTGGGAGGTCCCGGCAATGACCCGCATGATCTCAACAGTGTGAGCGAAGGTTCGGATATTGATCATTACCGAATCAGCTCTGCCTCGTCGTTCATCGGCCTTCCCCAGGCGCAGATGTTGGCGTCCAGCAACTTGGAATCCATCACGGTTGACGACTTCCTCCAATCCGCCAACGAATCAACCGCCATGCTAGAGCAACACTTGCAGGTTAACATGGGCATGGAACCTAAAGCCCTTCCCCAAGGTGTATATGCTATGCCGGATCCCCAAACATTCGACAAATCTATGATGAATCCGGACACCGCTCTGCCCATGTCAACTGCCGCAGCAGAGCCGCTCTGGCCTACAACGCTGTTTGATCCCAACGCTGCGCCCTTAGATGAGAGCAATTTCTTTCCACCGCCATGGGTACAATGAGGACAGCACGCACTCTGGGAAATCAATTTCTCAGAGGCTGCGGTTTATTTGTGCACCTTACCACCACCTCCACACCGTCTGTGACATAATCAGTCTTCACGACCCTGATGAGAGATGATGATAGATGCCTGATTTTCGCCTTTTGTTCTTTAGCCCAATTCGAGTGACATCATACTACAGTATAAGATCAATTTACAAACAGACGTTCTTTTATTTCTCCAATTTCTGTCTATCCACCCCTGTATTTCCTGTCTTAGCAGTTTATGCCGGGAGGACTCCCTTGGAATGCTGCGTTGTACATAGAGCCCTTAGATGTCATTGTATAGATTTCTTTTTCTGACTCCTATGTGATCCCATTGAGTAGAGGCTGCATTGAATATCCACAGATGATTCGCGTCTCTGACGGTGTGACAACACAAAAATGCAGCGGTGAACATGCTGTGTGTGCAGGTGACTCGAACTCCCTCCTAGTCTTGCCTGGATCAAGATGACCAACCTACCATGACTGAAGGTATCAATTCCTCAGGTATCAAGCAGAACAGCGAATCAAGATGACCTGATTAATATTACATGTTTACAGTCTCGTAATTTATGGCGAAATGTGATGGATCACCCCCTCATGCCGATCCACGCAAGGGATGAAAGACAAGCTTCGCCTGGCCCAAGGCTTGTCTTGACTTGGCACTCCCCCGTTTCTTTTTTACCCCCTGCAGGCCCCAAAATTCGGAATTGTGGGTGCTCATTGGGAGAGGCCGAGGGGGTCAGGGTTACACTTACGCAATACGCGTCGGCGCATATTCAAGGCCTATGGAGTACGTGCCGTTCTTCCGGGTTATCTAATCGCCACCTAGGTGAGTACAGGGATCAAAGAGATACACTCACAATGAAGTAACGAGACCCTTTGTGCTTCGCTTCGATAATGGCTTTTACTCCAGAAGCACGGGGCAGCGAACGCTCAACCCAGCGAACGGTTCAACCATCATCTGCTCATAAATTAGGTCCGTACCGGTAGATCATTTTGTGGCGAATGCTGGGCCACCGCTGCACCTTGGGACGAACGATTTGCTTTACTCCGTTGAAAGCACGGCTTTGCTGGAAAATTAGGAGTCTAGAACTGGACCACTTACTCAATGCGGATGGTCTGCCGGTCAACGTCAGTCGAGCAAGACAACGGTGGCGGCATAGAGGTCGTTAGATCTACGTAGCGGAGTAAGGAGTATACACGTAATTAGGAGCTCAGGACCTGTAATATCCTCCCGCTGATACATGAGGCTCCTGGATACAACTACAGATCATTTGGCGTGGCATGGAGGACAAGAGATTGAATATGTGATAGTATGGATGATTATCTCTGAGATTGCTTTGAATTGGGGTATATACACAGAGAAGAGATGCACTATATCCAGACAATATCCAGACAATGCGTCCAAGCTTCCAACCGTTTGCGGCTCTATATAGTAGTCATCATGATGAGAACGGTGCCACTCATACACCTTTTTTTATTTGTACTTCGCCATGAACTCGGAATGGAATTTGACGATACGCTCCACCCAGTCCGTGCCTGGCGCGAGGAAGGTGGTACGGAAGTGGAGCGTGTTCTCCTTCTGACCGAAGCCGGAGCCAGGGACGACGCAAACACCAGTGGCGTCGAGGAGAGCAAGGCAGTAGAATTCGTCTGCGGCGCGGTTCTCCGCGGCAGCGGCTTCAATAGCCTTGGGGGGTAGTGTGATAGTGGGGAAGAGGTACATAGCGCCCTGGTAAAGTCAGTCATTCCGTTCGATTGTTTTAGAAAAGAAAGCACGTACCTGAGGCTCTTGACACTCGACACCCTCCATCTTCTGGAAGGCCTCATACAGGGCAAAGGCGCGCTGGCGCAGTCCTTCCCTAATGCCGTTGTACTCCTTCTGGTACAGCTCATAGCTGGGCTCGCCCTCCTTGGGAGGGTTGACCATCAGTTCAACCAGACACTGTCCGATAACGGGAGGGCAGAGCATGATACTGATGAACTTGTAGACCTGGGCGGCAACTAAGGGATCGAAGCCGACCAACTCGAAGTAACCGCCACGGTGGCCGCACTCACCGACCATACCCTTGGAGATACTGTGAAGGGAGACTAGCTCGACGTTGTCGTATTTGCCAGATACCTCTTGCTGCAGCTCCCGAAGCCTCTTCTTGAAGGATGTAAATTCCCCAATGAACACATTTGTCTGGTATACCTCATCCGCGATAACCACGAGCTTCTCTTCCGCAGCGATGTCAAGGACGCTCTTGATATCAGCAGGGCTCAAAGAAGCACCCGTTGGGTTACCAGGGTTGATGACAACGATGGCGCGTACGTCAGTGCCTGCAGCCTTGGCCTGCTCCAACGACTTCTTGATTGTGTCGACATCCGTACCCCAAGCCTTCTGCTCTTCCAAGTGGTAAGGAACGCACTGCGCATCTAGAAGGGATAGAGTGGCTGTGTACAGAGGGTACTGAGGGATCGGGACGAGGACACCGGCATTCGGGCCGTTGCAGATGACGTTCAGGAGGGTGCTCACACCGGATGAGGCACCACCAGTGAGGTAGAGTGACTGAGGGTCGGCGGGGAATCCATCACGCTCTTCGATGAACTTGGCCACGCTCTCACGAATCAAAGGGGCACCCTGACTGTGACTGTATGCGCCGACGCTCTGGACTTCTGCGAGAAGCTTCTCTGCCCTCTTGATAACATCATCCTGGTAGCCGAAATGTGTGCAAAGGACATCCTTGTTGTTCAACAGCTGGGGGTTCTCGAGAAGGCTGAGAACCTGACGGAAGAAGGTGATAGGCTTTTGGTCGAGCTGCTGAGGGTTACCGATGTTGGCGAAGATGACGCTGTCGAATGGCAATGACTTGTCTCCCTGGGCCAGCTTCACACGGTATTCCTCCGCCTTGACGGCGAGCTCTCCACGGACGGCATACTTGGCGGCCTTGACGTTCGAATTGATGTTGTCCAGGCTCAGGCAACGGACAGCCGCAGTTGACAGGGCACGCTGCGAGGCATCGGGAACTGTCGTTCGGGTCGTCATCGTGTGTTCTAAGTCAATCGAGCAGGTGTCAGTTTACGGAGTATGGGAGGCGTATGCGATATAAAGCTCAGGTCGGGCCACGCGGCAGGGCGGGTGGTCCCATTTGTAGACCGGAAGGATGGTGACTCAAAGCGGCTGAAACAGATTGCTTTAGCCTTTTGGATTATAAAATCACTCATCAAGAATGTCACGAGATGTGGACTCTGCCCAGACCGACAGGCACCGATCTGGCAGAATTGGAGATGGAGATTGGAGATTTGAGGCCATCAGGAAGGCGGACTCGCAGGGCTCCTCGGGAACCCCCGAGCAATGAGCACACTTACCCGACAACACACTCGGTCTTCCCGCGGTTAACGCTGTTCTGGAGAACGAGCGAGGCTGGGAGATCTGGCTCTGTCCCCGCGCGAACCGAGCATTATTCGGCCGGAAAGTGACTGCCCGCCGCAGCGGTGTCCGCACATGGCTTGCGATCCCTTGCCAGGTCATTCTGTCGACTTTTCCGCGCGTAAAGTGACAGCCAATGGTGCACTCGGGCCTTCTCCGCCGTGGGGGCAAACGCGGGGATTCAGAGGGCAATCGGCTGGGCGAACAGGAATTCCGACAACTGAGCGCTGTCTTGTTGGCGATCCAAGTCGAGGAGGGCAGCTGCCAGCAAATGACAGTGGAAATTGCACGCGAATTTTGGAGGCAAAGTGTGAGGGCCCCGATGATCGGCGCTGACTCAGCGGTTCCTGGCCCAGACTACAGTATACTAAGAGTACATCTGTTCGAAGCATCCAGCTCTTTCTGATGCATGAGAGAGCAGATTGGGGTCAGACGTGGTGTAATCCGTAAACATAATGTCAAGGGGCTGTCTAGTTTCCTATAGCCAAGCCAGATGGTGCATCATTCTTGCCTTCCCCGGTGTACCAGACCACCCCCACGGCGAGGCCCGGCTCTCCCCGAACATCGGCTTGTCGCCCGATGGTAAGGTTGGGGCGCTCTTCCTCTATACGAAGATCATTTGTGAATCTGGTGGTAATGGCAGAGATAATTGATATCATATCTTATCAGTCCTGGCCACTTGTACCGAGTATGTAATACCGAACGGCCTGAAGGCACAAAAGCAATGTTCTATGGGTGGTCTACGATTCTACGAAACCGGGCACATGAACTACTGCTACGGAGTAGCACCATCGGCCCACCTTTCGTCCGGTCTGACACTACGTACTTTACGGAGTAGATCAGAAGTTCCACTGACGGTTCTGTGTCTGCTTATGAGCACGGTTTGTATGACAATATGATACAGCAGGCTCCGCGCTCCACTGCTCTACTTAGCTTAGATGATTGTGTTCATGAAACAGATCCTCGGTTCAATGGTCCATCCCAGAGCAGGCGACGCCGTGATGCAACAAGCATAGTACTCCTCTTCACCGTCAATCGATCATTGGTCTATGTATCTAGCCTCGTTCGCTTCCCCGCAGACGCACTGCTTGACCGTACTTCTGCAGTTTTGTGATCAAAGCATCTCCATGTTTCACTACATCAGCGTACTGCTTGTTCTTATCGTCCGGCCTGTTCGTCTCGATGATCCCATTGACACGGTCAATGGTGCACGCGATTCTGTTGTTCGAGATAAATCTAGCAAGATCCCTGTGACCGTTAGCTGGGTTACTCATGGCATGTCCGGCTGCCGACTTACCGATCCAGATAGTCCACCGTAACGCCAAAATCGCTAGCCATGCTGTTCAATCCCACCACCCGGTAACTCTGGAGGAGCTGTTGGTAGGCCCTGAGCCTCATTTCGCGTACGAACCAAGCCCGATGCTCATATAGGTATCGGTCCTGGGTCAAAAAGTTGTCCTCCACGGCGGCGAGAGCTACGAAGAATGTCCGGTAGTTGCCGTTGTACAAACTGCTAACCAAGTTCGAAAGAGGTGTGAAGTCGATAGGGTTTTCCGCCTCCGCCTGGATGCCGGCACTGCCACCGAAAGCAGTCAGGTTGACAGCCGTGGTTGCGCCCGTTGAGGAAGCATCCTTCATCTCTTCGTCTTCAGCTCCCGGTCCGGAGGAGATTTCGCCGGTTAGGGCGGCAAGACGATCCTCGCCAGATCCAAGAATGGCCTTGATCTCGGGCGCATCCACCACCTTGGCCTTGAAGTCAACTCGCTTAAGAGATAAAGAGCCTGCAAGTACTGCGTAGATGACAAGAGCAGAGTAGCTGCAAAGCTCATAGCTGGTGAATGTGGACAGGCTGTCAAGGAGTAGAGGGGCAGCAGTGCTGTAGGACCGGACGGTGAGCAGGTGCAATCCCTTGTATGCCTTCAAACGGTTTCTTCTATCCCAGTCACCACCGCTCTCGATCAATTCTTCTGCGCGCTCGATGTTTTTCTTGACATATAGAGTATCACCGAAGAAAAGTCCGATTCGGATCATCGCAAGTACTAGGTCGATCTTTGATCCAAGGAATGTTGTCTTCTCTAGGAGGGTTTCGTGTGACTCGATTGCTTTGTCCTGCCGGGTAAGGGAGAATCAGTAAACAAACCTTGAAGCATGCGGCACATCCACAGAACTCGGCAGCTGCAATGTTATAAGTACGCACCTTATCTCCTACCCGCGCCCAGAATTCAGCGCGTTTCCCTCGCGCGGCTTGCACCTCAGTCTCTCCGGCAGCTTCCTCCGCCTCATCCTCTTCCTTCTGAAAGTCCGCCAGCTCCTTTCGGTTATCCTCAACAAGTGACTGGTACAAGGCCTCGTCCCAGGCAAAATCTATTTTTTGCGATGATCTTCGCGACGCTAGGGTGCTGAGCGGCTTGCCGGCACTAGATGACCGTGGCTGGGGAGCACCCTCGCTCGAGTGGTTTAGGATGCCGTCGACGGGGTGGGCAAGATGTCGGTAGAATGGAGCCATCTTCCTCTCAGTTATCGCTTCTTGAAGCTTCTTCTGAGAGGATTGCCGCTGCGTTTGAGGACATGCCGGATTGGAGAGGTTGAAGACATGTTGAGCGAGAGCGAGGTCGGGGTACTTGATATACTGAGGATCGGACCCCATGTTGACGGCGGAGAAGAAAAAGCCCAATATATCAAGCCGGCTAACAGTTCAGTAATCGCTAAGTAGATGAGGGCGATAGGAATTCAGAATGGGGTCAGGGAGCTGCACGGGTGTGGTGATGTTGAGGCAGATCACGTCGCTTCGTCAGTCTGGTAGGTAGCTGACACAGCTCAGCTGGTGGAAAGTTCTTCCGGTCCGAGTCCGCTTCCAAGAGGTTCCCTACTCCGTAGGGTACGGAGTACTCATCAAGACCTCGCCAACGATAAACCCTTCCATCGAGTACTCAGACTAGAGCTTCTACAACCTGTTCTGCGACACTATGCACACTCGGATGGCGCATATCTCTAGCCTGGGTTCGCCACGATTCTCGTTTCACTGACAACAACGAAAAGCCGACGAATTTAGCCTGACGGTGACTGCCAACTGTGACCTCTGATTACAGGAATGTGATCTGCCGCTGCTACCATCGTCTCAATTACGGCTTTGGAACGACTGCTGACTGAAGGGTTCTGATAGCTCTTGAAATAGCGCCTGCTTTCCCTCTCGCCAGGCGTTCACTACGCCTGTACACTTGAATAAACTGCACTGCACGCCACAACATACCTCTGCACTGAGTAGCATATGAAGATTTAGACAAGCAAGAGAAGATATGCCGTGTTTTTTAGCAGTATCAAGTACGGAGTAGACTGGCAGACGCACGGGAAACTTCCCGGAATATGCTAAGCCGAGGTTCATGGGCCGACGGCGACACTACTGCTCGATCCAAAGCCAACAGCCGCGCGATCCCCCGGCGACTTCAATTACCGACCCATTCCCCTTCCCCTCCCCCGTCTTTCTCTCTCCATCCATCACTTATTTCTTTGTGGAGCTGTCACCACGTCAAGCCACTCTACTCTGTTCCTACTTTGCAGCTGGCCTGTCATTGATTGCTTTTTCTCCTCTACCTCACACTACTACAATTTAACTCCCATTTGCCGACCAACACTAAGTTATCGACACAAGTGACACACGGCAGAAATGGTTGCAGACGCTCTGGTTTATCACCCTGCCCTGGCGCAATACCTACGCTTTGCGGCTACGACAGGTATGTGACACCCCTGTTGTATCTTGTCTATCACGCCCACTCCGACCTCGGAACAGGCAGGACCTGAACGGAGCGAATGGCTTGTTGCATCAAATCAAAGCTGGATTCTAACGTAGCTCTATAGTCGGTCGTGATAAGCTCCTCCGTACCCTGCAATACTTCTCGCGCTTCTATGCCTGGTACCTATACCGTACCAACCAACCGCAAACCGCGATCGCCCCATACAATGCAGTCAAGAAACAGTTTGGAACGACACGAAAGATTCTGAGGATCGGAAAGTTTATCGAGCATCTCAAGGCTGCTGCCCTTGCGGCTGATAACAAGGGCCCCATTGACCCTGTCCTGCGTTACTTGGCTATCGGTCGCCAGCTCGGATATGCCGGTTATCTGTCTCTTGACACAGTCACTGTTCTCGACGCAATCGGGGTCCGGAAACTTGCGAATATTAAGCGCCTGCAAGACTCTGCTTATCGCGCCTGGTTTTCTGGGTTGGCCTGCAGCGTGCTTGCAGGTGTCTACACCCTGTGGAGGCTTGGCGAGAAGCAGAAGACCCTGGATTTGAAGGAGGGTGAAGGAGTTGTGGAGGCGAAGAAACTCGAGAAGTATGCACTTTAGACCTCTGATACGCACTCATTGAAGTGGACTAACGATAAATTATTAGGGAACGTTCCGCTGCCCGCGTCCAACTTATTTCCGACCTCTGCGACCTGACCATTCCCGTTTCCGCCATTGGTCTCGCAAACCTCGACGACGGGCTTGTCGGTATTGCTGGTACGATCAGCAGTTTAATTGGCGTGTGGAGCCAATGGCGAAAGAGTGCTTGAACGTCCGATAATCGAATGTCTCGAGACAACCTTGTGATTCGTTCTCAAGGTGGCTCTTGAGGTGTGTTCTAGTCGGCGTCGAGATACCCGTATCGATGGTGCTAAAGCCGCTGCACCATGGAACAATTTGCTCTGATTGCATAACCCGTGGAAAGAGGAACAAGCGCATGACATCAAAGAATTGTTCGTTAGTCAGCTTCTAGCCTGAGTCCAAACCGCTTTTTGATAATGATCTGGTACAGGTCTTCATAGGTATATATGTACTTTAGATGATAATTTTATGTGCTTCCGAATCAAACAGCGTCTTGCTTCTTTGCTGTCGATGCCTGGTGTCTAGCGAACCCGCGTTCCAGAGTCCAGACGCTCGGACAGCCTCAACCAGAACCTTCAGGCGTCACATCGTCGATCCCGACCCACCCACCTGCCCCGGAGCTTCATCTTTACCCGTTAGTCTTGCGGAGCAGAGCTCTCAGCTCCTCACTCAATCACGGCTATCACAGTGGTCCCGCGCATCAGTTGTGCTGCTGCAAAGCGACATTTCTACTAAAGCCGTCCTTCAAGGCATGGAGGCTCTTCGCTTCTGCGAGCATTGTTTCCAGAGACGAGGCTGGCACGTACCACATCTCCTGAGTGCTGGCTTATTCTTAGCAGCAAAGGCAAATCTGCCCGGAATCGACACCATTGGATCTTGAGATGATCCAAGCGCCACGATCCTTCTTTATTGCAAATAGTCTGCTTTCAAGCCGGCGCCACCAGCTCTAAAACAACATCCCGAACTGGGATCAACAGGAATGAAGCAATATTCGCGCCGAAGCTTCGATTCCGTTTCCACATCCTATCACTTCATTTCAATCAACCTTCCATGGCTTCCGTGAGCTTCAATGCTGTTTGCTAAAGCTACATACGCTGCTGGGTCTGGCGTTCCATGCCCATCCCTTAAACCGGCAGATACTGTACCTACCCGGAGCGCAAGGGCGCATTCACGCCCCACTTTGGGTTGACGCAGTTGATGCAGGTGACGGCTCTCTGCGTGAGATAAGGGCCAAGGGGTCGAATGATAAAATGCAGACGTCTGACCTGCCGCCGCTGATGCGCCCATGGGTATTCGTTACGCAAGATCATGACATTCCAAGCAGCCTGCGTCAAGGGAATCCCCCTGAAATAATGGCATCCTTCTTTCTCTTTGCCGTTAATGGATTGTGGCTTTGATCGATTGGCATAACTCAAATCCGTTGATCGGAGCCGCTGAAGTGTCATTTCGTCTGTTCTCTTTTCGACCCTTAAATAGCTGCTGCCAGAGGAAGCAGGCAACCTACTCCCAGCGCCATGCTACATCCGATACTTGATACGAGCGACTTCAATATTTTCCTTGTGGTCACGAGTACGTACACCACTCGTTATCAATCTCAATGACATTTTGACTCTGTTTTGCTGACTACGTCTTCCCTATGAAGGTCTATACGCTCTATTCATTGGTTTTTTATCCTTCAAAGTCAAGCAAAGATGGTATCTTGGTGAAGCTTGTATGAAGCCAGAATACCTACTTGTTCACCTCCGTGCTGATTGATAGCTTTTCTATCCTAGTACCTGCTTTTGCTATCGGCGCTGCCTTTGGACCTTCTGCCGCAAACCTTCTCAAAGTACCCCATCCAGGAGGAGATGAAAGCGAGAGCACAACAACTGAGATCACTTACGTACGGTGACGTAGAAGCCCTTAGAGATATGAAGCTGACAAAATCTAGGCGTTAACACGCCTAGTGATCGGTATTCAACTAGTCAAAGCCGGCTATGAGCTACCAAAGAAATACCTGAAGTGTCGTCTCAAGGAAATGACGATCTGTCTACTCCCTTTGATGGCTATAGGATGGATCGCATCATCGGCATGTATCAAGCTGATAGTCCCGCACATATCCTTCGTAGGCTCCCCTGTCATAACATGGTCCAGCGGACACTAACCTGCGGGAATCATAGCTTTCAGCTCTCATCATAGGTTCTTGCGTGACCTGCACAGATCCCATTCTTTCCCAAGCCATTGCCAAAGGCCCTTTTGCTGACAATTATGTCCGCCGACATCTCCGCGAATTCATCTCCTCCGAGGCAGGCGGCAATGACGGATTTGGTTTTCCATTCCTGCTGCTCGGCCTAGCACTCCTCCGGTACGCTGACACTCCTGCAAACGCCGTAGTATTGGAAGAGTTTGATCTCGCTAGAGGGGGCCCGGATTTCCTTGGGGCCATTGATGTCGGACGCTTTGGAGGTGGCGTGGGCAAGGCTTTGAAGCATTGGTTTGTCGAAGGGTTCTTATACATGATCGTCCTAGGAGCTGCTTATGGGATTACTGTTGGCTTCCTATGCCGTAAAGCCATCAACTTGTCGTCCAAGAGGTAAGCGCGCACCGGGGTCCAACGAAAGAAAAATGCTGATATCTTTTGAAATAGAAAGTGGATTGACCCAGGGAGCTTTACCCTAGTCCCCGCAGCGCTGGGGGCATTTATTGTGGGTTCATGCGGCTGCTTTGGCTCGGATGAGACACTGGCCTGTTTTGTTGCAGGTAACATGCTGAATTGGGATGGACTGTACAATGCCGAGCTTCAGGCCCGACATGACTCGTTCAACTCTTCGCTTGAGACCGTTATGAATTACATAACATTTGGGTACCTTGGTGCAGTCATGCCATGGGAAGAGTTCCATATGCCCGACGCCACTGGCATCACTTTCCCACGCCTTTTTGGACTGGGAATGATGATTCTAGTCTTTCGCCGTATTCCAGCCATTATGGCAGGATATCGGTTCATGCCGGCGGTCTGCAGCAACTGGAGGGAGGCTTTGTTTATGGGACACTTTGGGCCAATCGGCAAGTGCCATCCATGGACTTCTGTCTGGTATCTACTAACGACCGAAGGTGTTGGAGCTATTGCATACGTAGAGTATGCTCGGCGACTGTTTCCTGACCGAGGAGAAAGCGACAGAGAGATAAATAATCTAACAGCTGCCATGAGGCCAGGTGAGCCATCGCCTCGGAGTGCAAGGTGCTTTTTCTGACAGTCAACAGTCGTATATTGGCTGGTCCTATTCTCGATCATTGTACACGGCCTGTCTGTCCCCATCCTTTACGTGTTCTACAAAGCCTTGAAAGTTCGAAAGGTCCACGATCACCCAGTGGAGGTGGTTCTCTTATCCGAGAACGAACCGTTGCCGAACAACAGCACTGTCGACCGACAGCGACACTCGGTGCTGGTCAACAACCGATTCTCAGAGCCAAACCATCTCCACGTCCTGAACGACGACCCAGATGAGGAGAAGGAGGAGGAATCGGCCGATCTGCGAGGGTCCAGTGAGAGAATCCGGCCACGGAGCAAGCGCAGTTCGATGTCTTACAGTCTGGCTACGTCGGCCTCGGGCGAATCAAGCCAACGTACAGGCCGCGAAGCAGATACAACGGACATGGTCTGACCACGGCTAGGAATTCTATGCATGGTGTGCAAAGAAACAGGTATCATCATTCATTTCTCGTCAATTCATTCGCAGTCTTAACGGCCTACTATTTCCAGATCCTTGTCCCGCTATTCAAATTGGCATCATGCATCTCCGTCCACAGCATCAGTGACCTATCCTTGCTAAAGATTCGACTTAGACGGGGCAGGTCTGGGATGAGAAATCAGTCAAGTCCTACGGATGGGATTTAAGAGAGAGTTGGGCACGCAGAACGTACGCTTCCGCAGGAGCTGCAGCTCTTGTTGTCGCTGGTGATGGTAGCACCGCACTTGGGACAGGCGTTGTGGGCCATTTTTTCGTGGTTGGTGTTATTCGCTTTGCGACTGAGAGTGTCTGTCTATACGTCGGCATGGTTAGCTTGATCGGCGCCTGTGGAGAGTGGAGATGGAGGACCTTGTGTTCTCAGCTGGGGGGGCTTCGGCAGAGTGGTATGAACGAAGGTTGGAGGAAGAAATGATGGTGTTGAGAGTGAGGATGTTTTATTTCTTACCCCGCCATGAAGCCCCGCTTTGGGTAGTGGTGGGTGATTGGCCGTGTTGAGTGGGATATCAGTCGGCGGTCACACGGTCGTGCCATTTATACGTGAAGCTATTGGACAACATACAATATTCTTCTGAGATATCGGAAACATCCATGGGATTATGAATCCAGTACTAAGTGGTCATGAGGACTACGATAGAGAGCCCAGCATCTCCTTCACGAGCCTCGGTCTCCTAATACTTGACGACATTCGCTTTCCGGGCCATGTACCCTTAACAGATGTTTTGGGGGGCTCAGGAGCGTATGGTTCTTCACCCCTGCGGATATATATATTTCTGAATAAGCATCTAATTTTCTTGCAGCCACACTCGGTGCTCGATTGTTCCTTCCTCCTCCACTTAGCAATTCTCTAGGTTGGATGCTGCATATTGGGAATGACTTTCCGGAACCAACGCGGTGTTTCCTGGAGAGTTGGGACGCGACACTGAGAGTAGAGAAGGAACTTGCGAAGCCATCAACGAGAGGCTTGCTGGAGTATAAGGATACCACATTCGGACGTGAGCATTCTCGTTCATTCCTTCATTCCTTCATTGGGTCAGCTATATATAAAGACTAACCTATACCCTAGCCAAAACCTTCAAGTATACGACGCCAATTCTCCAAGTCGAGACTAATAGTTTAAACGGCACACCCCTTCTAGCGTCAAGAGCATATCATTTCCTCGAGTCTCCTCAGATCATCAAGGCTCGAGTTGCGGACATTTTAGCTCTCAGAAAGAGCTCCGGCATGCTGAAACGCCCACTTATCATCTGGGAGCCAGCTCCCCTCTCCTGCAAAACAGAAAACTTGCAACCGTGCATCGACGCCGCCCAAACGGTCGACGTATTCTCACCGAATCACCTGGAGCTAGCAAGACTCTGTGGAGAACCGTCACCCGCCGGCGACATGGATAGGGAAAAGATCGAGTCTCTAGCGCAGAGGTTTTTGGATGCAGAGAAAGGCGTTGGACCCGATGGTAAGGGAATCGCCATAGTCCGAGCTGGCGAGCATGGCTGCCTTGTATGCGCGCGCCTTATATCGCCTACATGGTTACCGCCCTTCTATAAACCCGGGAATGGCAACAAAGTGGTCGATCCGACCGGGGCAGGGAACTCCTTTCTTGGAGCGTTTGCCGTTGGGTATATCCAGACAGGAGATGCCATTGAAGCAGCTTGCTATGGGTCTGTCGGCGCATCGTTTGCCCTGGAGCAGGTTGGGATGCCGGAATTAGCTGCAGACGAAGGTGCTCCGGAGGCTGGAGAGCTGTGGAATGGCGAGCGTGTTCTTGAGCGGTTGAGGGAGTATCGACGAACTCTTGGGTTACTCGGGCGATGATTAAAGGCATCCTGTTGATTCGATGCAGTCAGTTGCATAAGTGATCTGTGAGCACGGACGATATCATCTACCAGCATTTGGATAGCCCTGGGACGCCAGAATTCCCAAAAAAATGCCTGTTATACTTGATCCTCCTCTAGGATACCGAGTCTTCCTTAAGTCAACGGTGCTCGTTCTTTGGACTCCGACTCCAAGAGACGAAAGCAAAGTCACTCTTAGCATGAGGGCGCGGCGTGCAACAGTCAATGTCGGCGCTGCTTTTTCAGAGTGAAATCATCCGCTTAGGGTAGAGTGAGCATCCTGGATATATGAGATAACTCTATAGATATGCAGTTCCAACTACTAAATTGCCGTCAAAAGTGCATTCCAGACAATGTTCCGTAGTATTCCGGCCCAAGATAGTCCAAGCTACGGACGACGAATATACTTCGGTAGAAAACGGACCAGGGAAGACAGATAGATGTATCAGATAAAGACGCGATAGACATCAAGGAACATGGTAACATTGCATCGGAGTATTATTGGATTGATTTGGTGTTGTCTTATCTATCGGACTTGTCGAGCTGAGAACTGGCTGACCGACTCTTGAGTCTTGAGTCGACTGGAAACGAATGTGCCAGCGCAGGCAGCATCGCAGGAATTGATAGATGTATGAATCTTTTTTACAGACACGTGGACCGTGCGCGCCTCCAGGATTGAGGATCCGAAGAGCAGCTCGAACAGTTGAACTCCATGACACGTGAATGTCCCGCCAGAACAGCCGCCTGAAAAATGAGAAAATCTGCTTCTGATCTTCATTATCGATGTTTTGATGTCCACTATGAGGCATTTATCTCCTGCATTTCGAGCTGCTGCGCGTGCCAGAAATAAAGTGTCCAACATGCAGCTGTTCGCGACTGTTCCTAAATCTTCCGGACCGCAACCCCTGCATCGTCATCCCCACAGCACCTGGATTCGAATCCTGAGACAAGGGCCCTGGTCTAGCCCTGCCTCAGTCTAAATTAGGGCAGCGCGTTTTGCACATGAATCGGATTGCTTCCTATCTTGCCCGATGTGGAGCTCTTAGCCTCAGTAGAGCTCCATGTTTGAGGATCCTTCTTTTGAGGCCTCCATGACGTTGGCAGGGCTACAGCCACGGGTATCTGGATCTACTCGGTACGCCACCCCGGACGGGCAACTGAAGAAGCATTATCCGTGACGGTCAACCGGAGAAAAGATCAGGAACATAGCTATGGCGCAGTTCTGGATAAGGCTGTACCCCTTTGCCTAGGTCCGGTCCGGGGAAAGGCCCGCGTGGTCCAGGCTCGGCGGATGGCGATGCGGGGTACAAGACAAGCCTGAGGAGTCGAGGACCCGAGTATGTCTACACTGCCTCACTGACTGCCGAGACAGTGGCTGTACAGCTGAGACCCGAGCTATACAGACTTCCACCCAGACAGAATACTGTCCACGTGAGGTCGAAAAGACCCAAAAACTGAGCTGGACCAGTCCAGATTACCAAATCGCTCATCATGTGTCCTTTCAAGGCGTCAGTCACGAGCGAACAGCCAGGCTCTATTGAACTTTCGCGCCACAACAAGGCAGAGAATCAAGAATGAGCATGTATCCGAACGCAGCATCATCGTGGATTTGAGGACGGCAATGACTTCTGCCCGAATGCGCGTTCAGTGGCGCTGGATTGGCAATCATTTGAAGACTGCGGCCTGATTGGCTGCTGCACGGCTGGCCTCGGAATGCGGTTAGTCATCGGCTCAGTGGGGGCTGGGGGAGATCCCGAACTTCGAACCCGGCCTGTCGTCATTCGGGCCTCGTTTCTCGTGTCTGCATGGAATGAGGCATTTGTTTGAGACTAATGTCCTTACTATCAAAGAATGCAGCATGTAGCCGGAGTTTTACTTTTGGCCGTAGACGTGGTCTCGTGAGTGTAGATCAACCGTTGTAGACTTGATGCCTGCCTGCCTGGCCACTTCTCCCCGCAAAATCGGCTGTTAGCCTCCATCCACTAAGGTTCCAGGTTCTCTGCTAAGCCTAACACATGGATGGATCAGTTCAACGTCATTGTCAACCGCTTCCAGGTTCCCTTGGCCCGCTGAACCTCAGTAAGCAGTGTGAGAGGCTCACGATGACCTCTTTTGACAAATATTGTGTCATGACTGGCACAAAGGCCACTGAGAATGGCCGGAGTTGGCCCTTTGTTGCTTGCAGCAGCCGCTCGTGGTCCTGCCGCATCACAAATCAACCAACTTTTCCGCTTTAACTTGTCCTCGCATCTTCCTCCGCTGAGGCATTTACTAGTGTGCGTTTCTCCGACACACGCTATCTTTGATAACACTTTTGTCCCGACCCTTCATTCTTGTTGGTTCAGCGCTTCGCTCCTCCGGAACCAATTCGTGTCCACATCTGGGGTTCGGGTCTCTTCGGGCTATCGCAACTGTCCTTTGTCGCCTCAGCTCGGTCCTTTGCCCCGACATCTCCCGCCAGACTGTGGAGAAGCATCATCCGGAACGACCAAGACTAGAGTATACGCCTTGATCATGGCTCCTGGTGCAAACATACATATACCCCCTGCTGCTCCCCCCGATCCAGGTCCTCTCTACTCAGACTTCTATCAACAGCAAATCGAGAGACAACGAAACAATAATTATCACTCGACTTCGCTAAGAACAATGGTTGCTACATCTGTTAACCGTACTGCCCTGCACCCTGGTGGTGTTCAGTATGTTCCTACCTCGCTGTCGCCTCCATACATGGTACTGACGTGACTGCCTAGACCCGGCAAGGGCCACACTGAGCTTGAGGAAGAACTTCATGAACACGCCCACATTGACTACGACCGCGTTGCTATTGTGAGTTCGCACTTGTATGCCGCTCTTCTATCTTCAGCACTGACTTTGGCTAGATTGCGAACCCCTCTGTCGCTGCCCTCTATGAAGATGCTCTTGTATACGAAACCGGTACCGCCATCACATCAAGCGGTGCTCTCACAGCCTACTCTGGCGCCAAAACTGGTCGATCGCCTTCAGATAAGCGGATCGTGAAGGAAGAGTCCTCAGAAAAGGAAGTCTGGTGGGGACCCGTTAACAAGCCCATGACTCCTGATGTAAGTCAAGCTTTCTGGTCTATCCCTTGCGTTTGCTCCGGCCTCCTATTGCCTGCACACAAGCTTTTTCTTTCCGAAAGGGTGTGACAAACTTCTTAATGCCTCATGCTTCATTGGGTTGAGGCATTTTGAGCCTGTGCAACACACCTATCCTTTTTACTTTGTCGTTGTCGTGGGTCGTCGTTCGTCTGCGGACCGATCTGCAGGCATACTCCTTGCATGCGCTTGTGTGACGTCACTATACCTACATAGAACTATCACTGACAGTCCTCCTCCAGGTGTGGCGTATCAACCGTGAGCGTGCTGTCGACTATCTCAACACCCGTAACCGCATCTACGTGATTGATGGTTTCGCTGGCTGGGATGAGCGCTACCGAATCAGCGTTCGTGTCGTCTGCGCGCGCGCCTACCATGCTCTTTTCATGCGCAACATGCTTATCCGTCCCTCTGCCGAAGAACTCCAGCACTTCCACCCCGACTACGTGATCTACAATGCCGGCTCTTTCCCCGCCAACCGCTTCACTGAGGGTATGACATCTGCTACCTCCGTCGCCATTAACTTTGCCGAGAAGGAGATGGTTATCCTCGGCACTGAGTACGCCGGTGAGATGAAGAAGGGTGTCTTCACTATTCTCTTCTACGAGATGCCTGTCAAGCACAACGTTTTGACCCTGCACTCTTCCGCCAACGAGGGCCAGAGCGGCGATGTTACTGTCTTCTTCGGTCTCTCCGGAACCGGAAAGACCACTCTCTCTGCCGACCCCAAGCGTGCTCTGATTGGTGACGACGAGCACTGCTGGACCGACCGTGGTGTCTTCAACATTGAAGGTGGCTGCTACGCCAAGTGCATTGGTCTTTCCGCCGAGAAGGAGCCCGATATTTTCAACGCCATCCGCTTCGGTTCCGTTCTTGAGAACGTCGTCTTCGACCCCATTAGCCGTGTTGTCGACTATGACGACTCTACCCTTACTGAGAACACCCGCTGCGCTTACCCTATCGAATACATCGAGAACGCCAAGATTCCCTGTCTCTCTGACAACCACCCCACGAACATCATCCTCCTCACTTGCGATGCCCGTGGTGTTCTGCCTCCCATCTCCAAGCTCACCACCGAACAGGTTATGTTCCACTTCATCTCCGGTTACACCTCCAAGATGGCTGGTACGGAAGACGGCGTGACAGAACCTCAAGCCACCTTCTCCTCCTGCTTCGCCCAGCCCTTCCTTGCCCTGCACCCCATGCGCTACGCTAAGATGCTTGCGGACAAGATCTCCCAGCACAAGGCCAACGCTTGGCTCCTTAACACCGGTTGGGTTGGCGCTGGCGCCACCACCGGCGGCAAGCGCTGCCCTCTCAAGTACACCCGTGCCATTCTCGACGCCATCCACAACGGTGAGCTCGCCAAGGCGGAGTACGAGACGTACGACGTCTTCAACCTTCACGTGCCCAAGAGCTGTCCCGGTGTTCCTGACGAGCTTCTGAACCCCAAGAACAGCTGGACCGCTTCTACCGGCTTCTCAGATGAGGTTAACAAGCTCGCCAAGCTCTTCAACGAGAACTTCCAAAAGTACGCCGACCAAGCTACCAAGGAGGTCATCGCGGCTGGTCCCGTTGTCCAGGAGTAGGCTGGTGAAGATAAAATCGTTTTTGCCTTTTTTCTTCTTTCCATTCCATTTTATTTCCATGATGCCCCTTTTCTTTTTTATGTCGTCTCATATATTGCATGGCGTGCTGCGTTACTTGGGTCTGTTTTCTCTCAGAGGGCCGGGATTGATACAATTTGGCAATGCCCTTTTGGCTCCTGTGCTGAATAGTCAGTAGATGTTAGACAATCCAGTGGCTATTCCCAACTCTTTTTCTCTTTAGGTAACTGTTTCCGTGGACAGTGGCAGTCTTGCTTACCTGCACCTCGAAGTAGCGCTTATCGAACGTCAGTCAAGGGTATATCCTCTATACACAACGACTAGTACGAGAAGTGTATTAGCGTCCAGTTCAGCTCTCCTTTCCCTTAATTGAACATCGTGTAATCCAGAAGACGGTGTGAAATCTGGTCAGAAGTAACTCAGGCTTGTCGACTTATTGGAGGCATGGAACTTTCAATATATAGGTGAGAAAGCCGGACTACAATCCTCCGAGTACGTAGTCCTATTAGCACGAGGCCCAGCGGGTACATGCAACTCTTCCCCAACAGAATCTACAGACCAAACCCGCACCGGTCTTGGATTATCCGGCAGCTACTATTCAAACAAACTAGCGAAAATCGGCCATGTCGTGGTTGTCAGTGTAGCCATTCAAACCCGCAGCTGGGTTGTTCATCCGCTAGTGCGCTTGCTGAAGGACAAGGTCAGAACTGGTCTTTGGTCGTGCGAATAGGGTATACCTTTTTATGGGAATCATTAACCGTGACCTCACGAGGTCATTCTGAACGACCATTGACTTATCCTCGCTTCGACCGCTCGAGAAAGGCAGACATGTTGATGAAAAGTAGTCGTCTAGACGAACTAGTCCCACAGCCATATCAGTTGACCCAAACCCCGGCTCTACCTTGATAAGTATATTTAAAGATTGGCGGGCCTGCATTGCAGAAAGTGGATTGCATGTTATCCATGCTTGCATACTGAAAGGGTGTGTAGTCCTCGATAGTGAGTGAGGTGTTTTGTTTGCCACAATATCGTTAGGTATCTAAGCTTTGGCAGATAATATCATTGGCTGAGATATGCCCATGGAGCAGTGTTTCGACCAATCACGGCCGGGTGGCCTAATGGTAAGGCGTCAGATTTCGGTTTGATGGAGCTTGAAAGCACCCCCAAAACCTCTGAAGATTGCGCGTTCGAGTCGCGTCTCGGTCGGTTTCATTGTTTTTGCTTTTTGCTGGTATATCCGTGATACATGGTAGAAAATAGTAAAAGGATGATCTCGTGATTGATCCCGCAAAACATTTTTTGTGCTGTTGCTCACTAAAGAAAAAACAATTGGGAATAGAGTTGCTGATAGAGAAATGAAATGCGGGAAATCAAAAAATTCGACCGAGACGGGACTCGAACCCGCAATTTTCAGGGAATTGAATGGAAGTTCAATCGATAGGTATTTCGGTGAGCCGAAACCTGACGCCTTACCATTAGGCCACCCGGCCGTAATGAATATCAATTTTTCCAAAGTTTACATTATACGGAAGCTATCTTTGACCCAACATATCCCCGCCGTCTTCTTTCCCGAGGTCCTCAACGATTCAACCGTCAGATGAGAGTCTCAACTCAACCTTCTCTTATCTATACCCATCCACACCGTCAAGCCATCATTCTGAATCAACAAAGAACACACAATCTGCCAAATGCGGGCCTAACTTACCTGGGCTACAGTGCAAGTTCTGGCAGCCAGCTACCCATGTCTAATTCTATCCGCATTCAGCCTTTGCCGTCCCGCCGTCCGCCCGCCTATCCGAGGATAGAGCATGCTGATAATTTTCCAGTTGCTGATTAGCCTCCCCGGAGTACCGTTCTCCAGGCCCATCGGGTCCAGATCAGCTATGCTTCTAGCGCCCGCTGTCCCTTTCCCCGTTCCTGGTCAACACGCCCCACCAGCTGGACGTTAAATCCTTGAATGTTGGTGAAGATTCCTCCGTAATTCGGATGCTTCTGTATAGCCTATTGCAATCGGCACATAGGGCACTGCCAGGCCTATGGATACTGCGGCATGTGTCCAGCAGCTACTCCAGCAGTCCAAATGGCGCCTCAGCCACAACGCTTGAGCATCGTGCCATCTACACATTCAGAAGAGGGCACAATGTGACACAAATTACCAAGGCTCTTAAATACCTCATCACCTTGTTCGACACGGAACTGCACCAGATACTACCTGACCGAACAGGCTACCCAACCATTCATTAACCATCATATCCGAAGTATACTATGGACAACAGTGCTCCGCCTCCGGTACCCGCCGAAATCGGCACATTCATCGACCATCACGATGAATGAGCTTGAAGCACCCATCCAGTAAGATACCTCGGTCTGAGAGGCTCAGATACCTGATCAATCGCCCAAGATACGGAAACTCGGATAAGTCGACCACGTTCCGTCAATGGCATCCGTCATGGGTCCCTCCGGACGAGTTATACTCCGTAGCACGAAAAGCGGGACGTCAACTTCCTCAACGAGGCTGAGAACAGACCTTCGCGTCAACTAGACACCACAGCCTAGTGACGAAATGGGGCATGCAATAGAGTCAATGTTCCCACACTCCACATCCCAACAAATTGGACCCAGCATAGTCTACAACATGGGACAGCGGCATAACCGCCGGCAAACACCCGAGCTGTACGGCATGAGACATCGGGACCAACCATCAATACCTCAGCCTCAACGCGCATTGCGACGGCCAGTGCCACACTGCGACCGAAACACTCGGGACCAGCTCGGGAAACCGGCGGAAGTAGATCAAGTTCGAGCGGTGGGAAACTCGGTAGAGATGCCCGAATGCTTACGGTCTTATCGCCTGGCACTCAGTCTCCGTAACATATGGAGTAATCGGCCAAATGCGGTTAGGTACTCGGTATTCATATACCCAGTAGCCTATTATGATTTGACCTACACAGTAAGTGGAAAGTAATATTTGACAAGCCGGATATTCTGGAGATGATGAGTATAGTCAAGCGAAACAGAAATGGGAGAAGTTGGCGCAAAAAGAAATACTTGGACAAGAGTACAGAACTAATGCACGCCGACAGATCGGACAGCATCCCCGCATTCCTGAATATCCTCATCCACTTTTATGTAGTTTCAGTTCTGCAGTGGAGACAGCTAAGAACTAGACCAGGATTATGGATTATTATTGTATTATAACACTCTTAGCGTGAGAATTACTCCGGTACTAGCATTAGCTGGGAGGATATTGCTGCCCCGTCACCGAAATGTTCGACTACTTAGCCTGGACTATACCCCTCGGAGCTGGATCTCGGTTACTGCAAGGATATTATCGGGACGATGCAATTATAAGAAGCTGTCGGGCTTCCTGCTGTGCTCTTGAGACTTGACTACTATTAGTAGACGCAGTGCTCTCCCCAGTTTTGCAGTGATAGGTCTCGCTCCGTCTCTCCCGCATCTAATCCCCGTCCATCATCTGACAGCCACGCTCAACCTTGGAACAGCAGCTTCTCTTCTCCGTTTTATCTTCTTCCGCTCGACTTCCCCTCTTCTCCATCTTCTGGTTCTGGCACAGTGCCTGGCCATCGGATCCCGGCTCCCTCCAGGCTATAAAGTGTCAGGGTATACCACCACCTTCTTCCCCTCTCGTCGACGTCATCTCCGTCGCACCAGCTACTCCTTCCCCCAGTGTTAATTGTCATTGCCATTTCCGCTGTTAGCGGCTGTTTTCCCGTCAGTTCCCGTTTCCTTCGCTATATATCATCGGTCAGTTCATGGTCTCTCTCTCGTTTCGTTGCTCTCTCGAATTACACAGTCCACTCTCGTTCCGCTATATCATTCCACACTGCTCCCGTCGCTGTTTACTACAGCCAACTAATTATCTACAGGTCTGGTGTGAATCTCGTTTCCTCATCAACATGGCCTCCACTACTAAAGAATCGGCCCAACCCCGCGTTGATTTCTTGCATCAACCCTATACCCGTGCCGCTCTTCCCTTCGTTAATGGCGGTTTGGCCGGCATGACGGCCACGGCCGTCATTCAGCCCATTGATATGATCAAAGTGCGTCTGCAGCTCGCTGGCGAAGGTGTGCGCACTGGCCCTCGTCCTTCGGCCTTTGGCGTGGCTCGTAATATCATCGCATCCGGAAAAGTGCTCGACCTTTACACTGGTTTATCTGCTGGTCTCCTGCGTCAGGCCGTTTATACAACAGCGCGCCTCGGATTCTTTGACACTTTCATGAAGAGCTTGACCAAGAAGGCCGAGATGGCGAACCGAAAAGTGACTTTCGCAGAGCGCGCGGGTGCCGGCTTGACAGCTGGTGGTATAGCCGCCATGATCGGTAACCCGGCGGATCTGGCGCTCGTTCGAATGCAGTCAGACGGTCTTAAGCCTCCCGAGGCGCGGGCTAACTACCGCTCCGTTATCGATGCATTGCTCCGCATTTCAAAAGCCGAAGGAGTAACTGCCCTCTGGTCCGGCGCTTTTCCGACCGTTGTGCGTGCCATGGCCCTCAACCTGGGACAATTGGCCTTCTTTGCGGAATCAAAAGCACAGCTGAAGACTCGGACAACTCTTTCGGCGCAAAACCAGACCTTTGCCGCATCTGCGATCGCCGGCTTCTTCGCCAGTTTCCTATCGCTTCCGTTCGACTTTGTCAAAACTCGCCTGCAAAAACAACAAAAGGACCCCAAGACGGGACAATTACCATACAAGGGAATGTTCGACTGTGCTCGCAAGGTGGTTCGTGAAGAAGGCTGGTTGAGGTTCTATCGCGGGTTTGGCACATACTATGTGCGGATCGCCCCTCATGCGTTAGTCTCCCCCACTCCGTGCATACTTTGTTTTTTCTTGTTGCTTATCACTGACCCACCGCTCCACTTTTAGGATGGTGACCCTTATCGTCGCTGATTACCTTAACCTCATCACCAAGTAAACGCACCCGAGAAAAAAGTCCGTGTAACCGGGCGTCATCTAGCCCAAACATGCTTTTTCTGCAATACATTCTCGAACCCTCACGTCGATGTCTGCGAGAGAGTTGAGGCTCCCATATTTTTACCACGAACCCAGTCTTTATCGGACAGTGTCCGAATGGTGTCATACAATGGCAGTGTTCGAATACGTCGCTACAATCGGACAAAGCGCGATAGAACTGTTTTCAGGGCTCTTATAACGTTCGTTCACTTATCTATCTGTCTTACGCGGACATCCCAGTATTTGGGCACCGCGGCACTGTCCAGAACGGTGGATTTTCGCTCGACGCTATCAAGGCCGAAAGCCTCCTTGCTATTAACCAAAGACTTCTGTTGCACGTCCCCATTTGGACCCGACGTAGTGGATGGTGCTTTACGTCAATCTTGCATGCTTTTAATTATCCCAAGCTTTGAACGGATTTCGGGTGTTTGTCTATTAGTCTCACGAGGATTGTGCATATCCCCTCTGTCTGCATCCGCGACTGTCTTGATTATTGTTTATGCGCTTAGTATACCCATGGCGAGCAGGGCAGCACAGTTGTCCGCAAAAGTTCGTACTCACACTTGCATGACGTACCTAGTTGTATGTAGGTAGTTGAGACGAGTCACGAAAATGAACAACCGCAGGCTGGCCCTAGCATCGATAATCCCACAATGGACCAAAAAATCCTCGTGCTACAATATACGAGCTTATATTCACCAGTGGATTTAGTTTAAGTTTGGAATAGCAGTTCTGCCAAGTACAGGGTATACAAAGTCACGCATAGCGCATGCCCGTTGGGGGTAGTTGTTGGGCCCAGACCGCTGCGTCCACACCGGGACCGTTGTTACTTGCCTCACCGGCATCCCGAGAACAGAAGACGTGGGATACGGCAAATCGAACCGACGGTCTTAATGGAGTGGGGATTGTGTTGCTCCAGTTACAAATGGCGCGGAAGAGAATCCATGTAAGGCAGACACCACGGTGTCCAGGGTTGCAGATGCTCGCGCTGTCGGTCGATCTTTCCTTCTAGATCTGAATTTTCGAGAATTGCACCTTCTCGGCGAGGATTCTAATTGCCAATCTATGAAATCGCATCCGGAAGAAAGCTCAATGGCCTCTTGATCATCTAGGCAGCTTTGCCAGTCTTGGATTATCTTGATGCTCCTGGTTAAGTATAGCGTAGAAAGAACTGCGTAGATCAAAGGTTCGGGTATCCTCTTATTCTTCCATCTCATCATCCTCATTCGAGTCACTTGAGCCCGATTCGCTTTCTTCCTCATTCGAACCATGCGTGTCACTCTCCGGTGCAGTAGCCTGCTCATCCTCCTCCTCATGATCCTCAACCTCAGTAACGCCGCGTGATCTCGCCCTCTCCTGCTTGATTCGGATGTAATCAACCGTCGTGGCGCGACTGGCACCCCCACCACGACTTTCATCCTCATCATCATCATCATCGCTCCCAAGAGTAACCCTGCCCTTCCTCCGTCCCGAGAGTCCCAGCTCCGCTTCCTCCTCGTCCTCACGCTCTTGTCTTCTCGCGGCACGACGCACACGCCTTACCAGCACGGGATCCTGGCGGAGGTCATTGTTCGTCAGGACCACCTCGCAGACAGGGCACTTCACGGCGCGGATACGGCGGCCACCGCGACCGGATGTTGATGGTGCGGCAGCGATAGTAAGGGCGCTCTGATCGATCATGGAAGTTATGGCGTCTCGCTCGAAGCTGTGCGGGCATTTTGTGCTGGTGACAGGATCGCGGAAGAGGAGGAGGGTAATGGGGCATTTGAGGGAGATGCGCTCGCTCTCGATGGCGAGATCGTCGGAGTCAGAGGCGGCCGAGGTGGTTCGGGGGCGTTGTTGGCGGGTCGTGCGTGAGGAGGATGACCGCGTAGCGGTGTTGGGGTCTTCGAGGTGCGCGAACCAGGTTGAGGCGTGCGGAAGGGGAGGCACATTGTCGCCGGGGTGCTTGGCTTCGTGGATCATGCGGTAGAAGCCGATATAATCGTTATGTTTGGAGTACCTGTTCAAGGAACCTGTCAGCGTTTGAGAAAAGTGAAGCAACAGTAGCTGGAAGCGCACCGTTCTGTCAATGTCATTTCCTCCCATTTCTCTTGGTCCTCAGCCATTGCTCGCTCAAGCTTCGCTCTCAGCGAAATCTGCTCCACGTCTACCTCCGTCTGAGGCGAGGCCTCATACAAGTCCCCGTCCCCATCCCCGTTCTCATCCTCATCCCCATCTTCCACCTCAGCACGTCTTCGCCGCCTCTGCCTCTGCCGTTGATTGTTCGCAGTCGCAGCCACCTCCGCTTCGCCCTGCAACTTGTTCAAGGCATTACTCAACCCGTCAATCCTAACGGCCGAATCAATCGCCCTGCGCATATTCTTGTCCAACCGCCCCGTAACAGCCTCTACCTGTTCCTCCAACTCTCTCAACCGCTCTGCTTCCTCCGGATCCTCCTTGTCGTCCAGATTGACATTCTCACCACCTTCAACCTCCGTCGTGGACCGGCTAGCTTCTCTACTCTCCCTCTGCCTCTCGGCCTTCTTCTTCGCACGCAGTTTCGCGTCCGCCAACCGCTCGTTTACCTCTCCTGCCGCATCTGTGAGCTTCGTTTCGACGTGGTGGATATGTGTTTTGAGTGAGCGCAGGTTCTGTGAGCGGAGGAGGGCTATGAGGGCTTGTCGGCCGGGGTCGGTGAGTGGGGCAATGGGCGCTTCGTACTCGGGCAGAGGAGGCGTTCCTTCTCGGCTGGGTGAACCTCGATCGCGGTCGCGGTCTCTGTCTCTGCGTCTGGAGCTTGAGGCGGGGTTGGATAGTCCGCGTGAGGGTCCTGGTGTTGAGAGCATTTTCGCGTTTTGAATGCGCCTGATTGGCTGCATGGTATGTTCTGAGTGCGGGTTTGGGAAGTGAAAGGGTCTGTCCCCTGTTTCTTAGGATGAACTGAACGATGAGAGTGCTAATTGTGGGTATCTGTGTTGAGGTTTGGTTTCTTTGTCAACCACCGATAAATGAATGTTGCTTTGAGCGCGACGCGATTGCGCTAGCCTTTTCGGGCTTAATTATCTTTTGTACCTAAGTGCCTTACTGCCTTACCGCGAGATATGTTATTTCTGCTTTTCCCGTTCAAAGATCAAAACATTTGAGGAATGCCGGGTTCATGAGTCTACGTTCATTCAGTGGTCCGTAGGATAAGTGAAGTTACAAAAAGGGATTCGGTATATGGTACTACTGGTTGAGCCCAAATGATAGTAGATATACAAGTCTGAGATGAGCAACATCCTAGACTTTATAGAAGCAGAATGCGTGATAGAAACCTGCTTGGTTAGCTGGGACTGGCCATTTTTCAAGGGTCGTACTTACTTGCTGCTTCCTGCTCCTCCTTTGTCATCAAGAGCTCGCCGGTAGCCCTATCACGGACCCCCATCCGCTCACTCAATGGGCCAAGTTCCGAGTCATTCTTCTCGTCCTTCCATACGTCAAGGAATGACTTTCGGTATTGCAGCTCAAGGTTGTATTCTTCGGTCAACCTGTGGACCAAAGTTAAAGAGGGCAGTCTAGAGAAGGCGCAGGCACTTACGCTCGGAATGCTTCCCAAGGCACGACGTACTCCGGAATCTCCTCGACAGCTTCTTCCATGAAATAACTGTACTTCCATCCAAAGGGAGGCCGGAATACTCCATCTTCGGGAGTAGCTCCAGGGAAGCGCACGCGGTAGATGGGGTTTCCCCATTCCGCCTTCTTCACATCGTCTTCCACTTCTCCATCTTCAGGCTCTGTAGCTTCCTTCTTCTTTTCAGCTTCAGTTGCCTTTTGCTTTGTGTGATAGTCGGCCACATTGGCGCTGATGACGTCCGAATTTGGACAAACTCCGAGGAAGCGACCACCCTTTTTTAGACATCCTGCAACATTACGTAGCATCTGCCTTGCCTTGTCCTCGCTCTCGAAAGCATAGTGGATCGTGAACATGGATGCAACAACATCGAATCCGCCGCCACCCCATCGCGAGGCCATGACGGAGCCCCCAGGCCCTACGTTGGCCTCGATTCCCACTTGCTGCACTATGGGAACATCCCCCAGCCATTCACCAAAGCAGTCTTTCGGTGCGAATTCTGCATGGAAAAGAGGACCACGGCGTTGACGCGGCCCCCGTCCGGTTTTCATCTGCGCGTAGCGGTCCCGTGCCTGGTCAATGGAGATGTCCGCAGGGTCAAGGCCGACGTAGAGATCAATAGGTTGAGGTGCTAACTGCCATTTACCCAAATCCCCGCCTTTGCCACAGCCAAGGTCGATGACTAGCAGCCGTTTCTCCTCCACAGGCGGCGGCGCAGCGCCATTTGCCCAATCCTTAGTATCAAGGGATTGGGAAACAAAATCCTCATCAGGTGAGAACTTCTGAATAAGGGTGCTCTTGACCCAGTTGTTGAAGCTGCGCAGTCCTTTGATCTTGCTCTCGGTTTTGCGCCATTCTCTGCCGCGCTGAGGCACGGCATTGTAGTGTTGGCGAACGATATCAGTCACGCCTCGACTTTGAGAATAACGCATGGCATCATCTTCCTGAGCACGCGCTCGCTCTTCTTGTCTCCTGCGAATTGTTTCAGGGTCCACGAGGCCTCGACGTGCACCACCACCCGGCCGTTTCCGCTGTCGCGCCTGCGCTTCAGGTGTGGGCGAACGACGAGGTGGCAACGGAGATGGTGATCTGCGCGACTGGTCGCTTCGGTTCGGCACGCGTGAGTTCTCATCTGCATCGCGTCGTGAATAAACGGAGTGCGGTGATCGGCCGGGTCTTCGCTTTTGGTGTCGTTCCTGAACTCGCTTGCGCTTGGAGCCGAAACGGTCCTCCGCAGCAGATCTTGATGTGTCCTCCTCTTCTCCCAATTTCCGCTTTTTGTCGATAGGAGAGCCATGGCCATTTGCAGCTGCGCTAGGCGACACGCGACTCCCAGATTTCTCCACTGAAGTGTTGACCGGCCGGGGTCCTTCCGAGCCACGAGGCGAGTCCATGGCCGCAAGGAGTAGATACGGTTAAGATTTGTCCTCGGCGGTTTCTGGTTGACTTCGGGGTTGGGTAGGTGGTAGTTCTGGCCGCTCGGAGGGTAGTGCAGGTAAATGGAGTTGGTCTACTCTGCAGGAACCTAGGTTCCGTAATCTCGGTTTTGTTTTCAGATGCAGATTGGATTCTATTCGAGTTGCCTAAATGCACTTAATTAGCATGATATTCATCAACACAGTCAGTTGTCTGGAAATGGCTGGTGAAGTGACAATGATTTTGCTCGAGAGTCCTTTCCCTCCTTCATTCCAGGAAATATATTTCACCTTCGAAGGCAGTGAAAGCTCACATTGATAGACGACTCGTAATAATATGCAGGGCAACAAACGTACCAAAGAAGAGGGGTCATGTAGTTATTTCATTTGAAGCTGGTTTGTTGCGGAGCTGAGAACCAGTCCAAACGGAGATTAGCCAAAGCTTTGGACCAGATTAAGCTATGCCCACTTCGGCTAGTGAGCGATATCCTGTCTAGACAAAGATTGGATACAATTGAAAGAACTCCAGTCGCCGGCTATTAGCCGCTCTCTATAAGTTGATGAACAGGATTCTCACTCTTCCATCGCTATGCTCGTGATAATATATATTCTGCGTGGGCGGAAAATATGAAGTAAAACGCCCAGGCCAACCGCTTCAACGCTGCGCTAGTAATAAACCCCAGTATGAAGATATAAAATGGAAGCAATCATTATGTTGTTGATGGTTTTCTTCTTGGAGATTTAATATTCAGCACCTGTCTCATCCGGCGAATTTTGGCCCACCACTCTCGGTCCTTGGCTCTCCTTATATCGTCATTTTGTTCGTCGATCACAGGTTCGTCTGCAGTAGGTGCTTCTGATCCAGCTCGACTACTCATAGGGGTGTTTGTTCGGGCCTGTCGTAGATGCTTCACTTTGAGTGCCTGGGCCAGAAGCTCCCACCCACTGTGAAACCTCTCTGGTTTCTCAGAAGGTTTTCCTGTACCACTTTGAGCCCTGCCATTGATCCATGGGCAGTATTCCATATGCTCGTTAGCGACGTCTAGTGGGTCATGGACAGGTTCATCCCCGTTGCTCTTTGGCTTGTACATCCAAAGACCTAGGCGTCGGAAGCACATACTGCACCCAGCGACGCCCTGAGCCCCTCCAACAGAGTCCCAACCGAGAAAGGCTAGAGTAAATGCTGACTCGTTAATCAGAGTGCCGCTCTGAGACGAAGGTTGGGATATATGTTCTTGATTGTCGTCTGAGCTGAATTCCTGTGTCTCTGTAGTTTCCTGGCGTACGTCCGATGGCTGCAATGCCCCCGCAGGCAGAATAGAGATTATGTCCTTAGCGTTGAAGCCTTCCGGTGTTTGTAGGGAGTCAGGTTCGGGCAACTGGTTGGCCATCTTGAGTAAATGCGAATAGCGCGACTGCAGATGAGAGATTGCGGTGTCCGGATTTGTCAAAGGCAGTCGATGGATCGTAGCTGAGCTTTGTAAGTCAAAACATCCATTTCCCCAGATAGGGGATTGAGACAAACCATCACAGCCCTTGTTGCGCCACGGGCAATTCTCCCCGTGCGCTTGAACTATACGACCTGTATATTCCTGTACGAGCTTGGCACCTGAATCCCATCAGCACTAAGCCATTCTGGAACCATATGTAGATACTCACGGACATCCTTCCTTTCCTGTATCTTGTCGCCATCATAGCCATCCAGCTCGTCAAGCTCGTCGGGGATTTTAACAACAACGGAGCCACCACACCCTCCCACGCACGTAACACGTGCAACGTCCGTACAGATCCAGCCACGTTTGGCCCATTCCACCTCATTTACCGCAGAGGGTTTCGGTGACCAACGGTCTACTCGCCGAAAAGTCTCCAACCGCTCTAGAAAACGGTCGCGGTCCCAGGGAACGAAGCTAGGTCGGGATTGCGACGATACGGACGAGGCGCGCGAAACAGGTCGCGCAATCTTGAGAATGTCTTTCCGTACAGAGCCGAGGATACTATCATCTCGGCCGCTTAGGCGGGCCCGTTTCGCAGACGGGCCATGCTGAGCTGTCGCAGAGCTCGCGGGCTGCTTTGAGGATTCGGGATTCGAGGGTTTCGTTAGGGACTCGAGGACTCTGTGGAATTTGCGCTTCTTAGTTTCAAGCGCATAGGACATTTTTTTTAATAAGAGGCCATCTGACGAAGTGCGAGTTGAGGATTACGAGCCTTTGTTGTTGTTGGTAGCGCTCCGATGGTTGAATCTGCGCTAAGCCAAAACGGGATAGCTTCTGCCTCAGGAATTATATGAACCTCAAGGCTATTGCTACAGAAGTCTTTAGGGCTGCTGTGTATATACAAATGCTTGCTGAGTTACCTTTATGCTCATGCTCATCTAAGAGCGCCTAGTGCACACCGAACTCGTGGCCTCAACATCGTATGATATGCCTACTCTATCTAGTATCTACAGACTTCAAATTATGGCACCCTGATTGGCTCCGCGCATTCGGCCTAGAGCCCCGTATGTCCGCCGCATTCTCCGATCGCGACATTTGACACTTTTTTTCTCTCTCGAAGCACAAGTCCAAAACATTGTCGTTATTATGGCGTCTCTAGGGAGCTCTGCGCTCCTTTTTCGGCGCCTTGCACCGCGGCTTTCTAAAGAATTATTTACCTGCCGTCAATGCCTTGTCCGGAGCCAAAACTTTGGCACCAAAAGGACTCTCCGCACTCCCTCCGGTCTCTCCATTCAAAACAGCAGCAGGATCAATGCGACGTCCCTGAAGAGCCAAGCAAGGAAGGCCTTCGCACGATGCGCCTCCGACTCCGCCGCTGTCAACGGTACAAAGTCAGAAGCGTCGAAATCAAGTTTCCCCGATGTGAGCAACAAGAGTGTTGCATACTGGTTACTAGCCAGCGCGGCTAGTGTTTTCGGTATCGTTGTCTTTGGAGGCCTTACAAGGCTAACAGAGTCTGGGTATGTTGCAATCGTGATGTCTGCTTGACATATCGTTGACCGAAGTGTATAGTTTGAGTATCACCGAATGGCGCCCTGTCACCGGATCCCTTCCTCCCATGAACGCCGCAGACTGGGAATCCGAGTTCTCAAAATACCGTGCTTCTCCCGAGTTCCAGCTTTTGAACCCTACAATGACGCTCTCCGAATTCAAGTCTATCTACTACATGGAATGGATCCACCGCCTCTGGGGTCGATTTGTCGGACTCTCCTTCGTTCTCCCGGCTGTCTACTTTGTTGCTAGGAAAAGGGTCAGCAAGCCAATGGCACTACGATTAGCTGGTATTGCAGGCTTGATTGGATTCCAGGGATTTATCGGTTGGTGGATGGTCAAGTCCGGATTGAAGGACGACCTTTTCGCTCCCGGCAGTCACCCCCGTGTCAGTCAGTACCGCTTGACAGCGCATCTGGGTGCCGCCTTCGTCTGCTACACTGCAATGCTTTGGAATGGTCTTGCTATTCTGCGGTCCCATCGTCTTCTTTCTGACACTGATGCTGGAATTAAACTATTGGACACACTCAAGGATCCCAAGCTTAAGCTTTTCCGCCGATCTGTTGCCGGTTTGGCCGCTCTTGTTTTCGTGACTGCCATGTCCGGTGCTCTTGTCGCCGGTCTCGACGCCGGACTTATTTACAATGAATTCCCCTGGATGGGTAACGGACTTACACCTCCCAGGTCGGAGCTGTTTGATGACAGATATTCTCGCCACGAGGACCGCTCAGACAGGTGGTGGAGGAACATGCTCGAGAACCCTTCCCTTGTCCAATTGGACCACCGTATCCTGGCTATGACAACATTCACGTCCATAATGGCTCTCTGGGGCTACACGCGCATGTCGCCTAACATGAAGCGTTTCCTGCCACCCGCTGCGAAGAAGGGCGTTCACGGTGTCGTCGCCTTCGCTTGTGTGCAGGTCGGACTCGGTCTGACAACCCTACTGTACCTTGTTCCCACTCCCTTGGCTTCAGCTCACCAGGCTGGAAGCTTGTTCCTTCTTACTTGGGTTCTCGTGCTTGGTAGCCGTGTATGGCACCCTTCACGAACCGCGAAGTTGCTGCAGATGGCAGCAAAGGCGCGCGGCCACTCGTTGTCAAATGCCGCGCGTCAGGCCGCTCCTAGGCTATGAAATAATGGGCCAACACGAGAGTCTTCAAGCTATCAGATTCTAAAGCTTTGGCTTACTCACTGTATCATTACGAAAATCTCTACTTATTTCCCTGTACATTACTGCCTTGATTGGCCTCCATATATTTTGATCATTCTATCGATCATCAGCGGAATACATGTTCGATTATCAGGTTAATGATTTGGCCTCTTCTCAGCGCTATCACAAGTCCCAATACATTCCGCTCTAGCCACACACCCGAACCCTAAACGATGGCCGACAACTCGAAGCCACATGCTCGCAAAGGCCCAATTGCCCTCTTTATGATCCCAGAAGACTAAAGGTGCTAGAAACAAAGTTTCGCACAAGACTCGGCCTTATCGCAATGAGACGCAAGATACCCAAAAGAATGTTCCCTTTGCAAGCCTTCACCGCTGCTCTTATAGATCGTAGTAATTCGTCCTGCGACGTTTCGAGTAATCCTGCCCACCGTTCTCGTTGCTTCCCGTTTCGTCTTTCGTATAATCAGAATCCAAATCACTTAAAGGGTCATCGGTTTCGCTGTCGTTATCTTCGTCGCCATCTCCGTCGTCATAACTGTCGGCCTCGTCATCCATGCTTTTGCCTGAGTGGAGAGCAAGCAATATCTTAGCACATTTGAGGTCTTCCGCGGTGGCATCAATATGGATATGACGATAATTCTCATTAGAGACACCAGTGTCTTCGTTGTGCCTAGCCACAAGGGTCTGAGGGGAGAGGCTGGAGGGACAGTTCGTAGTATACAGGTCACCAGCTCGACCGTTATCATATGGAATATCCGATCCAGAAGAAATGGTCTCGTCGTTGTAGCTGGATTCAGAGGATGAATTAAGCGCGGGGAGGGCCGTCCTTCGAGCAGCTCGAGAAAGTCGACCGTCTCTCGGTCTAGGTGGTTGAATTGAAGAAGATATTCCGTCCCGGATATTGTGCTGACTATCCCTCGCCCTGGGCTGTCTAGATGTTAAGGAAGTTTGAGAAGGGGAGGTAGGAGTTATTGTTCGCCTGCTAACGCTCGATCTCGTAGTCCTACCAGTCTCAACAGAGGAATCTCTACCACGATGCGGATCGGAAGAACGTGAATCTGCCGGACCTCTTGCTGGCAGGCTCTCTGACGCAGATCTAGACCTAGACCTAGGTCTTCTAGTCGTCGCCGTTACAGCAACACGCTGTGCATTCCTGATTTCGGTATCGAGAGCGCCGTTCTCGTGTGTTTCGCAGCCGCATTGGTGAGTACATTGCCTGTCCATCCTGCTATGCTCGCATCTTGGATCCGAGTGGCAGGTACTGTGACAAGTCTGCCAGCCACATTTCTTGCATTGAAGCATGTTTAAGTTGATGTTTCGTCTCGTGCAGACGTCGCATTTTGCTGTTCTCGCATTTATACGCTCCCACTCGCCTAAGATTTCATCGCGAGATGAAGATGAGGCATGAGGACGACGACGAGAGGTATTCCCGGATGTTCTTCTTCTAAGGGCCATAGCTAATGTCCCGACTGGGAGATATAATTAGACCGTCTGACGTAGGATAGAAAGGAGTTGGTGGCAGGTGCTTTGGAACAAGTGACTTCAGATCTTGTATTAGGTGACTTAAGGAGTAGATGGGAGGCTGGAACGAGACATGGAGTATTGTAAAAGGGATGCGTTTAGGAAAAAACCACACCTGGGCAGGACAAGACCGGCCCTGTAAACGGGAAATTGAAAGCCTAGAGCTATAAAGCGATCAACCCTTGTTGAGAGGTTCTAGTAATCCCGGGAATGTCATCGTTATTGTCTGTAAGGTATAACGGAATCCCTCCATTCATGCGGATGGAAAGGCAGAGCGGATCCCAGACTAATGAAGGGTTGGATTCACTGTATAGAGGCCTTCCGTGTTAGCGATGATCTCGTGATCTTTATTTCCAGAATTCAAGTGGAGGCTCTACAAACCGGTTACCCGATATGGAAGTTGTTCTTCTGGGGCGTTCTTATTGCAGCTAGCATACTATTGAGCAACTTCAGTGTCTTCGTAATGGCTTTCCCTTTGGATAAAAGTGCTTATGGGAAAGAAAGCAGAGCAGGGGATAATGTATAAGAGTGATGTTATTTCGATTTAATTTATCTCTTTTCAATAAGCTCATCATGGAATATCATCAAAAGGCGTCATTTTTGCGTGAACCGAGACCTCTAAATATCTATTTGTGGGCTACACAAAACAGACGTGTTAGCTGATCGCCCTGAAATAGGATATTTCAGGTAAAACTTACGGATTCCCTCCTCGGGCTGAGGCTGGATGCCAACAACCTCAGCAGCAGACTTGCCCTCGGCGGCGGTCTTATCTTCCTTCATGAAGGGGAAGGCCAGAACCTCCTTGATACTGTAGTTGTCCGTCAAGAACATGACCAGACGGTCAATACCCATACCCCAACCACCGGTGGGAGGCAGACCGTACTCCAAGCTGGTACAGAAGTTCTCGTCAATAAGCTGAGCCTCGTCATCACCTTGGTCCTTCTGGCGGGCCTGTTCCTCGAAGCGGAGACGCTGGTCGAAGGGGTCGTTCAACTCGGTGTAAGCGTTGACAATCTCCTTCTTGCAGACGAAAGCCTCGAAACGCTCACAGAGACCGGCGTTCTGGCGGTGGTACTTGGCCAGAGGAGACATCATCTGAGGGTGGCCAGTGATGAAGGTGGGGTTAACACAGGTCTCCTCGATGAACTCGCCCACGAGCTTGTCGAGCATACGAGCGTTCGTGAGGGGTGGTGAGCACTCAACACCAGTCTTCTTCAGGACCTTCTTGAGGAACTCGCCGGTCTCAGCAGTGTGCAGCTGGTCTCCGGGCGGGAACTTCTCGCCGGTGGCCTCTTCAAGAGCAGGAATCATCTCCACCCGCCTCCAGGGGGCCTTCCAGTTGACCTTGTATTCCTCACCGGTCTGTGTGTGGAAGGTAGTCTCGTAGCCGCCGGTGATGTGCTTAACGAGACCGGAGACAAGCTCCTCCGTCAGGTTCATGACGTCGTAGACATCAGCGTAAGCCCAGTAGAACTCGCAAGTAGTGAATTCAGGGTTGTGGGTAAGGTCAACACCTTCATTTCGGAACTGACGGCCGAGCTCGTAAACACGCTCAAGACCTCCAACAATGAGCATCTTGAGGTACAGTTCGGGAGCGACACGCATGAAAAGGTTCATGTCGTGCTCATTGTGGTGTGTGACGAAAGGCTTCGCTGTCGCACCACCAGCAATAGCGTTCATCATGGGAGTCTCAACTTCGACGAAGTCCCGCTGATCGAAGAAGTTGCGGATATAAGTAACCATCTTGGAACGGGTAATGAAAACATTACGAGACTTGTCGTTCATAATCAAATCAAGATAACGCTGGCGGTAGCGCTGTTCCTTGTCCTGGAAACCGTAGTGTTCGGTGGGAATGGCGTGAAGGCAGGGAGCGAGGAGAACCACTTCGGTCGCGAAAATGGAAAGCTCGCCATCCGGTCGGTTCTTGGGGTTGCTGCGACCAGGGAAACCAACAATACCGACGATATCACCTCTTCGAAGGTGTTCGTGCTGGTCTTCGAACGAAACAGCACCGGAAATGTTCTGAGCCTGGCACACCACCTGCACCTTGACACCCTCGGCGCGAATATCGTAGAAGATCAGCTTGGCACCGGACGCGCGCTTGGTGTAAATTCGGCCAGCAATTCGGACGGTAGTCTCCGGCTTCTGCTCGCCCTTCTCAAGGCTCTCATAGTCCTTCAGGAACTTGCGAAGGTCGTCGGTGACCTGGAACTTGTGGGGATAGGGATCGGGTTGCTTGGTCTCTCGGAGCTTGTTGATACGCTTGCTGCGGATCTCAAAGTATTGCTAGATCCAAAGAAATCACAAATCAATTACTCCTCCATCGCATCTTAACATAACATGAGACCACTCACGTTGGCAGTCAAGTTCGCCTCCTCGTCTTCGGCGGAGACCTTCTTCTGCGCAGCAGGCTTGGGAGGGGCTGCAGCTTCCTTCTCCTTCTTCTTGGCCTCCTTCTCGCGCAGCTTCTGGCGTCTCTTAAGCTCAGACTTGGAGACCTTTTCGCCAGTGACCTCATCGAGCAAGAGGTTGGCCATCGAGGCCTCGGCCTCCTGGACAGGGTTGGAGTCGGTCATGATGAAAAATTGGTTAGTCGACGCTCTAATTACTCGCTTCAAGCGACGCGAGTAATAATCAGAGAAAATCGTCGGCCGTGGATGGTTGTTCTTCAAAGGCGAAGTGGGAGGGGGGATGGAGAAAATGCGCCAAAGATTTTTGGGCGGGAGTCATCGCGGGATCGCTATCATTGGGTCTTCAGATCTACTGCGAGTACAATGACTCATTAGACAAACGTGCATCTTGCATTATTTCTGGGTTCTACATAGTTATCATCATCCTAGCTTATTCCTTCGCACAGAATGTCCAATCCATGTACACCCAAAACCATACATCTCCAACCCACCAAAGACCTCCCTTCTCAAGGAGCAGATAGGGCTTAGGGTACGGGCATGAAGTGGGGTATGCAATGAACTGAACCCCGCCTTGAAGTGCAACCATAGAAGAACCCGGAACAACAACATAAGGTTACCATGGCCCTGACGAAGAGGGCTTATTCAGTGTTGATGCTTAGTGCCAGCTGTCGTGTGCCTCGGTCTTCACCTCGGGTTCATCGTCCCCCATCACTTCGTCTTCATCGTCGGCAGTTCCAGTCTCGGTGTTCAACCATTCTTGGGCCTTCAGTACCTTTTCCTTTTCCCTCTCGAAGTATTGCCGACGCTGCTGTCGCTCAACATCTTCAGACATGAGCTCGTTACATCTCTCCGAGGCTAGCAGATTCAACGTTAGAACCATTGTTGTTAAGGAGAAGAAGGGCCATACCATTCTCATCACCAATTCCTAGTTCGCTCTCAATTGTCTTGACCAGAGTCTCGCGGCATTTAGAGAAAAGCTTTGTATGTACAGTCTGACATACAGAATCGACAAATCTCGTGCTGGCCACTTCATAGTAACCTCGTGTTTTCTAGAGACAGTCAGTAACCGCAGCCTATTCATTGTGCTCAATTGACGTACCGCCATCATTTCCACTTCACGACGAAACTCGTCAACTCCTAGTTCGGAAACTCCAAGTTTCTTCCTTTCATTTTCCCTTCGCGGATCGTTCTTAGGGAATCCTTGAAGGGTAAGGTAAAGATTCTCTCGGGCGACTAGCCGCTTAGATTCTAGGAACTTCCGTGCGTTTGCTGTTGCTTGGTCTAGTTGAGTGTAGGCCATGGTGAATGGCTGTTGATGCTCAATCTCGTAGAGTTCCTCCACATGGGCGACGTGCTCAACATATAGCTGCCGCAAATAAGTCTTGATAATCTTTTCTAGTTCTCTGAAAAGCACCGTCTGATTATATTCGACAAAAACCTCCTTCATCTCATGCAGGATCATCTTCTTAGCAAGTTTGTGACTCTCATCGATGAAGATCATCATTGGGCATCGCCAATGAGCAACACTCATCTTATTCAATTCGTTAATGGCCTTTGGGTTGATGAGCTTGGGTATTCCAGCGCTCGCGGAGTCCTCGTTTAACTCTCTTATGACTTCCCATTTGAACATGCACGCAGGGTCTTTGAAACGAGCAAAGTGCTCAGTATGGTACTTTGGGGATTTCTTTGCTCCGTCTGCGACAGTAGAAGACGACGGACCGGGCGAGTCATCAGACAGCTTGCGTTTTGTAGAAAATTTCACAATTTTGCATTCAGAGTCGTCATCATCGCGGTCAATATCCATTGCCTGTTCATCAAGTTCTGCCACCAGTTTCACAGTCGGGCGTGTCATGACCAAAGCAAGCTTGAAATCCTCTGCAATGTTGTTCCAGAGCTTTTGCAAGGGGTACTGCCGGGAACCCCCATCAATCTGACTGTGAACTTTGTCCTTGAACATGTGAAGCTTCTTGCACAGAATGAATGGAACGTTACCAGAGGGCGGAGCGGCGAGCCTAGAGAGTTCTTGGTCGATGTGTTCGGCCTTCTTCTTGATCTCGTCAATGATGCGAGGAAGACATGCCTGGATTTGCTGAAATAGAAGTTCAGACAAAGCTGTCTGTAGGTTGCGCGTCCCAAATCTGTTGCGATATGCCACGAGGTCGGCAAAACATGGAGAGGACCTGAAGAAGTCGTCTTCCTCTTGCCTAGCCACCGAGTGCTCGACTGAGGGATCATGATTGTTTTTAACAACGTAGTATCCGTGATCATAGCTGAACTTATTTCCTTCCAGGATCTTGAGCCACTGGGTGAACGACTCTCCGGGCTGGACGCGGTCAGGCTTGGTGAGTACGCCCACGGCCCTATCCTTTGCTCCACGGATGCCATTCATAATTCGAGCGGCGCTGCTGTTCTCGACATCATTTGTCATGGGAAGAGTCAGGAGAACGATGCAGTTATCCTGACTAATGTAACGTTTCACCAGGTTCTCGACAAGCTTGATCAGATGGTGGTCTTCGTCGGACTCGACCTGATTGATGACGCCAGGTAGATCGTAGAACGAGAGACTTGGAAACCCAGGTGCTGATATGTCCAGCCGAACTATATTTGGGGAAAACTTTTCTTGAAAGTCAAGATTTTCGACTCCAATATTCCTCCTCGGTAGGTAATTTGCTGGAGCTCGTCCAGGATTTAGAATTGCGAGTTGCGCACATCTGATTGCTTCTGCGATTTGGGCCCTGTCCGTGATGGTGGTAAATAGTTCATCCTCTTGCTCCATCTCGACCCATGGCCCCAACGAATGAGACTTCCTCGACCTTATCGTCTTTCCCGACCCGTCGTACATGTATTTGCGGGACAGATACACGTGGCATGTCCATGGCTCACCCCGTTTACTGCCAGAAAGGTTGATCTCCATGGGACAACGTGTGCAGGTCCCAGAGCTTCTCGGAACCTTGATCTCACTCATGCCTTCGATCAGCGAGCTCTTGCCTGTGCTTTGATCTCCAATGACGCAAATCTTAGGAAGAGTAATATGGGAATCTTCAATTCCAAGGTGTCGAAGATCCTGAATCTTCCTGACTAGAGTAGTCATGCTTTGAGCAAGGATGTTCAACGGCTCTGACGGGATTTGGTCCACGGTCGGAGTAGACTCCCCGGTGGAGGCTGTAAAACGGTTAGTCTGCCAACATATCATAGGTTAACACAGATGACTTACGCGTATTTTGACTCATGTCGATCCGGGGCGTAACGCTTCTTATAGAGAGCGAGGAACGTTTCATCATGGAACTCGGTTTGACCAGAACCCTAAGAGTATTGCCGAGACAGAAGCGCTAGAAGCAGGCGTAGGAGACAGACTCAACCTCAAAACTAAACGGCGTGTTAGGACTCCGGGATAGAGAAGACAGAAGGGAAAGAGAGAAGGCGAGAGAATGTAAGAGGATGAATAACAAAAGGAGGCGGCGGGACTGGGTGAGGGTAAGGTGAGTGATAGGAGGTGTTGAGGAGGGAGAGTTGAAGGAGGGAGGGTTGATGAGTTGAAGGATGAAGAGTTGATGAGGAACAAAGCCGCCTGTTTGACCGCTAGCTAGGCAGCAATAAGAGCTGGCAATTAGCAGGCAAGATGGTGAAACGAAGTTTCTGTTCATGTTATGCATTTTGTTCTGTTTGTTTGTGTTGTGTTAGTATACAGCTGAGGCTATAGCATGTTATTAGATAATTGACTATATTTCTAGAAATATACCACGTACTCTGAGTTAGTGCCATTTTTAGCTCTCAGAGTCATCAAATGACAGGCATACAATATAGTAGACTCACCACTACCTACATGAACAAGATGGTGAGGTGTTGTTGCGGACGTTCATAGTTGGTTAGCGAGTTGACACCTGAACAATAAGGTATCATAGTTGCCAGAAGCGGCGAGGCCCAGTGCATCGATTGGGCAGGGCAATCCGTCTAGAAATCTTCCTAATTTTAGTAAGCTCTATGGAATGCAATATGTAGAAATAGTGCAAACAGTATGGATGGACAGATATGTATCTAGTCGTACTCAAGATGGCGGAGGAGGAGCTCGCAGATCTGGTTCCTGAGACCTGGAGCATTACCTAGGTAGGAGTGGACCTCACCTGGGCAGCCTGATCAACTGACTTGACGCCGCGGAGCCCAGTGAAGTCACCCTCAACGCTAGATCTCTTTCCCCTGAACAACATTTCTTCTGTGCCACCTTGTCTATTAGCCGTCGTCAAGTTTCTCTTTGTGTCTACTGATACTTGCTCTCCCTTAATTGTTTATCTTCGAGCGACTCTCCTCTATTTTGTCTGCCTATTCAACTCTGTGCCTCTGCCCCTCCTGCCACAATGCTTCAACTACCTGTGCGAGAATATAACAGCGCGGCTTCCGGTGGAAGTACGAAGGCTATAATCCTGGTAAGATAGCGTTTGCTTCATTTACCCTCTACAATCCAGAAGCGTTCGCTCCAAAACTAATCAGTTGTTCCTAGGTTGGCGGCCCCTCCAGAGGAACTCGTTTCCGACCTCTGTCTCTCGATGTCCCCAAGGTTGGTTTCTGTCCAAATAGAAGCTCCACCTGTCTATCGCAAGTTATCTGACGACTTCAATGCCTACGATAGCCCCTGTTTGAAGTGGCTGGCCACCCAATTATCCACCACTGCCTCAAGGCCCTCGCGAAGATCCCCGAGCTCCACGAAGTTATCCTGATCGGCTACTACGATGAGACCGTTTTCCGCGATTTTATCAAAGACTCCTCGAAAGAGTTCCCCCAATTCCGCATTTCATACCTTCGAGAATACACGGCGCTAGGTACCGCCGGTGGTCTGTACCATTTCCGCGACCCCATCCTCAAAGGAAAGCCGGAGCGCATCTTCGTGCTCAATGCGGATGTTTGCTGTTCGTTTCCTCTGGGTGAGATGCTGAGGTTGTTTGAGGAGAAGGATGCTGAAGCTGTCATTCTGGGAACTCGGGTTCACAACGACGCAGCTACAAACTTTGGATGCATCGTATCCGACTCTCACACCAAGCGTGTTCTTCACTACGTCGAGAAACCGGAATCCCACATCTCGAATCTAATCAACTGCGGAGTGTACCTCTTTGCAACAGAATGCATTTTCCCCTCCATTCGCAGCACCATCAAGCGCCGGACTACTCGCCCTCGTCTGTTATCCTATCCTTCTTCTGACAACTTGGAATCTTCGTTTATCGCCGACGATGATTCAGAGCAAACCGAGGTTTTGCGTCTGGAGCAGGATATCCTCTCCGATCTCGCTGACAGCAACCGTTTCTTTGTCCACGAGACGAAAGATTTCTGGCGGCAGATCAAGACCGCCGGATCTGCTGTTCCGGCTAACGCTCTCTACCTCCAGAAAGCTTTCCAGGCGCAGTCCGAGGAGCTCGCTGCTCCCTCGGCTACCATCGTTCCTCCCGTCTTTATCCATCCCACCGCAAGCGTAGACCCAACGGCAAAGCTCGGTCCTAATGTGTCAATTGGACCTCGCGCTGTTGTGGGTGCTGGAGCTCGTGTCAAGGATTCAATTGTTCTGGAAGATGCAGAAATCAAGCATGATGCATGCGTCATGCACTCGATTATTGGCTGGAGTGGGCGAGTCGGTGCCTGGGCTCGTGTGGAGGGAACGCCCATTCCCAATGGAAGCCACTCCACTAGCATCATCAAGAATGGTGTCAAGGTGCAGAGCATCACCATCCTCGGAAAGGAGTGCGGTGTAGGTGATGAGGTACGCGTGCAAAACTGTGTATGCTTGCCGTACAAGGAGCTCAAGCGCGTAAGTAGATCCCATCCACCATCTTCTATTGAAGCTGACAAGAACCTAGGATGTTGCCAACGAGGTCATTATGTAGGCCTTATAAGCTTAATCACTTTCGATTATTAAACTAATACTATCAAACTTTCTGACGTCCAACAACACTATTCAATTTGTGGTGTCTGAGATCTTTTTCATACTATGGGGAGCCCGGTCAACGGAGCACATAAAAGATGAGAGCACACAATTATCACGGCTAATATATTCCTTCCCTAGCTTCAATTCAAATGTCAATGACATAAGTAAAGTGAGACCCCATATACGCCGATATCTTCGGGCAAAAATAAAACTGGCAGCGAACATAGAATCGTAAAGTTTTGCTTGTTCCCAATAATCAACTCGAGCCCCTTACCTATACGCTGTCGGATCATAACCAGTCTGCTGTCCATAACCATATGGATTATCATAGGCGCTCATCCTCATCCTCGAATGCGGCTGCGGCGGCGCATCCGAATACCTCTCCAGCGCCGTATTACTAGCATACGGCGGCGGCTGGTGCAACGGCCTACTATCCCCGATATCCATTTCCTCAGAGCGATCCCTTAGATGCCCCGGCGTATCATATCTCCCTCCCGAAACAAGGGGGGCCCTATCCTCGTCCGCGAGTCCCGGTCCCGCACCCATAGGCGGATGCGGGAACGACCCTGAGAGCGCACTGCTATCCCGATTATGCGCACCGGGCTTGTACTCTGCCAGGTTATGTCCTTCCACTCCCAAAGCCATGGGGTCATATTCGCCGAGTCTTGTTTGACGACGGTACGCAATGACATCAAGGGCTATGGATGCGATAAGGAACGCAGCGCCAATGATCGTGAATGCGAAAAGGGCCTTGAAAATGCGGCAGACCGTGATGCCGGTCGACGTCGCCCAGTATGTAGCATTGCAGGTTGTGAGGATAGTATGTGAGACGGACCAGGCGAAGAGGACGAACGCGACGGCCCAGATGACGAAGACGATGGAATTTGTGATTAGGGAGAGGCGAGGGGAAAGGCCGTGGCAGCAGTGGAGGAGTGTGGTGACGATGAGGTTTAGAAGGGAGAGGAAAGCCGCGATTATGAGCTGAAAAGCAGATATTAGAATCGAATTTAGATCATTGTCATAGTTAGGAGTGAACTTACCACAAGGAAGGCCCAGGGGAATTTCTGGTCGGCTTGGTGCAATCTATATGCAAAGACGGCGAGGATAATGGCGACAAGGAGGGAGGAGATAAAGAGGATGAAGCGAATGAAGTGGAACGGTAGGGCTGGGTACTCGGAGGGTTTGACGGATCTGCGACGCATGGTTGAGATGTCGACCAAATAGTCGTGATGAGAGCTGTCAGATCAATGATGCGGACGTGGAGGTATGGAGTAAACAATCGATTGTATCCAGGGGTCTGGCATGGGCAACTTCAAGAATGGATGTTCTTGACCAGCAAGAGAGGAAGATGTCAAAAGTAAAACCGAATCAACAGAGATCAGCCCCAGACCCAAGATGGTTTAATCTATTTTAAGGTGATGATCTGAAGATATGCTGCCAATTGCCATGGCAAAGCCTCATTCGGCCCCATCGCAACACCCTGCTCGCTCCACCGGCCACGAATCCCCCCACTGCCCACGCAGCCTTAGACAACGTCAAGTCGTCAACTTTGATCTCTAACGATCTCTATTGTCACTACTATGTTTGATGCTTGATGAGCTTACAGTGCCAGGCTTTTGAAAAGAGAATATGGTCATGCTTACATCTCAAATACCGTTCAAACCCCTACACTGCTAATTAGAAGCAACTACGCAAACAGCTGCGGCTCGTATTGATTTCCCCACACTCGTCGCTAGAGCCCAGATCAACGCTTCCTGCACACGTACACCGCATCTGTCAATAACATCATCTGAGTGCCTGGCTTCACCATGGCAACTGTGCTCACCACCTCCGTGCCCTGGCATGATGGCGAAAGCAAAATGCATCGGCTTCTGCGCGTTCCAAACCAGGACAATCCCACCGTGCCGTTCCTCAATCACGGAGCAGGTCTGCTGATCAGGAGGTCTCCTTTGCTTGCGATAGGAGCTCTGGATAATGAAGGGAAGCCTTGGTGCTCCCTCTGGGGTGGAGAGGAGGGCCTCGCGACTCCGACATCTGTTTCCAGCTTCGACATCAAGACTCCTGTTGGGAGGACCTATGACCCCGTTGTGGAGAGTCTACTGCTTGACCCTGCGGGGAGTAATGGGAAGCCAGTGGCCTTTCTAGCTGTTAATCTCGAAAGTCGAAGAAGGGTGAAGTTGTTCGGCAAGATAACTGCTGGGTCATTAAACGTCACGGGCGAAGACGAGCGTATTCGCGCGGGCATCGCGCATCTTACCGTCCATGTTAATGGCAGTCTCGGTACGTTTTGACTTCCTTGCAGCCGGATCGCCTGTAATGGTCTTGCTAGGTAACTGTCCTAAATACCTCAATGCAAAGCGTATTGTTCCTGCGCCACCTGATCCGAAACTCATCTCAGAAACACCTCAGCTGCACCCCCAGGCCATGGAGCTTCTAAGTCATGCAGATTGCCTGTTCATATCCTCATCACACAGAGCCCAGGACATGGACACAAACATCCGCGGAGGACCTGCAGGGTTTGTCCGTGTCTTGTCAAATGAGCCTGCTGGTGCAGTGTTTGCGTACCCAGAGTACTCCGGAAACCGGCTCTACCAGACTCTTGGTAATCTTCAGATAACGCCGCTGGCAGGCTATGTCTTCCCTGACTTTGAAACGGGAAATGCATTGTTCGTTACAGGTAGGACGGAGATTCTCATTGGGAAAGAAGCGTCATCCATCCTTCCTCGCTCGAACCTTGTAGTCCGGGTGTCCGTCACCTCAGCTCGCTTTGTCGGGAAAGCACTTTCATTTCGAGGCGTCCCCGGAAAGTCCTCCCCGTATAACCCTACCGTTAGATACCTCGCAACTGAGAAAAACTCCGCTGCAGCGCTGGGTAATTATGAGTCGTCCGTCACAGCAACGATGATAGAGAAGCACATTATCACCCCGTCAATTGCGCGTTTTCGGTTTCGCATATCAGATCCTACGGAAGCTGGGACATGGACACCAGGCCAGTATGCGACATTTTCGTTCTTTGATGAGCTGGACATGGGTTACAGTCATATGATGGACGACGATCCATCTAGTTTAAATGACGACTATGTACGTACGTTCACCATCTCGTCGTCTCCAGGCCACGTTCCCATCGGCGAGTTTGAGATAACGATCCGAAAACACGGGAATGTGACTCGCTATCTGTTTCAGACAAGTGATAGGGCTGGACTGGAAGTACCTCTAAAGGGGTTTGGGGGCGAGTTTCGACTACCGGAACCGAGCAGTGGTATACTGCCATTCATAGCAGGGGGAATCGGAATTACGCCTATTCTCGCCCAGATCCCCGTTATCGATGTTAGCCTGCTACGGCTTTTTTGGTCCATCTCAATCAAGGATATCGCTTTAGTATTGGACACCTTCAAACGGTTTCCAAAGCTGCCACCTGTAACGACAGTGTTCATTTCTGGGCTAGACACTCAGAGTGACGAGACCAGCCCTGAATTGGAGGTAGCCGCCTCATCTGGAGCGCAGATCAGAGGGCGCCGAGTGGAAGCTCAAGACCTCGATCTTTCGCTCGCCAATGTGTGGTACTTTTGTGGCAGTCCAGCCCTGAAAGTGTCTGTATTCAATTGGTTGGCTGGTAAACAAGTAGTATACGAGGATTTTGACTATTAAGATAGCAAATTAACGTTTTGAGTACATCAAGATACGTACACAGTAGATAGTTCACCAAAGCATTCATCCTTGATCCGTAGTCATTTGTGATGTTGTTTGTTGAAACATCAAAGATCCTTGGCTTCGGCAGCCGAAAAACGCGTCACAGTGCTGCTGCCTCCCGCTGGAGCTATCCCGGCCCTGGTCCCTCACTGACTCCGCTACATAAACCACGCCCGATCTCCGGCCTTACACTCCAAGGGAACTTCTCAATCCTTACAATCCGATATCCTCTCACGTCAGACATCTCCCTCTTCTACAGATTAGTCCAACACAACCAAGAGGACAACTCGTCCTCCCCGCTCACCACCATGTCCACCTACGAAGGCAAGAAGCAATCCCCAAGCCCACTAACCAAGAAGCACCAACTGACCCATCAACTCTTCCAACAGTTGAACACAACCTTACCTCCGATCCCTCAACCCCTCAATCCCAAACCCAAACGCGCCGCCGCCGTCCCGACCTCTCTACCTTCTTCGCGACTCTCTCCGAAATCTCCCCGGATGAAGCCCGCTCGCGCCGCCATGCTGTGCCCGTCCCCGGCGACGTCAGCGCCGCATTCTACTCTCTCGCCGAAGCGCTAAATATCATGCGCCGTGAAGGAGGCGGAGGAGACGCGGGAGCTGCAGGTGCAGAAGGAGACATCGGGAGCTTCCCCACGCTTAATTCAGACGGAACCCCGATTCGGGTTCATGGAGACGATTTGCTGGCGCAGATGATTCAGACGCTTTTAAGTGAGGCGGAGACGCCGCCGACGGAGGTAGAGGGGGTTAGTGAGGAGTTTTGTGATAGTACGCACCCGTCCACCGATGTCCATTTCCAGGTTGCGATGCTGACGTTGATGGTAATTACAGTGCTCGACCGTGTCCCGCGCGGCTCGCTGAAACCCGAGCAAGTGTGTCCGATTTGCAGCAATCCGTTCCTAGACGACAAATACCCGCTCGTTGTGCGGTTACCGTGCCACCCGACGCATTTGTTTGATTTGGAGTGTGTGAGGCCTTGGTTGAGACTGAGGGGTACGTGTCCGCTTGACCGGACGGACTTTGCGAAGCAGGAGAGGGACAAGGTTGAGGAGCGCAAGAAGATAGCGGAACAGGATGACGAGGAGGAGTGGGATGGTATGTACGGATAAGTCACGAGTTATGTCAGGCTATCGAGTTCTGGAGTTGGAGGGTGTTGTTTACGAGGCTACGTGAGTGGATTGGTCGCATTGCGTTAACGGGAGTATCTTGCATAGCATGTCTAGAGTATGTACAGGTTGACATCTACATTTTATCTCGACCCAAGCCGTTCAAGAGCTGCCTTGCCCGTCTCGCGGCCGAAGCGCCAGCTTACCGGTTTTATCGATAACGGCTTCAAGGCCTCGCTGCTCTAACATACCATGGTCATCGCGGACTTCCCGCGCTTCGAGGTCTTCAATGAGCTTCTGGTTCTCACGATTACCCTCAAGCAAGAACTTGAGGCACATCACGGCATGTTCCTTGATATAAGGGTTGTGCGCATCGAAGTTTGTGCAGGACAGGATCGTCTCAACACCACCATGCTTGCGGATCTGATCCTGGACTTCAGGGCACTTCCACACAAGAGAGGAAAGAACAAGCACAACGAGTTTCTTCAGGTTGCGCCATTCAAATTCTGAAGGATCTTCCGTGATCGGCGGAGACTCGGGACGAGACGCGGTGCCGCCATCTGTAGGGTCTGGGTCACTGGGATCATAGGGTCGCTCGACAGCGATCGGGCCAGGGCTTGCACTCTGCTGCTGGTCCCTGGAGGGGCTGTTGCGGCCGAGATTCAACTGGCTCAGTTGGCCTTTCGGGATACTGGCCTCAAGTTCTTTGATGAGCGTGACGAGATCGTAGACAATTTCCCACTTGACGAGAAGATTCTTCCAGTCGTTGTTCTCCGTCAGGACCGCGAAGAATTCAAGGAACTGGTAGACACCTTCGTAGACGCGTTCCATGTCCCACAGATTGAGAGGGAAGTCTTCTGGCAGGGCGCGGCCTGCGCGGATCTGTCCCTGGAGATAGATGAGGGCGCATGTCTCGGGGATGATGTTGCCGCGGAAGATCGTGAATATGTAGCGGACTGTGAGAACGTCGACTCTGGAAAGGGGGGCTGGGCTCTTGGTAGTGTTGGCCTGTCCTGAGCCAGTGACTGAGGCGGGAGAATACTTGGCTCGGAAGATGTGCGTGAGGATCTTCACGACAACCGCTTGTGCAGGGGAAATAATGTCCTTAGGCTGGCCAAAGTCTGAGTAGGCGTGAGACATGAGGCCGTTTTTGAGGACGGCGTCCATAATTTGCACCATCATCTTGAAGTAGAGCTCGTCATCAGGGAGATCCCATGCGGCAATGAAAATTAGAAGCTCCCGCAGCAGGTTACGTCCCGTCTCCTGTGTGAGAAGAATATGGCATCGAAGAGCTTGCATGTTTCGCGATCCAGTTCGTTCGCCGCCCTTAAGCCCAAAGCTGTCAACAATACCGGCTTGGATGATCATCGGAAGAGCCTCGATCTCAGCAGGTCCCAGCACAAGGGGGATATCGGTCAACAACCCACGCTGCTGATCGCCTGGGCGCCCGCGGTAGTCGTCGTCATCTTCATCGTCCTCTTCCTCCTCTTCATCAATGCTTCCGTCGGCGACTGCTTCTAAGCTGCGCGAGTCGTCATCGCCAACAGTGCCCGCGTCGCCGGCATCATAATCATGATCTCTCTCATCGCCCATCTGCGAAGCCTCCTGAAGTCGGGCCATCAGCTCATCCTTGGCTTCTTGAAGCGTCTCCGCCGCCGACTGGGAAGACCTCGGCATGGTAGTATCTTCCTCCGCGATTGGAGCATCGCCAGCGGCGAGCGCGCCGTATTCGTTGAGATCTGGAAGGTCTGACCAGCATATCCGAGGAAACCCAGCAGTCGGGCTGCGATCGATGGTAAGAATAGCCTTTTTCCGAGGAGGTTCATCGTCCGGAAGAGCGGGTGGGAGGTCCTTCGCTCGGTCTTGCAGGTCGGACCATCCATCCACTTTTGCACCCAAGATAGCAGTAAGAGCGGCACGGATCTCTTTAACTTGATCAGGGTCTTTGCCCATTTCCTGAATAGCTGTCAGGTCGCGTCCAAGCAGCTTTTCCATGTGATCTTTGATGTTTGCAAGTAGTAGCATAGCTGCTTCCTCTTTTATGGTGGCCGGTTCTCGAGGAAAGTTGGAGATCGTCTCTAGCAACAAATCCTCCGCGGTTTGGTCGTACAGTGCCCTGATCGGAGGGTTGACTATCCTCTCGCCGGTCTTTACGATCGGTGCTAAACCCTCTGGGTGGCTGCTTGCCTGATCCAGCGGCTCCTTGGGCTGGATGATGTTGGAATCCCCAGTAGAATGGTACCCGAATAGATCCAACCACAGAACCATCTTCCGTTGCTCGTTGTGCATGATGAAGTTATGCAAGAACTGAAGGCAAGTAATCAAAAGTCGCTTGTAGAGGTTGACAACTTTCTGCCAACGTTCCTCGTTCCTCGCATTCGTCTCTCCGTCGAAACCCCGCGCCGTCACCCGAACACAGGTATCTACCAGCGCTAGAACCCTCTGGTCGAATCCTTTCTCAGCCGCCATGTTCTGTGCCTTCTTCGTCGTGGCAAGAAGATTCCGAGCGATCGTGCAGAGATCATTGAGGCGTTCAATATCCTTAACAAGCGAGAAGTAGTTGTAGGCTATCAGATTCGACGAAGAGTGTTCGTAGTTGGCGGCCGGCGGGCTTTTCCAGATGAATGACTGCGATTCTAGAACGGGGATTGCCTTTGTGAAAACGTCTGTGAGGCCTTGCCAAATGTCCGGAGACAAGCCCAAGCCGTGTCTGTTGTAGAGGAAAAGTGTTAGTGCCCGGCCAATATACGCAGGTAGGGAAGTTCTCACCTGACATCGCTCTCCTGGTGAGTCTTGTAAAGAATCTGTTTCCCAGCAGAGAGCATATGATCCAAGCGTTTGTCGTCAATCATGCCCCGGGTCTCGTAATGGCTCAGCGTACCCATTAAGATGACCTTCAGCATGAGCTCCGCGGGGGTGCACTTGGGCTTCATTTCTGTTGAGGCTCGGTCCGCCATATTGAAGTGCCTCCGAGGCGGAACGGGCAGGAGAAAACTCTGGTAATCAAGCGATATTCAATCCGATGTAGAGTCCGAGATACTTTCGAGAGTGGAATCCTAGGTTGGCGGGACAGAAGAAATCAATGATGAGGTAAATTTTTCCGGGGCGGCCCCGGCGAGTCGCCTCAATTACTCTTTTAGCCAAGTCTCGTGATTTGGTACAACGAAGTATCCTACGACAAAGTACATAATCTGCTGAAGAAATAACCTGGCGAAGCTATAATTGTCATATTTCGAATTTAGCGAACGTTACCCCTAGCGTACTTTCCAAAGACATGGCGGAGGTTGTTCCAGAATCCCAGATCGTAGATGTTGTCGATTTCCTTCATGCTTCTAACTCGAACAAACCTCTGGTCAATCGGTGCATCTGCGTTGCTCGGTTGTATAACATCGTTAGAGCTTCTGTACACTTGGTGCCCTTCTTTCGGTGGCTCTCCCTCTGTAAGTACCAGTATTTGATCGCTGTGCCCAGGCCAGGAACTCGTCGTCTCGGGAGATTCCAGAAGAGGCGAGTCGCTCCTTTTAGGGCCGCCGATGAATTTGAACGCCATTCCATCAGTAATGTCGTCTTTCCAGTCGGACCATTTGGCGCTCTCGTTGGTCGTCATACCTGCCCAGATAAGATAGGCATGGTAGACAAGAAAGGCGAAAGCTAGCGGCGCCGTCATAAACATTAACATTGTGACACCCCCAATGCGAGTATCAGCCGCTATCACTGCTGCCCACATGTTGAGAAAAGTAGACCAGCTTTGTTTTCCCATGCGCACGGGCGAGCTGCGAGGGATGAACCTGTCTAATGTCTGAAACAAGAGAGAGTAACCGAGCCATGAGCCGTATGTCAGCATGACGCTTAGAGACAGCAAGAGATACAAGAAGTAATGATAGTTGTTAAGCCCAACGCAGTTGGTGAGCCATATGCAGTGATGGTCTTGCCGGGAGACGCAGCCTTTGCAGTAGCTGCAATGCTTACTTCTCGCTGGCTTGAGAAAGCGGCACGTTTCGCAGCTGTGACCAGGGTGGAATATAACTTTGTCGTAAGGATAACGCTTCATCTCCTCCTTATGATTGTCAGGAGTGATGAATGATTTGGTGACAACGCTCGCATATAAGAAGTAATATGGACTGCATATGACCACAGGAATGAAAATTCGATGAATCATGGAGATTCTAGGCCAAGCACTAGGGATGAATATAGCCTCCCCAATGCTAAGCATTGCCGTAAAGAATATCTATGGAACAGTCAATAATCACGGGGCATAATAGCCGAAACGCATACTGACAAGTACGAGAGGATGATTTTCGTAGAATATATAATTACCAGCCCGGCTCCAGGATCTTAGGATACGTCCACCAAACAGACGGGCATCGAGGTATGATATTCCATGGGGAATATGTATCCAGATAATCCTGTGAAGGAGACCGACGGGTGTTTTCCTGCATCCGTCAGACGCAGTGACAGATGTATAAGAGGGCTTCACATACCGGAAGATTGGAAGCCTTCCAAAGAGAATAACAAAGACGAAGGCCGAAAATCCCAAGATCACCAGAGCGATGGTCCGTAGAAGCCCCATGGTGTCTCCGGAAACTGTCGCACAGTAGGCCCTCGCTTGAAGGGAGAGACCTTAAACGACCGGAGCAGGCATTACCTCAGATCACTTTTTTTATAGCCAAAACTTTAAGATCCTGAGTCGTTGGCCTGAGATACAAGACAGCTTTCAGAAAAATCACCAACACCCAAGCCTACTCCGTGTCCGTACAGCCCCCGCTAACCGGACTTCGCACGTGACCCAATGGACCGCATGTTTGGTTGTCGAAAGCTATTTTCGCCATCATTTGAATATCCTTACAGGGTTACCTCTAGTATAAGCCATATTGCTCAGATTATCGAAGCCAGAAGAGGTAGCGACGAATATCACCAAGGCCAACTTTACTCTCAAATGCGCGTCCCGTCGCGACGCGTCTCCACGTGATATAGAACAAACGCATTCTCGACGTCCGTCTGAGACGATCGTGGCTTTCAGACAGATATCAGAGCTTAGGCAAGGCTGATGATGGCGCTGATACAGACGAAAGGGGTGGGGGGTGCAAAACCCGGAGATAATGAGCCCGAGCATAGTGGCCTTTTCCAGGGGATGTCTTTCTGGCTCGCTCATCATGTCCCTCAACGAGATAGATTCAAGGTTCTCATACAGGTCTGCCCCTAATATCCTCATTTATAGCTAACTCTGATGTGTTCAAGGAAAATGGCGGCATTGTGAAGCTATTTGAAAAGGACGCAGACGTGCAAATAGTGGACCACAAGAAAAAGAATCTCCCGTCCAATGTGTATGACCACGTCCTTGTGTTTCTATGAACCTTGATAGGCTTGCGTACTGACTCTGCCATAGATACTCATACCAATTCATTGAAAAGTCTATTCAAAAAGGAGAGCTAGAGGACCTCGAGACTCATAGAGCTGGTCCATCTACAGCTCGTCCTGTAGGGGCTACAAACATTCCAGCAAGAAGCCACAGGTTGCAATATACGATAGAGGACGACCAGCTCCTCTATGATTACTTGCAACCATACGAAAATGACCCTTTCGCTTCTGTGAGAGGCAACAAGATTTATCAGCTCTTCGCCGAACAGGTAGCTACATCTAACCCAGCATGAGCGACGCAAGCTTCTGCTGACAGACAGATTCAGCATCCGAGACATACGTGGCAATCGTGGCGTGACAGGTATCTTAAGAGGGTTCGGGGAGGCCCACGCCCTGGCGGGATGTTAGAACCGACTGCCCGTCCGACTGATGAAGACCGTAGAAGCCATCCTACCCGCGCATCTACATCCACCTCTCATCCAACTGCTGCAGCAGCGCAGAGAAACGAACCTTCACGACAGCCGCAGCCGCAAGAGAAGAAACGAAAACGAAGTCCAGAACCGATGATGTCAGGTGCACGTGTATCCAACAGCACATCGAGCACAAAACACAAGGCACCAAATCGATCTCCAGCACCACCCGCTCCGCAAGTAGTCATAGCTTCTCCAGCATCGGCAGGACGGCGAGGAGAATCACCTGAACATGAATTGCCGCCAGCGTCCAAAAGAGCAAAGACCACAACCGCGAGGAATCCAGATAAAACGATACCCCAACACAAACAACCCCAAGGAAAGCTGCCCGCTGCACAGGTGGCAACCCAAGAACCTACCGACGAAATCAGTCTCGGTATTGCTAGTGCCTTTCTGGAGTTACCCTCCCTCCCGTCAAGCCCGGTGGCCGAGGAAGCCCTGGAGCAAGATATCGACGCATGGATAGATACCCGGCTTCGCATGGGCAAAGGCAAAGAGGATCAAATCATTGAGGCTTTACAGTGCACTAGCATGGACCCGGGATTGGCGGACAAGGTGCTGGATTCTTTGATTGCAGGAAAGGGCATACCGACCGATATGCGCGGAGTATGGACGGCGCAGGATGACAGGGATGTGGAGGCACAAGACACGCGGGACATCCAGCGGGTCATAAAGAAGCATGGTGACTTGTTTGACTACCGCTGGGAATATCTTAACATGACAAGAGCAGCAGGGCCCTCAGCTACATAGGAAAGCTATGGATAAAAAGCGCCGAGACGACTTCAAGAAATGAGGTTCCAAAGAGACAATGCTATTCGGAAGGACATAAATAGGCAGTTGACTGAGACTCATGGTTTTCACCCATCCACAATATTGGTGCTGGGGTTTACCCCCAAATCTGAAGGGATGTTTCAACAGGATACCAACGCCAGTGAAATTATGCCCTAGCACCCTAACCAAGGAGCCTATCATACATTCCCAAACAATAGAAGATACGATTGATGAATTGCGGTCTTGCTCTGATCTTGCATGATTGTCGGTAGGCCGTAGCCGGATAGAACAGATGTATTTAGAATCAAAGGCATAGCTCAGACCCAGCAACTCAACCAAATATGGCTTAAGAACATATTAGAAGAACGTGCATTTACGCGTCGGAGTCTTTGAAAACCCTGGTGGATGTTAGTACTATCATATTCCAGCAGATTAATGAGACTCACAGGTGTTGTTCATAGAATTTGAGCATCTTGCGCGGGCACTTTTCGTAGCATGTTTCGATCGAAACCTTTGATTTCTTATCGTTGTTCCAGTGAAGGTATGCGACCAGCCCACCGTCTTCGCGCACAATGGTGTCAACGGCCTTGACTTCATTCTCCCAGTTCTTGGACTTTGGCACCCAGTCGGGCGCTACGCCTTCCTTTTCCTTTACCTTTTCCTTCTCATCGGTGGCGTCTGTTTCCTCGGTGTCTGCGGCTCGTGATCTCCTGCGTCTCTTGGGCTCTGGCTTCTCCTTCTCCTCCGAAGCTGCCTTGGGTGGCCGTCCCGTTGACTTGCGCTTCCTGCTTGGTTTTTCTGGGCGTCCTCCAATGATCTTGAAGTACTCGTCAAGAACGTCCTGTGCGTTCTTGCTGATAGGATGTCAGTACACAGATATCACACCATCGCAGCCGTAGAGGCCTTACAGATTCTCCTCTGGTTCTTGGGTCCGGTCCTTCGGGTCATCGTAGCCTTGCCACTTCACTTCGAATATAAGCGTACCCTGTCACGAAGTCAGCCAAAACCGTCGCATGGCAAAGTAAGTAAAGAAGTGCGTACATCGGCCTTGAAATCGTGACTCAGGATCTTTTCGACGACGTAGCTAGTACGGTTAGCACCATCCTTCTTGAGCTGGTATACTCCACTCACAAGTCCTCCTCATCCTCCTCGTCGCCATCGGCGTCATTGGAATCCTCGACACCGTTCTTCTTATCTTCAACCTCATCGTAAGGGATAGACTCTCCAGTGGATTCGTCATCCGACAAGTCGGCCACGGGGGCTGTGATTGCGCGGTTAGCTCAGCGCGAAGCTCAAAGAAAAAGCCAATTGATCAACTCACGCGGCATTGTTCGCGACGAGGTGAAGCCGAACAGACGCGAAAACAGCTTGACGGTGCTCGAAGAATGATATGCGATAAAGCTAGACTAGTAGGATGAAATGCGCAAAACGCGGACAACAACACAGACGGGCGAACGTCGCGGTGGAGATGGCGTTCCTGAGGTTGCTTTGGTTGTGCCGAGTCGCGCAAAGGTAAAGTAGCGCGTTAGGGGAGTTGCGCTAAGCCCGATTGGGGGAGCTGCTCACTAGCCCAACTGGGATTCTCCAGAATTTCTGAACAGAGCCCCGTGAGTGCGGAACAACATCGAGGTCCTATAGTCGCGCCCACCTCGCTTGTCAGGCTGTTCTGGAGGATCTATATTCTCCGTTCTACTCTTCTCCGTTTTATTTTTCTTACAGTTTGAAATCAACTCACCGCCAGGTGGCAGACCGTCAAGATGGCGATGCGTACGTCTCCGATGCCCCTCATCTCCCATGTACTAACTTTCTGTCTTTCTAGAGCTTGATCTCTCTCAAGGTTCGAATATATGACCCAGTTTGAGCCGCCAAGGTTTCGCCGCTAACTCCGCAATAGCTTCTGTGATGAAGGATGAGCAGGGCCGACCATTCATTATCGTTCGAGAGTACGCCGCGGACATCAGACCCTTATTACCCCCCGGAACAGCTCAACTGATATACATCCTCGAATAGCCAGGGAAAGAAGAAGAGACAACATGGCACGGACGCCGTCAAATCGCACATCGTGGCAGCCAAGACCGTTGCCAGCATTGTGAAGACCTCTCTGGTACGGATTGTCACCGCCGATCAAGATCAACTTCTAAGGCAATATCTAGGGTCCTCGCGGTCTCGATAAGATTCTGATCTCTCCCGACGGAGACATTACCGTTACAAATGATGGTGCTACCATTCTTGGGCAGGTTAGTTCATCCAGACCCATGCCGCTTTCGAGTTCTAATACGCCGTGCCTCAGATGGAAATTACGAACAATGTTGCCAAACTTCTCGTCGAGCTCTCTAAGTCCCAGGATGAAGAAATTGGTGATGGAACAACCGGTGTTGTCGTCCTGGCCGCGGCCATGCTGGAACAGGCGTCCGACCTCATCGACAAGGGCATCCACCCTATCCGAATTGCGGACGGTTACGACGCCGCCTGCGAAATCGCCGTGGCACAACTCGACAAGATTAGCGACGAGATCAGTTTCACAAAAGACAACACCGAGAACCTGCTCAAGGTTGCAAAGACGAGTTTAGGTAGCAAGATGTACGAGCGTTTGGGGCTTCCCAGTCAAGAAAGATACTGACCTTCGGTAGCGTTTCCAAGTCGCACGACCAATTCGCCCAAATCGCCGTTGATGCTGTGCTCTCCGTTGCCGATCTCGAGCGAAAGGATGTGGACTTCGAATTGATCAAGGTGGACGGAAAGGTTGGCGGAGCGCTCGAAGACTCACTCCTTGTCAAGGGTGTCATCGTGGACAAGGACTTCTCTCACCCGCAGATGCCGGATGAGGTCACAGATGCTAAGCTGGCCATTCTGACGTGCCCATTCGAACCTCCCAAGCCCAAGACCAAGCACAAGCTCGACATCACATCGGTGGAGGAGTTCAAGCGTCTGCAAGAGTACGAGAAGGAGAAGTTCACAGAGATGATCCAGCATCTGAAAGACTCTGGGGCCAACCTAGTTATCTGCCAGTGGGGTTTCGATGACGAGGCGAACCATCTTCTTCTGCAGAACAAGCTACCTGCCGTTCGATGGGTGGGTGGGCCTGAGATCGAGTTGATTGCTATCGCGACGAACGGTCGCATCGTCCCTCGCTTTGAAGACCTCAGCGCAGACAAGCTTGGAACAGCCGGACGCGTGCGCGAAATGACCTTTGGTACCACGCGAGAGAAGATGCTTGTTATCGAAGAGTGCGCCAACAGCCGTGCTGTGACAGTATTCGTGCGAGGAAGCAACAAGATGGTAAGACTACGGCTTGGGTACTATATTAGGCCTTACTAATTTCGCTGTTAGATTATCGATGAGGCCAAGCGATCACTGCACGATGCGATTTGCGTAGTCCGCAACCTGGTCAGGGACAACCGCGTTGTGTATGGTGGAGGTGCGGCCGAAATTGCCTGCTCTATTGCTGTTGAGGATGCTGCTGTCAAGGTTTGTGGCCTCACTCTTTTACACTATCATTAACTCACAGTGCCTTCCAGAGCCCCGGTATCGAGCAGTATGCCATGCGTGCGTTCGCCGATGCACTTGATGCAGTACCTCTGGCTCTTTCTGAGAATTCGGGTTTGAGCCCGATTGAGACTCTCGCGGCTATCAAGTCGCGCCAGGTCAAGGAGAACAACTCCCGGTTGGGTGTCGATTGCATGCTCACTGGAAACAATGGTATTTCCTTTTGCCTAAGAGGACGGAGTTGATATTAACAAGGCTACAGATATGCGAGAACACTTTGTCATCGACCCGCTCATCGGAAAGCGACAGCAGTTGTTGCTGGCTACTCAGCTCTGCCGTATGGTTCTGAAGGCAAGTCGACATCCAAACTCCAATATAGACCCGGGCAAAGCTGACTTGCAACAGATCAACAATGTCATCATTTCCGGCGACGACCAGCAGGAGTTCTAGACTGCTTGTATATGATGAAATCATCTCAATGACCTAAAATGCTACATACTTCGGTATACTAATCAAACATCTAGATCATGCTATGACAAAAGGCGCAGGTACATAGATCAGTTGATGAATGAACAATTGAACAGCCACTGGTGCCTCTACGTGTCGAATTGCACATGTCTCTAGGAATTCCTTCCAGTCTCGAGCGACTGTCATGCTTTCGCGCCTTTCGGTTGCTCCGCGTCTCTTCTCAGGTCAAGATGATGCGCTGTCGTCGCAGTGAAGGCCAAGGTATCCTCCACGAGATTGGATATCAATGTCCGGTCATACGACATGCTCCCGAGGTGCGACTTCCACACGTCATTGTCTACAGTTGATCGGCAGAATGGAAGAGGATGATTCCGGAACATCACTGCCTTCTGATGTCAAATGATACCGTAAGGATTCTAGCTGTCGTAGCAGCCAGGCAGTTCCGCAACCGAGGCACCACGGCCGGGCGGATTTCTCAGGTACGGCAAGTTAGGTTAAGCTAGTAGCAGCGCATCCAGAGAACGCCTGAATCCGGGGAATAAACGTAGCAACTCAACCTGAAACCGTAAAGTACGAACGATGGAGCGCATCGGAAGGAAAAGGGGCATCGGGAAGTCTGGACGAACTCTCTTCTCACAGTTCCGGCGAACCTGTTCTAGGGGCGCTAGACGCGCACTTTCTCATTTCCGCTCATCGAGGCCTCAACGGAGGATCCTCCGCACGAGCGGAAGATTTATGTCCGGCTTGTAAGAGAGTGAGAGCGCAAAGGAGTGTGACGGGGCGGGCCGTACTGACGACTGAGGTGAGCTCAGAAGACGATTCCTTCGTTTATTCCTGATCCTGATCCTGGGAGGCCTGAATCAGGGGATCGCAGTAACTTCCTTCCGTCGGATCACTGAAGCTGATTCTCCCCATGGGAAGCACAGAGTCAAAGGCCCGGCGTCCCGGCTCGTGGGCGGGCGTGGGCGTGGGCGTGGCTTCGACTGTGACAGAGAGCAAGTATATCGACAGCACGTGCATCCAGCGCCAAAGTGGCGGAATCAACCTGATCATCTGTCCAGATCCCAGTGCCAACTCACCACCCGCCCCGATACCTAGCAGAACCTAGCAGAACCTAGCAGGAATGAATGGCCGACAGCTCACCGTCCGTCCATGTCCATCGCAATAATCAGTCCAGCTATCCTGCCTGTCTGACTCTGGCGCTCCTGTTCAGATGACCGGCTGATATGCATTCACCCCCAGCCATGTGGGACAGCCGTCAATAATAATAGAACGAGCAACATCGTTCTAGGCTTCTAGCCTCTGGCACCCCGGCTCCTGTGGCTTCCGCTGATATCACTCTGCAGCCCCTGTCATTTCCAGCCTGAGTCTTGCCAGGGGTTCCCTCCCCTGTCTCTCATCGTCAAGTCATCATGTAACGTCAGTCTCGCTCACATGGTCCGATGGTGTTTGACGTGGCTCGAATCTGTTCGTAGGCGCTTCCGTCCCGCGGAGGCTGCTGTTTCTCGTGACTGCAGCCTCATCTCTATGGCACCTGTTTGCACCGTTCGTGCTGACTCAATCTATCTATACCGCTACTTTACTCCGTTCTTGGTCATCGGGTGCCGGTTTGTCTGGCGATTGCTTTGCCCTGCGCGTGAAATGTTCCAGCTCCTGAGCTAGACCTGCGTTTCTAGTCGTTTTCTAGCTGGTAAGTTCGATCTGTCTTGTCTGCAAAAGTACGGTCTGGATAGATGCGTCCTATACTTCCGTCCTACTCCTGACTCTCCTGAGACTGAACGTGCCACAAGATTTCCCCAGATGAACTGACACATAGTATGGGGTACTCCATATCCTTTGTGGGTACAGGGTACTCCTCCCTAACAGCTCAAAGCTCCCAGTCCAGGCCTTCTACATCTGAATCAATGGTAAATTACCCAAAGACAACTTATCCAAGTCCTCGGGAAAATACCTCTCCCTTCTCGGCTCATTCTTCAGCCCACCAGCCTCTATAACCCCATTCGCTTCTCTCAACCTTCGCCCAACTTATTTTCCTGCTCCCCGACCCAATAACACAGCAAAAGCAATCAGGACACAAAAGCAAGAGCAATCCATACGGAGCGCAAATGTAGGCATCCAGCCGTCACCGTCACACTGCACACCGCGTCCCCAAATCCTCAGTTGTATCGATACGATTTCATTCACTCATCACTTACTCCGTACTGTGGCTGATTCCTCCGTGTACAGTGCCCTGTACACTTCCCAACAAGGAAAGCAAGCAGTCATGGGACGTAGCCGATCGCGGTGCCTGATTTGCTTACGCCCGTCAGATCTACAAATCCTTTCGTGCGATCGAGGAATTTGTTTCAGGTAACCGCGGAACTGGGTTTATTGCAGCGGTGAGTGGTGTTTGCTTTTTACGGGGGTCTGGTGGCCTGGCCCGGGCTGGTTCTTTGGGACTGAGGCTGTTCGCTTGCTGGAGCCTGGAGGCTAGCGGACTCGCTACGGTGATACATCTTGCTACCCATCATTGTGGTGGACTAGCTGAGTGTACTCCTAAGGAGTATTCTTTTCAACAATCCTCAGAATGTGTGACTGAGGCCTCACTTCAGCCTTGGACTAGCTGCCAGCCAGCGCTTCCCATCGCAAACCAAGAATGGGGATCCTGGAGTAGACGCCCTCATCGGTGATACCCAGGCAGCCTTATAGGCCTCAACATTGGCGTCCAAACGCGAGTCTCACGTCGAGTCGCTTGCCGACTCACCACCTGACGAACGAGTGTCCTAGTTCCGCCTATCACCTCTTGCCTGATTTATGGGAGAATACCTCGTAGTCGTACTGAACCATACCTAGACCTTCTCCAAGGCGATGCCGACCATGGATTATTAATGGTCATGCTCGATCCCTCGTATCTGCAATGTCTCGCTGATGAGGCTTACGGAAGGTTTAGACATACATACATACGGAGTAGTCCACAAGAACTCCGTAAGAAAAGAATAAAGCGGGCGCCCCGAGATAAACGCCTTAAATACATTGGACTGGAGCCGAGCTAAGGTCAAGGGTGGATGAGGAGGCGCTGTCGGCTTCCCCCATGCAGCAGCCCGCGAAGCACAAGTAAGCATGGACCCTTGTCATTTCTGCAAGAGCCGTAACGAACGAGTATACGAGTATACGTATGCCCTGGCAGCCGACTCAGGCTTGGATAAGTTGTGAGATACATAAGGTAGAGGAGGGTTTGCAGCAAACATCCACAGGGTTTAAAGTACGGGGCGTGCTCTAGGCATGCACACCCGTTGACGAGCATCCCCGCGCCGGAAGGGGACTGTCCGGGTTTCCTTGATTGGGTTGGGGACATGCAGAAAAGGTACCGCAGGGGCTCTGAAGTATCTTGATCGAGGATAGTCTGCGTAGTACTCTGTAGTATAGCCTGGGGTATGGAATTAAGTTGCTTCGAGTGTTTTCTAGCCGGAATCAACGTCAGCCTTTCTGTAGACTTTTGTATGAGCATTGAAACGGTCTGGAGAATCAAGCTTTGGTTATCTGATGGTATTTATCTGATGACAGGTTGGCGACTTTGTAGAAACAAACCTAAGATAGGACCCGGATACGCAAGCGCTGTGCAGTGTGTAGTTTGATATATGTTGACGTCGCACAAGGATGAATAAACACGCAACACACCGATCGAAGCTTTCTCCCGGCTCCCTGTGGAATGTAGATAGATACCTTTGTGCTTTCTCAGTTACTTTGTATTTCTCCAGCATTGCTTACCCGGAAAGGCACTGCTTTGAGTTCCGGTACGGATTCGACGGAGCACTTTGATCAAATGAATGAGATACTCCGATGTTCCTTTTTTGGGACTATTCGCGGGCCCCAAGGCGTCAAGGCGGAAGAAGAAAGCTTAGCCTATCTCCTCGGTGGCTCGGCTTTCTATGAGGTGATTACGGACGCCGAAAATGCTCCAATCTAGGAATCGGTGTTTGGTCGAATCAACATGCAAGAAAAGCATGCTTATCGATCCTCAGTCAGTTGGTATGCAAGTCAAGGACGAAGTAAGGCGGGAAGGCCATATGCGGTGCTTTTTGCAAATCGATACACCGGGGATGGAGACTCGATGTATAGACGTCGCGCAGAGGGTAGGACGAGGAAAAAAGCTTTCTCCAAGAAAAGAGCTCAGGCTTTGCAAAAGTGTCCGGTGTCCGTGACCGTCCCTGGCGAGAATAGGTTCTCCAGACTGCAAGAAAGAAGCAAATCCCTGGATCCGGACCCATCCATACTCGATTCGATTCGTCGCGTAACCCTTGCATGAGAATCACCGGGACCTGGGGCCCCCTTCCGCGGGGAGGACGGAGGACAAGGCACAAGCTCTGCTGCAACGCAGATCATCGAACTAGGTAGTTCAATCCCTGTCTAGGCTTGAGGTTGATGCTTGATCCGGAGCGGGCAAAGATCGGATTTCCAATCGGTCTATTTGCTATCCTGATACCCGTTGGATGACACCTGCCAGTCCGGTTCTGGGGTTGGCCTCGTCCTCATCGCAAACGTGACCTGCGATAGCACTTTATTCGCTTTGGGCATCACCATGTTTTCCGGCTACTGACTAAGAACGGTTACGTGACGAAAGTCCTCGAGTTACCTGCCGGGACTTGCGGAATGTGACGGTGCTGGGCCTGATCAGCCCGGGAGGTAACTGTGCGAGAACTGCTGTGATAGTATGCGTAGTCCCAGCTTGGAACTTGAAAGAAGCTCTGGTTTTCAAGTTTGTTGGAAGGGATTCTAGATTCTGAACGGCGGACGCAGAAGTCTGGCCCTGCATCCCTTTGTTCAACGGCGACGATCCTCGATATTGATATCCGTGCGCAAATCATCAGCAAAACTATGCAGTAAGCTATGCATGAAAGAATCCAGAAGGAGGCTTCCAGACTGCCAGCAAAAGATCTCGAGGCGACTCTAGGCAGCAACAGTAAAGTATAAGGGGATGGCTTGATCCTGCTCCCTACATACGTACCGGCTTCTTTCAAGACGAGGCGATTATACTTCAGTAACATAAAGGATCCTCAACAGGGCGTCAGCCACATAACTCAGATCTCAGAGCTGATTCCTGGGAACAATAATTGCTGGCAAGGATGACCTCGGGAGAGCATGGACAACACAGACAATACCAGTCGGTTGGCTAGATGGTAGATGCTGTGCCATAACACAGCATCACTAGTCGGGATGTCGAAGAGTTGATTTCCATCTCTACACATGTCCTGAAGCAGGGAAACCGCCATTCAGCCATCCAGAGTCTCAAAGCAGACCGGTCAGCGTACGGCGTACACGCAATAATAATGCAAGCCCCTTACCCCATGCTCGAGGCATGTTTGATGAGGTTGCAAACACAGATCTTAGTCGGACCATCATTGCCATGCAAAAGTCGGCAAGGCGAGAGAGCCTGGAACTGACTCGTGGTGGCACTGCGGCGGATCGCCAGCTCGTCATGTGACGGCACGGGGCTGACCTTGTGACCTGCTAGTCTTTGCCACCCGGAGGCCAGGAGTCCACTGTCACTCTTCCCCCACGTTCCCATCCCCAACTCCCCCCAAATCTCCAACTCCCCACGGCACTATTCTAGATGGATCTGCCGATTCTCTCTCCTTCGGCGCTGCCGCTTCACCATTTCGGCGCCACCTTCAAATCCAGTATGGCTTCAACCAGGGATGACAGCTGCCGCCGTTGCGCCTCGGCAACTGTCCGCTCCTGCGGCCATCGAGCGGCGAGCTTTGTGAGCTGAGGACGCCTCGTTCCTGGTCATGGACTTTCACCCCTGGATGCCATGCCACGTTCCGGTTGAAACCTCGGACCAAAAATCACGATCAGGAACTGGACTTTGTACTATACCGGTACTCTGCGTCGGCCCTTTCGGCTGACCCTGAGTGACCTTCGTGGGCAGGCTGTCAGCTCGGTGATCCCGCAGGCCGCAGCCAGAGGCGCATCCAACACTGAGCTCGCTGATCAGAAGATGACAGTCTGAAACTGATCCCCCTCGGGGTATTTCTCGGCCGCCAAAAGCCCCCGGAGGAAGAAAAGCGCCACTATGCTTTAGCCAGTATGGAGTACCGTCATCAGCTTGCATCCAGCGCCTCCGAACAGCCTTTGTACTCCGTAGGATGCTCTGTAGTGCTGTAAGCTGTGGGCTTGTAGGCTGGACTGTAGGCTGCTGTAGCCTGTGGCCTGTAGCCTCCTGGGTGTCCCTGCAGGGCACACGATCCCTTGATTCTATTCAGAGGAATAGCATGCAGCTACGTGGCTGGCCCAGTGGAACAGGCGTCTGCATGGAGGTGGCAGCTGAGCATTCTGTCACTGACAGTCGCCGGCGCCCCAAATTCTGTGGGTAATTTGATAGCTATACGCACGATAAGCTCGCGGCGCTGGCGCTGGCGGCTCGAGGCATTGCCTGCTGATTGATGCCATTATGTGCATGGTGTCGCGCATGAGCGAGTGACTACCGAAGTATATCGTAATGCCTTTTCTCGACTCGTTTCTTCCCGAGGTCTCTTTTAGGGAAATCCATTCTAGGGTCAAACTACAATGCAATTTCCCAGGCCAGCCACGGCCTCTACCTAATACTCCGGAGGGAAACAATCAAAAGTGAACCCCAATAAGACCGATCCTCGCCGGTGATAGTGAAGAGCCTTGCAGCCACATGCGGTGACCAGATGGCTCTTGCAAGGCTTAGATCCTTCGGTTCATTTGATGCCGAACCCGCCACGGTAGTATCCCGTTCAATTATTTCTCCTCCATTCAGATGTCCTCTCATTACATCGAACCCATCGGTAGCTTACATGGTGTACTCCGTAGTCCGTACTGGACTAGTAAGGCTTCCCCAGACAATGGAAAGTAAGCCGGACACCGTCCGGGCACCACTAGATAGCTCATCATGTGCCGTGAATCTGAATCTGGCCCCGAACAACGAACCTCGATGGAAAATATCGCCAATCATCTGACGGTTTCCGATTGGCATCTCTGTGAGACTGGGGTTACATGGGGAGCTGACAGCAACAACGAAAAGTCTAAAGCCTAAAGCCACGAGTTTCATATCGATTCAGAGCCTAAAGTGCAACCGCCGAACTAGATACTCTGAACCCCAGGGGCCCAACTCTCGTTGTTTTTCTCGATGGGGGCGAGGCGACACTGCCTCGTCCCGTGATAGAGGCTCATCTCCAATAGTCAAGATACAGAGACTGACTGACACGTACATTGTCACTCGATATGGCCATCGGGCGGTGCGATGGTTGATTACTGGTGACAGCTGGCATCGACCGCCTTGTGATCTAGGTTGTTGTGATACTCTCCCGGCCTGTCGGAGCGGAGCCCCTTGGGTTCAGCGAGAGGGAGCGTCCACAGTTCTTCAGTCCCTGCTGCCCGGCCACGCAGGTAAGCTTGGGCTACGAACGGAATGGGCGATACGATTGAGGATGCTATTCCAAATGTTGGTATCAACGCCACCATTCCTCACTGCCCTGTCCGCATGATGAATGAATAGAGGTGTACACACGGAGTACACAGAGCAGTTACGGATACAACCAATGGATGTTTTGCTGATACTGTACGCATTGCAGTGGTAGCAAGGCATGCACACCCTGAGTAAAGTCCGGTAGCATATTTTCATTTACTTATAGTGGTCGATCGCTCGATCGGAAGCGCAGGTCTCTTCCCCGCTATGCGATACTCCTTGAGGTCCCATTCCACCGGTTAGGGGCAGCGCGCTGTAGGGAAGATCGCTGTTCATGCGGAATGGATCAGGCATGGACTTTGACACGTCGATATCAGTGTAGTACCCCGGACACTCCTAATATTGAGTCCTAGAGAGTATCCGGAATGGCAGAGTCGATTGGTCAACTGAGCAGTGAGCAAGTGACGAGTTGAGCAAGGCGAAAAAGAAACCACACGCCGGACAAAGCAGATTCAAATCGAGCCGATCCGATGCCAAAGCTCAGACGGACGCAGAGTCAGAGTATGGCCTGCATAATCGAGTCATATCCGTGGCGAAAGGAGATAGATTGATCGCATCGCTTGATCTCTACCCCGTATACCCCGTAGTCAGCAGGACATGGGAAGTCTGGCCGCCTGAAGCTTGAAGGCCAGTCAGTCAAGTCAGTCACGGCATTGGACGAAAGTGAAGCTCTCCAACAGATCCATCTGGAGAAGCCGGACGGATACTGAGCTCGATCGAATTGGAGAAGCAAATATCCCTCACATTGCACGAGAGAGGAGTAGCCTAGACAGCGGCTCTGGGCTAGAGCCTACAGTAGGCTAAACAGTGATATGAATATCAAGGACTGGACGCCAATCATTGAGGGTCCATTTTTTCTGGCAGTCAAGTGACCGATTATCACTATCCATAATTGATGCAGCACAACTGGGGGCCGTTAGTCAGCCGGTCACAGGGCACGCCGAGTTTGTCTAGACTCTACTATACGCCAGTCTCTCTCAATGCCGGCAGGAACGAACTACTCTGGCAGCACCCGGAGTAGAGTAGGTCCTGAGAATATTATGCCTCAGTGTCATCGATCAGAAGCTTGTCTTGATTGTATCATAGAGTTCAGAGACTCCATATAAAACCGGGCATAGAATAAATTCACTGTTCACCGAGACTCCAACTTCCGTACTTTTTTCTTGAGTGGACCCGTGTAAGTTACGGACGTAAGAACCGTGTATAACATACAGACTGACCCACTGGGGATACCCCGGCAGTAACACAGTACGTACCAGCAAGACCAGAAAAAAGAAAAATCCCAAAAATCCAAAATAATCGATTAAAATAAAATCCCAAATCAAGCTTAACACGGGCACACTGGCGCGGCTATATGGGATTTCCAGTACTGACCTTACCGCCCATCCCTTGACCTTTGAACCTCTCCCTCGGTACCGTTTCGGACTTTTTCCTGAGCTGTGGTGGCCACCCCCGTCTCCTTTCCTCCCCTTGTACTTACTGTAACAGACTTACATACGGGCCTTCCCCCCATATCCATCAATTCTCCACCGACCGGTCCATCGACCAAGGTCTATTATCTTCTTCCTTTTTTCCTCCTTCGCCGGATCCACCACGCCTCGCTATTACTACTCATCTTCTCCCCCATATTCCTTTCGACTTCCTTTTCTCCCTCCCGGCGAATTCGCGTCCTTACCACCACCCCTCACCACCCGTACGTCCCAAACCGGCCATACCACCCCGACCATACCACCCCGACCACTCCGCAAACAGCACCCTCGCCCATTCACTGCACCGCTCCTAGCTCTCGGGTCGCTTTCCGCCGTTCTCAGACGTGTTGTGGGAAGAGTTTAATTGCACGACCGTCAGATCAACCTCTACGAATTCCGACATTCGTTTGACTCTTGTTGCGCTGCTTTCTACGCAGCTAAGGTGCCACTTGCAGCTCGATTGGAACTGCTGCAACCCATTGGTAGTGTGAACATCACTGGATTCTCGATCTGAACAATCGACCGAATTACAAACTCGAGAACATTTCGTCTGCACCGCTATCGCGCCGTACGACCACGCTCGGGGGAGACGGCGACCCCGTACCTGATTACTTTACGCACAACCCACTTAGAAGGATTATTCGCAGAAATTGCAACCGTGGCGACGACAAGATGCCTTCACGACTATCAACTCCCGTTCTTACGGTAGACACCGCGAAGATTCACAAGGTGGACACCGCAAACACACAGAGCCTCCACGGGATGTGGATGGGTAAGTTTTTTCGCATTGATGAGGTTAAACATGCTGACTTGCGCAGTATTCTCGAAATGCGCAGATTTCATGGAGGAAGGACGCCGACTAGAGAACCTGAGCTGGAGACTTTGGACTCGCGAGACGTTTTGTGTTGAACCTGAGAGTTCAAGTGATACCTCGGTTCTGCCTTTGCTCCGTTCGGAGGCCGCCGATTTGCCGGAATTGTCGGCCAGCGTGGAATCAGCTGCTTCAGACCAGGCGGAACGGATAGAAAAGCACATCAAGCGACCCAGAGACTTGGACTACAAGCCTGCTGTAGTTCGCGAGGACTCATTCAACCTTGGCCGGGCTAAGGAGAAGCATCTCACGTCATTGGACCTGGAGCGTATGGTGTTGAACATCAAGGAGAAGAAAAGCTTGGAACCAATCTCCCCGGTGGCAACTTTGGCTCAGCCCATTGTCGACATCACGCCTCAAACCTCTACACCGACTCCGACCCCTCCCTCGAACAAAACCCTCAAGCGACCATCGTTCCCTCTTGACGAGCGACATAAGCATTCGACAGAGTCCTGCTCAACCACTGCCCCCGACGGCAATGACAGTGACGCTGCTAATATGAACATCACTGGCTCAGACACTAGTGTTTCATCTTCGGGTATCCTTCCGTCGAAGCCTCAATTGATCAAGTCTCCCAGCATCGTCCGCGGTTTCTCCCCTTCCCAGATCTCCTCTTCATACCGGTCCCAGGCGCGACTTTCGAGCGATTCGCCTGCAAAGACCCAAGTTCCAGCCAAGCTTTCTCCATTGAAGAAAAAGGGCACCATGTTTACGTTGGGTGGCTCTTCTGGAGATGATGACGAGAGTTCGTTTGAGGATCGCATGATGCACGCTCCCCAACGTAGCTCCCTCTCGGATCAACTCGAAAAGCGGCCAGGCAGCAATCTGAACCCTAAGAAGACAACGTTCAAGGAGCAGGTGGGAAACCTCAAATCGATGAAAAATCGCCGGGAAAATAACGATGAGGACGCCATTGAGACTGATGACGATATCTCTGAGAGTGCTATCGAAGACGACGAGGATTCGGATTGGGAAGATTCTATCACTGAGAGTGGTCGCTCTAGCGTTGACGAGAGGGATATGTTCCAGCGGGTGGATTCGCGACCGAATTTGGTCTCGCGCCGCTCGCTTCTGACTATGATGATGCACCAACCCCTCAGAATGGGAGATGCCTCGCGGTCTACTCCGGCTCTGCAGCGTTCGCGCCTTACTTCACCCAACGGTCCTTCGATCCCCGCCTCGCCGCCGGATGACGACGAGGAGAACCTGACGATGAAGGGCCCTGGTGTCCCTCGGTCCAGGCCGATCATCATGAAACCCACTCCTCAGTCTGTCGCGCACTCCCCACGAACGACGCGCCGGAACATGTTGGCTACGGAGCTGACAGAATCCCTTCGCCGCCACCTCCTGTGGGAGCGACAGCAAAAGAGCGCGACCGCCAATGCATTCAAGCGGAGGCATACGACTCAGGACCTGAAAAACCTGAAAGAGTACCCTGCGCCGCAAAGCCAGCAGAACGCGGTGGCGTCCTCTAATGGAGTTGATAAAGACGCCGCAAAGACGGGATCTTTCAACCATTACACTGATTTTGGGCCTTGGGAATACCACGCGAAAGGGTGGTAGTCTGATCATGTCCAACACATGCCTTCTCTTCTTCACCCCTTTTGATTATGATACCCGATTTTGACAAATCTCTCACCTGTTTACTTTTGCAGACTTGCTGCTGCTTATCATCCTTGTGACACGTACCAATCACGACAGCATTGCATTTTTGGGCGCACCTAGGGATTATATGGCTGTTATTTTCGGGTCGCTTATTCTCGATTTTGCGTTGTTTCTCTTGCATGGTGGCAGTCTGTTTCCTCGCACTTGGGCTTCGGTCCGCTAGTATTGAATAATCTTCATGTACAGATGATTCGATTCGACATGATACTGATACAGGGGTACACGGTTGATATGGTCACATGGGATTTCCTTCTTTTATTCTGATAAAAGGGTTTGGGGGCTATGGTCATCATCTTAGCGTGGATACTGCTACCTCTGGACTGTGTCTTTGTTCGGTGTAAAAAGATACCACATTTGTTTTCTTGTCTCAATATGCATGGCCGGTGCATGTCATGTACGCTAATGAACTCTGGAAAGACTTCTCAAAAGCCACTTGGATAATTGCCTGCATTGCTATAGTAGTCTTGTTTTATAAGCCCTCGCATCGATCCCGGCCGGACTCTCGGCCTGGACAGCGATCTGATGCATGGACACGTAAGAGCGCCAATGCGCAGAGGCGTTTTTGATAGAACCAGGCGATGAGATCTAGAACTGTTGCACAGATCCCTATATTCTCTCACATGCACTTGATGTCCAATTTGACTGCCTTCAATATGTTCTTTGTTCGCTTCTCACATGCCTTGCTTGAGTCTACACAAACAAACATATATGTCATCCAGACAAAAGCACCCAGGGAACGAACTCAACTCCCGTGGAGCCAAGGAGAAACCCGCAAGAGAGCCAAACACAAACACACCCTCCGACCGTTTAAGGCTGACGACAGTAGTGGCCCTCTGACTTGCTGATGGATCTCGAGTCTATCTGGTGTCTCGGATGGCAGTTGCTCGCATTGTGTCTCGCAGTTTAGGCTGCACGCCGTGAAAAGCATCCGAGCATGCCACGCTGGCTCCAGCGCACATGAGGTGCGTGACTTGGGTGACTTCGTTATGAGCATGGAGAATTACCCGCCTACTGGGACAGGGACGGTAACTCCGAGTGAGTTGGCGGTGTTCATGGTTAAGTCATTGATCTACTCCGTAATGATCTGAACTGATCTCATCGGGATGGGGTGGTGATCAATGATGTCTACTGGACTTTCTATATAGTAATGGAAATGGAATTACTGTAGGCATTAGTAGCACATACCGCGTTCAAGCGTCATGGATGACATCCTCACAGTGACTGACAGCTCATCCGAGCGCGGGGCATCACGATCCCTTGGCGTCATAATCCGGGGTTAGCCTTTCAAGCTTCGATGCTGGGGCTTGGAAGTTTCTTTCAAGGTTTAGGTAAACATGGCGTTTCAACTTCCAGTCCGCGAACGCCTTTGTACGACCTCTCTACATCCACGGGCAAGAACAGAATGCCCTACCTTCCTTCCGTCGCGCTGGATACTGAGCATGATCACGAGGGCCCTGAACCTGTTCTGCTAGCACCGATGACGTAGGGGCCCCAGGCAAAACTCTGTCCAACTCTATCAAACTCTACTACTTTAAATGAACGGAAATCGAATGTTCCAAGCAAGCCACTCTACCAGTCTCTATTATTGTTCTATATTCGATACAAAAGTCTCCTAAATCCAACACGACTCGAACCGAATCAGATCGCGAAAAATCCCCCGGCGTCCAACCAATCCCACGCCGTAGAAAATTACATCACATCACGGGACTGCAGAATCTCCTCATTTTCTGCAGACTGCTCCAAGTTTTCACCTGACAGTTCCTAGATCCTCCGATGGACTTGCTCTGGACCTTCCAAGTCCCTCTCTCCGGCGACCCCAAATCGGGAAACTTTCCTCGCAGGGCGGCCGCACGCGGGGGTGAAAAACTAGGTACAGCCTAGGGCAGGATTCCGACTCTGCCCGAGACAACCGGTGTTGGAAAACGGGCGACGGTCTAGAAAGTAGAAACCAGATTTTGAGCCCCGCATGTGTGGCTGGTGAGGGCCTGGAAATAGGGTGGCCAATGGTTGCTTGAGGAAACTAGTCAGTTGTGGGGATGTTTCTTCCAGAAGCCTGCTAACGCCGCAGCGCTGCGCACTACTCTGAGACGGGCTGGATGTAACGGCGGGTCTTGGGGCTGAGGCGGTGCCAATGAGGGGGATGCTTTATAGAGAGATTGTTTGTGATAGGATCACGAGGGGGAAAAGTGTGGGGTCGGGAATACAGATTATGGGGCCGGACTGCCTGTTATACAGTGACAGTGTATGGCCGTGACGGAGGGTGTCAAGTCTGGTTGATGACCGACTCGTAACGCGATTACTGAGAGAGGCTTGAACATTGCTTAAAGACTGGTATGTACTGTGGAATACAGCAGGTTAAGCTGGTAAACGGGACACGAGAATCAGCAGCGCGGCTCTGCAGGTTGTCCTACCTACGAGTTCGGGTCAAGGGAGCTTTGGAAAGCTTGAAGCTGCGTGATGCTGATGTACCTGCGTCGTCAGTGGTTGGCCAAGGTCGGATCCTGTGCTTCTGGAATCCTACCCAACGCGTTACTTTTTGCATATGAAGCTAACTTTAGTCTCGTATATAAGTGCTTAGTGGAGGTTGGTCGTTTCAAGCTGACGGGATTGTGACTCGATTGTTCTCGGCATGCCGAACTGGAGTCCTGTCAATGGGCTCCATCTTGGACTAGACTGCTCCGGACTGACTCTTCGCCATCGGCTTCCAGGTTTGCCTTGCTAGCACTCTGATATGTCTACCTAACACTGATCATCGGTAGAGGTTACATTTTAAAATCAATTCTCGTCTTAACCGGCCCGGTCACAATTCTTGGCCACCTGAAACTCGAACATCCGAAGTGCTGCCGGAAGGAAGCCGAGTTTGCTTACTTTGCACTGCAGTGCGTAACCGGGTATGGCCGACTTACGAACCTCAAGAGTGGGGTATCATGAAAAATACAGCACAGATCATGAAGTCTTTCCTGTTGTTGACCCCGCTAAGCGTTCCGGGAGACTGGTAGAGTCTAAGACGAGAAAGACGGTGAGGTTGAAAATCTTCACGATCCAGCGTTGATGCCCAATTGATCCGCAGTCGATCATGATAGATTTTTTCTGTCAAGTTGTCAACAACACCTCACGGAGCCACGAGAATCTAAGTTTTCTCGTGTGCCCCATAATTTGGCCCTGGAGCGACGAGTCGGGGCTGCTTATTCTGGCAGGTATTTCGCGCATAAGCCCACTGTATAGTGCTGCATGCATACGGCATGTCAACATTTACTACGGAGTATATGCATCATTTTGGCTTCGAGGTCCGGAAACTCACACCATAGTTAAATTGCCGGCACAGTTTCGCCTCAAAAGTGTGCGGTTGTTGAAGAATTGGCCACCAGCTCGTCAAATTCCGGGGAAGCGAGGATCCTCCACAATAATGCTCATCACTCCCAAAACAGCCGAAATACACGGCGGCACGGCCACCAACGGAGTGCTTTCGTCCGGAAACTTGGGTACGGCGCTAGTCAATGTATGTGAATCCGAGAAGGGAATGATCGAACGATAAAGGAAACGGTGAGGCCGCTACTGCAATTGCAGTATATTGCACTCTCCATAAGAGGCAACGGCAGAGCTTCTTCAGCTGGGTGTCTAGGCACACCGTGGTGATGAGCTGGAAGCGGGGTTGAGGGGATTCGGAGAATTCGACCATGGGCCAAGAGTGCAACGAGAAAGTATGCATTTTCGGTCTTCTGATTGGCTAGATTGTAAGTCTTTTGACTTTGAACAAAGCAGCATATTCGAGGTTAAATATGCTTGATACAATTACTCCCTCAAGGGCTATAGCAAGCATTAATGAGACCTCTAGAGCTCGAGATCGTACCTGCTTCGTAGAGATGCTGCATCGTACCGTAGTCACGTGGGAGTCTGTCAGCTCGGCTCCCCACATCTGTTTCTCTCTCCAAGTGCGGAGAAGTTTGTCAAAAATCAATGCACCTCTGTTTGATGTCGGCTCTCCAAGCAGCTACCCCAACACTTCGACGACCATGCGACTGGTGCCGCCAGCGAAAGTCTCGCTGTGTTCGCGAACCCGGCCAGCAGAAATGTGCCCGCTGCATCCTGCACCGGCATGAGTGCACCTATGTGCAAGGCCCGGTTCCGCGTAGACGACTAGACCGGCAACAGTCGCCTACCAGGACGGAGGACTTTGGTCTGAAGTAAGAAACATCTTCGTGGAGGTAACCGGCAAAGCTGATTCTGTAGTGGCCTATCTCCAAGCCCTCCAGGCCAGGCTGTCGACGCCGCCAGTCCCTCTCGACTGACCGGCACCCTAGGCCTAGAGCCGCATCTGCACTCCACATACATTGGCCCTGCAAGCTATCATGAGCCCACGTTGCTTGACTTGAAATCGGTAAGCACTTCTGTGAACCAGGACATGGGCCACCCTCGACGCGTCAACCAGTCCTCGGCATTCATCACCTCCGCAGATAGTACTTCGGCTTCCGAGTCGCAGCGCATATCGGACCTCGACCAGATAGAGGCAAGCATTCAGCCGTTTGGGCCAGCCTTGGTGAAGGTCTACTTCCAAATTGTGCATCCCCTCTTCCCAATTTTGGACAAGGGTGTTTTCTTGGAAAAGTACGCCCGGTCGTATCGCGAATTCTCGCCTCCACTATTGGCTGCAGTCTATCTGGTCGCACTGGATTGGAGGCTATTTGACCGAGCGTTGACCAAAGCCACTCGCGTACCTGACACTGCTGTGCTCGAAGATTTGGCTATGCGAGCCATGAGCGATGATATGAAGAGGGCAAAACTCTCGACTTTGCAAGCCGGCTTGCTACTTTTGCAGAGAGTGCGATCTACTTCCAGCACCCTTCCCGCGCAGCTCTTGGCCTTGGGTCAATCATTGGGCGTTCATGTTGACTGCAGCGACTGGAGTGTGCCAGATTGGGAGAAAAGCTTGCGGCGACGGTTGGCCTGGGCTCTTTACACGCACGACAAATGGGGGGCTATTGTACATGGCCGTCCATCGTTGATTCCCACTCAGATTGATCACAGCGACGTTGGTGATTGGGATGTCGGCCCGTGCACCTTGGTGGACTTTCCTGAGGCCACCGACACCGGTGCCGAGGAAGTGGAAGGGATCGTGGACGCTGGGCTGGGTCGGGCTGCGTTCATACAATTAATAGAGCTGACCAAGATCTTCAGCGAAATAGTTGCAACCTTTTGCTCAGTGGGTGCTACGAAAAAGGGCGGACTGCTATCCCGCATTGGTACAACCGGTACAATGAGTCTTGCAAAGCCACTGGTAATGAAGCTGCGCGAATGGCACAGCAGCCTTCCAGATAATTTACAGCTGGGAACCACATACTCTCACAGACTCTCCACCAACGGCCCACTTCATCTTTCGCACATGGCTGCCGAATTGACTATTCATCGCGCGTTATTGCGCACTTTGTCAGCGGATACACCACCTGCGCTCCGCTCGACTATCCGCACAGCAGCCCGTGCTCGTCTCGCATCAGCAATGAAGTTGATCGAATCTCTTCAGCCTGAACATACACAATCTTTCTGGGGCTTTGCTGCTGCGTCTCAGGTGGCTATGATAGGGTCTTTCGCTGGCCTGTTATGGGCCACCAGTGCTGAAGCTGAAGAAGCAGTTGAATTCGTCAATCAACTTGAACGTCTTCGTTGGGCTTTGCAAATGCGGGCATCTGCCGCGCCGTTTATTCACGAAGCTTTGCGTATGCTTGATGACGAGGTTGGGGATTTGGGGGCTCTCAGGACGGCCACCTCTGTGGACTACATGTCCTGGGACTGAACTAATCTGCTGTTGAATTAATTCCACCAGGATCAGTTCGCTACTAATCACCAAGCATCCAAGAGCCGCTTGCTGATTCTCATCTACGGAGCTAGGGCTACTAGTCCTAAGACAGATCGGGTTGCTTTCTCTAATTATACGGCCGTTATATTCGATATCATTAGGGTTCTGCACTAAATACTCACACTTTGCATCATTTTATTGTCGGATGATAGCCACATCATCAGCTGGACCGACGACATCACCCTCGGCAACCAATAACTTCACACATTTACCACTGACTGGCGTGCTGATCTTCACCTCCATCTTGTTGGATTCGATCCAGATCTGATGACAGGTTAGTGGGGCGTTGCAACGGGTAGAAACCACCTACCAATGTGTCACCGGCCTCAACCTGGTCTCCTTCTTCCACGGCACATCTGAAGCATCTCCCAGGGAACGGGGCCTTGACTCTTTCGCCAGTTGTATCATGGAATCCTCCTCGAGCCTCAGAAGTCGCGTTGGTCGGCTGATACGGCTTCAGCAACTCTTCAAAGAACTCAGCCTTGCGCACCGCTTCGGCTCGCTCTGTTCGGACTGCAGCAATGCTCTCACCGTTGTCGCTCAGCCATTGCTCGTACTGCTCAAGATCTAGCTCGGTGTGGGTGATTTTGACCAGTTCGCTCACGGTTCCTTGCTCTTCTGCTGCATCGAGGATCTTTTCCGCAACAGGGTAGAATGTGATTTGATCCAGGAGCGAAAATAACCACGGGTTCTGCGAATTGAGCTTACTGCTGCGCTCCCGCTCGCGGTACTCATTCCAAATGGGCACTGTACGGCCGACAAGTTGGTATCCGCCCGGCGAATCTGTGGCATAGATGCAAAGATACTGGCCCGCAACGCCGACCGCTCCACGGGGTGTGAAGGACCGCGATGGATTGTATTTGGTTCCGAGAAGTCGGTGTCGCGGGTCTAGAGGCACCGCACACGGTGAACCCTGATAAACATCACCCAATCCTAGGACGAGGAACGTTGCTGTGTGGAGGTTCTCTCCGACCTGCTCCGGCGATGCGAGGCCATTGAGGCGCTGCAAGAACTCGACATTGCTCGGAAGGTATGGTGCGGATGAACGGATGGTTGAAGTATACCGAGTAATGGCTTTTCGGCTCTTCTCATCGTCGAAAGCCAAGGGCATCTGCACGACTCGAGATGGCAGCCGTGAGCGAAGCTGAAGTCCGAGGGACACTTCGTGGGATACCAGCGAGTCGAGCACATGGGACAAAGAAAAGCTCGCTTCCAGCTGGACATGAATACTCCGAACGCCCGGTGTGAGTTCCTGGACATTGGGGATCGGTGCAATGCGGTGCTGCTCGATGAAGCTGAGGATGTGGAACGTTTGACGCAGGTTGAAATTATCCTCGTGGCCAAAGTCAAGTAGCAGAGCTCTGTCACCAGCTTGACGGCATACAATACGGCGGCCGGCCTCTCGGATTTCTCTCAAAACCGGGTTTTCCACCCAAGAAGGCTTGTTGTTGCGTCCAAAATCTAGAGGCAACTGTGTCAATGTGTCAATTGACTGTTTCCATTCCTGAGACAACGCCTGCGCCGTTTCAAGCGAAATTGGACGCAGGTAGAGACGGTCTCCCGGTAGCATTTGTCCAAACTTCCATAACTCTGCCTCGACAACTGTGGCGAATACGACGAACCCGCCCAAGCTCGGTCCATCCGCAGTCAAAACCACGGCTTCATCCCCGGTAAAGCTGATTCCACCGACGGGATATGGGCTATCATGGATATTGGAGGGATGCAATCCGGCATCTCCCCCTGTTTCCCGCGCCCACTCAGCCCGCGGGCCGCTTAGGCGGACTCCAATGCGGTTGCTGTTGTAATGGACAGTCCATTCTCCGGTGAACAGTTTCAACAAACCGGCCTCGGTGAAGTGGGCAGGACTTCCGTGTGGGCCTGGCAGTACACTGACAATCCACTCTCTCGCTGCACTGCTAGGCAGTGGAAGCGATGGAGCTCGAGCGGCCATGTCGACATTGTCAGATTGGTTGACAGGGATCAAAGGCAGCAGGTCACCGATGCGGAGATTGCGGCCGTTGTGACCACCCAGATGCCCGGTCACAAAGGTCGAACGGCTGCCCATGACAAGCGGTGTCTGGATTCCTCCCTTGACAGCGACGTATGTTCGCGCACCGTTTATGACGGTACCGATAGCCAAACGTTGACCGGCACGGATGAGAATTGGCTGGCCCATTTTGACTTCTTCCCCATCGACATACACTGGTGCTTCTGCTCCGACGACCGCAATCACGGTAGAGCAATGGAACAGCAGCGTAGGGCCTTGGACGGAGCATTCAAGGCCTGCAGCGTGGGCATCGTTGTTGATCAGGCGATTGGCGAGTTGAAAGGAATAGTTGTCCATTGGTCCTGAGGGTGGCACGCCGATGTGCCAGTAGCCCCTTCGACCAGGGAAGTCCTGCACGGCAATCTGAGATCCTGGATCGACGATTTCAACGACATCAGCCGTGTAAGGAAAAGTGTCCAAGGACTTGGTGGTGAAGTTGCCTGAGAGGAAGGCCTCCGAATCAACAATCTGCTTTAAGTACTCGAGATTCGTCTCAACACCGGTTATAATCGTTTTCGACAGTGCATCTGACATCTTTCGCGCTGCTGAACGACGGTCGGCAGCATGAACGATCAGTTTTGCTAGCATCGGGTCGTAAGACGATGATAGCTCTTGCCCAGCCTTTACCCAGGTGTCGACTCGGACATCGATCGGAAACTCAACGGCGGTGAGTTTTCCAGAAGATGGACGGAACTCTTGCAGAGGACTTTCGGCATAGACACGTACTTCGATTGCGGCGCCGTTGATCGTCCTCTCATTGCGTTGTTCCGCGAAAAGACCAGAGCAGTCCTGCATGGCTATATTGACCATGCACTGCACCAAATCGAGACCCGTTCCTGCCTCCGTGACCGGGTGTTCGACCTGCAAACGGGTGTTCATCTCCAGGAAATAAGCTTGCTCGCTGTCGATGTCGAAGATGAATTCCACAGTTCCGACATTGCGGTATCGCACTGACGCTGTCAGGGCGACGGCAGCATCGCGCATCGCCTGCCGTGCCTTCAATGGCACAAATGCAGCTGGTGTCTCCTCGATCACCTTCTGATTCCGCCGCTGCATTGAACAGTCACGCTCTCCTGCGCAGACGACGCGGCCGCTGCCATCGCCAAGAACCTGCACCTCGATATGCCTGGCGTGCTCAATGAAGTGCTCGATAAAGACACCATCGTCGCCGAAATTTGCTTGCCCTAGCCTCCGTACACCGTCGAAAGCTTCCTGAAGCTCATTCGCATTGTTGCACCGGTACAGGCCGATTCCGCCGCCACCTGCGGTGCTTTTCACCATGACCGGATATCCGATTTTCTCTGCTTCCTCTAGAGCCGTCTCCAGACTAGCCACCAACCCTTTTGAACCGGGGACAACAGGGACGCCCGCCGCGATGGCGATCTCGCGTGCGCGGTGCTTGAGCCCCAGCTCGCGCATCTGGTCAGATGTAGGTCCAATCCAGATGATACCTGCTGCTTCGACGGCGGCCGCGAAGTCAGCATTTTCGGCTAAAAACCCGTACCCCGGGATCACTGCGTCGGCTTCAGCTTGACAAGCCAGATCTAGGATCTGACGGGCGTTCAAATAGGTGTCGGCCACTGTGTTTCCGACAAGTGGGAGGGCAACATCGGCTGTTGATACATGTGGGGTGTGGGCGTCAGCAGTGGAGTATATGGCTATGGCCTGTATCTTCATGTCATGCAATGTGCGAATGATACGCGCGGCGATTTCTCCTCGATTGGCCACCAAGACTTTCCGGATGACTTTCTTCTCGGTAGCGTTGACCTTCGGTTTGGCAGCACTCAATGACTGGGTATACGCCCGCCAGCCACCATAAGATGTGATCTCTGTGGCGCCTTCAAGACCGTCGGGCTCGCAGATGAACCCATGAACCCACTGCCCGTCTTGCAGCTCGATTGACCCAATACCCAATGGCGCCTTGACTGTTTCTAAAAAGCTGCCGAATTTCGCGCGCGGCAGGTCCCAGACTTCCACCTCAATTGCGCATCCACCAGTTGCGACCCTTTTGAGACCTGGCTTCAGCACTGCTGATTGCGATTGCAGTCTGTAGAGCTGGTAGCATGGAGATGTTGTCGTTGTTCCGGCAAGAGTCGCACCTCGTGTGACTAAGTCCTTGTTGAGAGGGAATCCTGAAAGATGAGCCCCTACTACTGCAAGCTTCATCGAGTCGCTTGCGGCGAGTGGGCATCTAGGCGTCGCGGGCTCGTGGTATTCGACGTCGGTTGCGCCTAGCCGACGAGGTGCTTCAGATAACCACCTCCGACTGAGCTCCAAGAGCCGCGGCTCTTCCCATGTGCCGGCAATCAGGGTGATTCCAAACGGGAGATTGTCTGTTCTCCAGCCCGCAGGAATAGCGATGGCAGACCAATCCATGAAGTTGACAAAGTTGGTATAGGTTCCTAGCCGGCTGTTTTCTTTGATCGGTTCCTCGGCTAAGTCTGCGATTGTTGGGAATGTAGGACTGGTAGGGACGAGGAGGGCGTCGAATCGGCTAAATATGGAGGTGATTTTGCGGATGAGTTCCTGCCGGCGATATTGTTGCTTGAAAAGGTCAGCTGCGCTGAAGTTCTTGGCCATCATGATGATCTTTCGAACTGTTGGATCCATTGCTTCGGCCGGGGCTGAACTAACGAATTCGTCGATGGCAGCATAGCGCTCTGCAACCCAGGGCCCTTCGTACAAGAAATTGGCGAGTTCGAAGAGTAGACTGAAATCGACGGGCTCGAGGCGCCATCCTAGCCTTTGGGCCTTCTTCAACGCGACGTCGTACGCCGCAGCATGTTCGGTATGACCAAACCACTCGGGATTCTTGCAAATAGCAAGCGATGGCTGTCCAACTACGATCCCACGCGGTACGCACCCCACTCCATCACCGCGAGCCCTAGAGTATGCATCCTCAGAATTGAACCCTTCTGCCACGCGCAGGACCAACTCCGCATCCTCAACCGTCTGTGCAAAGATAGAGACGCAGTCAAGTGTCCTACAAGCAGGCAGCACTCCAGTCGTGCTTAACGCCCCCCGCGTCGGTTTCAGTCCAAGCACATTATTCAATCCGGCGGGCACCCGCCCCGAACCAGCCGTGTCCGTTCCTAGGGAAAACGGCACAAGTCCCAACCCAACAACAGCACCGCTCCCCGAGCTACTCCCGCCGCTAACATATTCTGGATTGATTGAGTTGCCCACAGCGCCATATGGAGAACGTGTTCCGACGAGCCCTGTCGCGAATTGATCTAGATTCGTCTTGCCGAGGACAATGGCACCCTGCGCCTTCAAGCGTGCCACCACGGTTGAGTCTGTGAATTCAGGTTCTGAACCTTTGGCGTCGGCGAATGCAGGGCATGCGGCTGTTGTGCGGAAACCGGCGGCGTCAATATTGTCTTTTACGGCAAAGGGGACGCCGTAGAGGGGGAGGGTGTGCCCTTCATTTTTTAGGGCAGTGATGCGGTTCCACTCGGCTGTCAGCTGGCAGGGCGTTGCGAGTGAGATCCAGGCGTTTGAAGAAGTCTTCTGGATTTTTGAAAGGAGGGAGAGGAGGTGCGTTGGCGTGGATGCAGCTTCCTGGGCTTGAAGCCACTGTGGAATCGTCACAAGGTCCGTCATGTTAAGGGGCGTTAGGACGGATCTGGTAGATGGAGTCTTGGAATTGTACTTCCGAGACTATGGACGCCATTGCTATATTAGTACTATCTCGACTTTATCTCGTGTATCTATGAGTGATGGCTATTGTTCATCCTGAGGGTTTAGTTCTGCCCCGCCGAGTCTTCGGCCCGCTCATGTTATCGGCCCCCGCTCCGCCGCGCGGGCTACAGTAAGGCCAACCCTGCGGCGCGAACTTTTGCTGGAAGATTACTCCTTCAGATTTGTATATTGGAGCGGGATCGGACTGGACTGTAGTTGTTGAGGCTCACGCAGTGGCCACCTACTGATCCGCAATTCCGCATCGGCTGCCTGCTGTCTATGTGGGGTTTGCTCTCCTGAGCCTGCTTGAATCTTGAGGCTCTGTACAATTAAGGCACAGCAGTGTTTATTGTTCTTTACTGTCCGAAGGTCCCGTCGTGGTCGACCATGGCACCTTCCTAATTCGGTTCTGTCACCATCGCTCCTTCCCTGGGAAGCTGGTATGTTAACTGGAAGGCAAGAGCGACCCTGATTGCTTACAAATGGCTCCTTCCTCTTTGTAGGTGTGCGCGTACATAATGCACTGTGCCAGGGTTAGCTGCGAGTGAAGTCAGAGCAAGATTCTCGAGCTGTTGGTAAGCAGATAGATCGTCGGATGGATTGCTACCTAGCCCTATAAAGAAAGGAAACTCCGGTGGAGCGAGCGATAAATCCCCGTGTACGATGACCGTCAGCGTCTGTTCGATTACGCCGATTTACATACGGTACTTTGGAGAGGTACATCGAGCAAGAAGTACACTTGTATCGGCCTCGCCGTTGTTAGCCCACGGGCCACGGGCCACCAAAGGCCTCGATTCGACTCGACTCGACTCGACACTCAATCTCCCGATCCAAGGGTCCTGATCCTCTTGGACGCCGTAAGCATGAGCCCAGGAGCATGAAAGATGAAGCATCCATCATCCTTGGGCGAAATGTCACTAGACGGATACCGCTGATGTAGTCGTGCTCTCTTACTCGAGCGCAACTACGCATCGCGTCTAATATCCGGCTATCTGCGAAACAGATGATGGGGAGTATGATGAAACCTCGCACGTGCGGCTCCATCGATCACCAGGAAAGCCGGTGTCTGATAGGCGGGAGGATCCCTGGACGGGATTCAGATCAGGACCGGCCGGGCATGGGCATGGGCATGGGCACGGGCACCGAGTAATCAGGTCGAAGGGGGGATGCCGATCGAAGTCAGGGTCACCGGATCGGTGAGTTGGCAGGCATGCACGGGCTTTGCATGGGAAGTACTTGTATGTGGTACCCTGGTAAGCAATAGCGGGGGCTGCTATACCCTCTATTATTAGGACTGTATTATTATTCTTCATGTGCTTGCTGACTGCGGGATACCGGTACATTTGGTTATGACATCGGAGAGCAGATGATAAGTGGGTGGATGTCACGTTCTACCTAGGTAGATGATTCTTGATGGCGAGCGACTGTGGAAGTAGTTGCCTATGGTGTTGGTTTTAGTTGGCAGGCTTATCTTATTCAAGGTCGTTCATGTCGGGTGCTGAGTTGGCATGCACCACAGCGTGACTGCGGCTAGTTACATCTGAGATCATCTCGAGCTTGCATATCCTGGAATCATTCAATCAACGTCCATTACTATTACAATATCTCGTTTATGTTGGATGCAATCATCTAGAGATCATCGCCTATGAACGCTCAGGAAAGCGCCGCTCCCAGCCAACAACAGCCGGCTTCGTAGGCCCCATGAACATCGACGAGTAGTCAGTCGCAGGGACTCCTGTTTCTCCATCCACATTGTAGAGCTTCAGGTTACGCACGATCGTCGCGACAATAACCCCCAGATTGACGTAGGCAAACTTCTCACCAATGCATCGGTGTCGACCGCCGCCGAATGGCAGATACGGGCTGTTCATACGCTTAGACACCGCGCCATAGCCATAGTCGATTAGCTCACCCTCCTCGTCGTCTTTGTCGGGCCGCTGGCTCTCCCAGCGATGTGGATCCCAGACGTTCGCGTTGGGAAAGTACTCGTCGTCGAGCGCTGTTGCGCCAGGTGATGCCAGGAGAGTATGACTGGTTGGGATGACGTAGGATGTGCCGGGGACAGGTATTGGGTTCTTCACCTTGCGGAGGATGGAGTGGATGGACAGGTGGACGCGGAGAGTCTCCTTGATGACGTTCTGATGCAACGGGAGAAGATCAAGGTCTTTGTACTGTAGGGGCTCAAAGAGGCCGGTGCGCGGGTCATGCTTGAGGTTGTCGAGCTGCTCTTGGTAGAGCTCTTCCAGGATTCGAGGCTCCGAGGCCAGTCGTAGCAGGATCCACGCGCTGATTGACGAAGATGAGTGCTGGCCGGCCATGAGAAGCGTAATCATAATGTGGGCAATCTCCTTGTCTGGTACAGGGTTTCCGTTTTTATACGTGCAGTGCATCAGATTCCAAATCATGTCTTGCTCTTGTGCGTCTGGGTTCTTGCGTCGTTGGTTAATAATCTCCATGTAGGTTTCTCGCATGCGTGCGTGGGCAATGTCACGTTTGCGGTTCTGAGGAAGCGGTGCCCATGGGAGGATAAAGTTGATTGGAGTAAATCCCATTTCCAAGTCATGGAACAGATCGGCGAACTCCGCGGTAAGCTTCTTGCGGACTTCCTTCCCTTGTAGTGCGCTCCCAGCAGTGTAAATTGTGAGCTCGGCCATGGCAGCAGGGGCGTCAAGGACACCAGAATTTCCCTTGAATCGTGGAGATGTCTTGAGATAGTCCAGAACCTCCTTTTCGATCAAAGGGACATGCGATTCAAGCGCGCTTTGTGATAGGCCGAACTTTATGAACTTCTTCTGCTCCATGAGCTTCGAATTAGGGCAATCGTAGACGACGTCGGATCCGAAGACGGGTGTTGTAAGCGGTCCGTAGACCTCCTCCGCGTTGAGGTCTTTGAGCTTTCCATTGAGAATGAAGTCGTTGCCCTTGACGCCCATGTATACCGTCATCTTCTTCCCGAGCATGATGAAGGTGAAAATGTCGCCATACTGATGTTGTCAGTCAAGTGGCTCGTGGTCAATTCATTGAGTATTTCTGGCATACCTTTTCTCTGCACGAGAAAAAGAACTTGTATGGGTTCATTCCATAGCTAAGCGTGCTGCCCACAAATGGAACCCAGTGAAAGACCATTGGAGGCTCATTCTTGTTGCGAAAGAGAACCTGGCGGGTGACATTGAGTAGGACTGCGGCAATAACTCCCACAAAAGCGTAGGCACTGAGCACGGTTGGGGACAGCATAATTGATGCTGTTCAGACCATGGATGGAGGAAAGACGAGAGAATGAAAGAGGGAGGACACGATCGGTAATCTGGCCATGGTGATTGACCGAGCCCCTGCCTTAGCTCCAGCGCAGTCCCGAATCACTGCAGCCTAGCAAGCTCTCCCCATACTCCGTATGGTTCGGTCGTTCGAGGCAACTGCTGCTGCTCCCTTCTTCTTGGCGGCCGGGAGCTGTGGTCCCGGGTCAGACCATCAGACCATTCATCGCCCACTCAAAACAAGCAAGTCAAGGGGTTAACATTGCTTAGGGTCCATAATAACATGTGCACAGTTCCGAGAACCACCATTATTCTCAATCAGGTACCTGGGGGCCATTTAGGTAGCGGTGGAATTGTGCATTGTGCATTTAGTGCTTGATCAAATGCTTCTCGTCCCCAGAGACAATCACCTCGGGCTAGGCATGGGCGCAGTCTCAGAAGGGAGCTTACTTGATCTAGGTGGTGTTGGCTAAGGTCGACTGCCGAGAAATGACTGGATGGATTCATGGAAGGGGAGATTGAATTGAGATTCAGGATCTCGGAGTCGGTGGACACTGGAAGATTGTCTGGATGCCTGAGAAGCATTTCGATGCCTGAGGCCGCAAGTCGTGGCCCGCGTCCCAAAGGGTTTAGCGCCAGATCCACCTAGGCACAACCAAGAACTTGAAGCTACATCATCGCTACAGCCACACTGACTCACGGAGCCAATCTATTATTGACTCACTTCGACTCATACTTCGGTTTAGGCGCTCTGGCACAATATATGTAGGTGCTAGCTTGGGACGGTTTCCTAGCCCCAGACGCTCTTTACATTACATAATCACTCCAATCACTCCAATCGGTCTCGCTTATAGAGCCCGCTCGGTATAGCTACAGATCTGCTAAACATACGACACAATGACGGGCTCAGCAACTCCTAAAAGTGCCACCACAAATGCGGGTCAACGGCCTATCTCACGAACCGAGAGCTCGAACCCGCGAGGATTTCAAATCAACCAGCTCAGACGGCGCTTCCGTCCCACAGAGAGCGATGATGAGTCGGGGACCACATTATCTTTCCAACTAGTTCCCTCAGATCCGGACTTTCCTTTCGAATTGGAGCGCCTGCAATGTGCTCTCTTCGTTCCCTCAACATACCCTGCACAAGGCAGACCTTCGCTGAAAGTGGGGAATCCTGAAATCGGAGCCGCGTTCCAGGAGAATATCTCGCGGGGGTTTGACGACATCATTGATATTTCACTGAGAATGAATGGGCGTGGAACTCTGCTCAACTGGATAAACTCCCTTGACCGGCACCTCGAGCGTTTACTTACCACCACGGAGCGGGGACCGACGCTCAAGTTTGTACCCAATGCTCGGAAAGAAGAGCCCAGCAAAGCTTTACTGGATAACTTGGGATCATTAGCAGTGTCTGAAAAAGTTGAGCTGAAGAGATACGAGCCTCCGGCACCGGTCGAGATACGTCCTGTCTATACAGCGGAAGAAAGAGCGCAGGCGGAGAAGCGAAGAGCGGTCGAGACGAAGCAGCTCGAAGCACGCCTTGGGAGACTGCCGCTGTTTCAGAAAGCTAAAGACGGCCTTTCATTCGTCATGCCCATCCAGCCCACTAAGATCGATCGACTTCCGATTCCGCTCAGACCAGTCAAGACCGTCAAGCTTACCGTACCTTCGCTGTATCCCCTCGAGCCTAGTTCCATCGAGCTACAGGGCATCCGCGGCAGTGAGGCGTATGCAGTGGAAGTTGGCTTTGCGCAATGGTTAAAGGACCATTCGCAATTGAACTTGGTGTCACAAGTCAATTATCTGGCGAGCAATATCCATAATTTCGCGAAGACGGTGGTCGAGGATCCTGTCGAACCCAAACGGCCTGAGCCGGAAACCACAGTTCCAGATGAACCGCAGCCTCCTGTGGAAGAACATCCGCCTACAGACGAGGACAAGCCACATCTCCATGTTATTCAGCGACCCCCGGAGTGGACCGTCGACGATGATGCAAGTGGCAGCGAGGAGACAGATATCACCAGCTCGGAAGGTGAGTACTCGGACGACGAAACAGATGGCGGTGCGCCAATTTCAGATCTACCGGAGCCTACGACCGAACATGGCGTTGCACTTTCATTTCCATTCCTCGAGCTTTACGGTATTGAGCTACTTGAACTTGTGGGTCTCTACATCACGATCAAATGTGACAGGTGCAAAGAGCAGTTGGATGTGCGAAATATACCCCAGACAAAGGATAGTAGCGGCGTCCTATCTCCGAAGGTCGAAACCTGCAAGAAATGCACAAACACCATGAGCATAGGTAAGATCTATTATCCTAGTCAATTGCGCTGCTCATTTTTCCAGGATTTCGACGGATGCTGATGCATTCCAACTCCAACCGTGCGGGCTACCTGGATCTGGATGGCTGCACTGTCGTTGATCTTCTCCCTAGGTACGCGAAACCCTTCACTCACTTAACCTGCATAACACTTATACCTTGGTAGCGGATTTATTCCAACGTGCGCGGAATGTTCGGCCCCCTTCCCAGGACCTGGGGTAGTCGCAGTGCGAGGCGAGAGCGCCATGGCCAATTGCCGCCAATGCCATCGAAAAATGGGTACGATCGTCCGTCTGTAAAGTTACAGAGCTCATACTAACTATCTCAGTGTTCAAAGTACCTGAAGTAAAATTCCTCAAAATAGGATCCGCAGCCTGTGAGTTACTCTCAGCAACGTCAAACTTCGAGTGCTAATGTTGCAGTCACGTCTCGGGATCGTGCTCCAGCGCGAAAGAAGGTACGTTGCTGGCCTGATCTCAAAATTGATAGCGGCTGATCATCGCATTAGCCAAAGGAAGTTCTCGGTATTGTAGCAGGTCAGGAACTACCCCGTCGCGGTCGATGCATGCACTACAGCAAAAGCTACCGCTGGTTCAGGTACGTCTTCTATAAATTAACAGACGCGTTCAATATCTGACCCCTCACAGATTCAGCTGCTGCCAGAAAGTCTTTCCATGCGATAAGTAAGCAATCCCGTGGCATCCAACTTGCAGAATCTAACGAGTATCAGATGCCACGACGCGGCCACAGATCATCCAAATGAGCACGCCAACCGCATGATTTGGTAAGGGCGTAAATCCAATCACCTTAACTCAGCTAACCCGGTGCAGCGGCTTCTGCTCTCGCGAACAAATTTATCGCCCGGAGAACTGCGGGATTTGCCGTTCGTACCTAGTCGGGAAGGCAGGGAGCGGTTTCTGGGAAGGAGGGAAAGGCACTAGGAACAAGACTTTGATGAGCAGGAAAGGTGTGTACTCACCATCTCTTCTTTAGTTATTCGGCTTTGCTGATATGTCTAGACCCGCGGAAGTACAAGCGCCGGCCAGGTTCTACGCCCGGTGGTACCAGCTCTTCGAAGAAGAAATGAAAATATCCTCAAAGCATATAAATATATTCTTACGGCATACTCGCAAGCGTTGGATGGATCAAGCATATATATAAAGAACAGTGGTTCACGCTCACCTATCTGGTGTTGTACTCGAGGTCAGCCTGAGTTAGGGTTAGGAGTATGCACCAAGACTGACTGTTATCCGGGATGCTAGTAAACTTCCTATCACAAATCTATGGTATTATGAATCAAATATACTATTCATTCCCAAGTACAGGCAAAATCTCAATCTATTTTTACCTACCCCATACAAATCAGAAATTCAGCTTCACGGGTGGCACGATGGTTCCGACACAATCGCCGAACCCTACATAGTTACCTTCCGTGCCCGCCATACCGCGAAGAGTCACAGTGTCACCGTCCTCCAAGAAAAGACGCTCCGACCCGTCAGCAAGCTTGATCGGGTTCTTTCCGTTTGTCTGCTCGAGGAAGCTGCCTTCAGTCTGGTTCTCCTTGCCGGAGATCGTACCACTGCCGAGAAGATCACCGGTGTTCAGGTTGCACCCTGTGATGGTATGGTGGGCCAGCATCTGAGGGAAAGAGTACAGAAGGTTTTTTGCGTTACTGTGAGAAATCACAGTAGGCTTGCCGCCTGCGTTTGTGACTTCAACTTCTAGCGGGATGTCATAGGCAGTATTGGCCCGCTTCTCCCGCAGATACGGCAGAAGCGACTCCCTGTTTCCGGGCTCTAGACCGGTGGTGCGGAAGGGCTCGAGAGCATCAACCAAGACCACCCAAGGGGTGATTGTTGTACCAAAGTTCTTTGCGTTGAACGGGCCTAGGGGAACGTACTCCCACGCCTGGATGTCACGGGCGGACCAGTCGTTCATAAGCACCACTCCGAAGATATGGTCTTCCGCATTATCAATATGAACAGGGTGGCCCAAGTCATTAGGCGTTGAGACGAAGAACGCCAATTCTAGTTCGATATCGAGCTTTCTGCATGGGGAGAACTCGGGGACTTTAGGGTTCGCGGCGGGGTTGGTCAAGATTTGGCCTTGGGGACGGTGGATAGGTGTGCCAGATGTGACCACGGACGAGGCGCGGCCGTGATAAGCCACGGGGAGGTGCTTGTAGTTTGGCTGCAGCGCGTTGTCTGGGCCACGGAAGAGGACTCCAATGTTGTAGGCATGGTTGAGACCGGCATAGAAGTCTGTGTAGTCGCCAATCTGCAGAGGAAGGTGGTTGGTCACCTCCGACAGTGGTAGAAGAGCCTCCTGCTGGAGCGTGGCGTTGTCTTTGAGGATCTGTGGGAAGGGTGTCTCTGTGCTGAAGACTTTCTGGATGTATTCGCGGACCTGGCGGTGCACTGGTCGTCCGAGGGCAGCAAATGCGTTCAGAGTGGGCTGGCTGAAGACGTTCAGGTGAGATTGGATGGCGGGAAGTTGGGAGAAACCGCCGGAGGAGGCAAATGCGCTTAGGTTCAATGCATGGTCTCCGATTGCGACAGCCGGGACTCGCGATGAGATCTTCGAGGATGAAATTATACCGAATGGGATGTTCGCCAGCGAGAAGGGCGAGTTCTTGGGGATTTGCAGCCACGAAGCCATTGTGATGGAGCAGCGAGCAGGGCAGATGGTGGAGAGACGGGAGATTGATGAGATGAGACGAAAAGAAGGCCAAACAGCGATTAAAATGCCGTTGACAGATATGTCGACACTGAAGAATGGCAGGAAGGATTCCGTGGGGGGCGCCTAAGAGAGCAGCACCGCGGAATGAAGCCGCCCCCGCTTATTACCGGCTGTTGTCCTCTCGCTGTGACTCCCGACTTTCCGCTCCCCCCTCACGGTTGCCATGATGCGATGATGCGATGATCGCCGCTTTCGGGCGGATCGCGGTAATTCAACTACCAGGTCATCGCCTGATCTAGGCTTTTACAACTTTCAGCGCCCGATCCTGAGTATATAGACCGACTCGTCACTGTCTCGCAGCAGCACTCAATACTCAAAGCGACAGACAGCAAATCACCGAAATGCCGGTCACTAATTTCTCCTACAAGGACCCGTACACCTACCAAAATGGATTTGATTCCTATCATGAGTATGCTAGTGCGGAACTAATCGTGGTCGCTGAGCTAACGTGCCTAGATCCGAAGCCATCGAAGGCGCCCTCCCCATAGGGCACAACTCTCCCCAGAAAGCCCCGTACGGTTTATACGCCGAAAAGCTCTCAGGAACGGCCTTCACTGCTCCCCGGCACGAGAACAGACAGACCTGGGTCTACCGTATCCTTCCGGCCGCAGCGCACGAGAACTTCGTCGAAGAGGACGCAGGTACCTACCGCACGCTATCAGATTCCAAAAAGCTTCAGCACATACCTAATCAGCTCCGTTGGGATCCGTTTGACTTGGATGAAACTGTTGACTGGGTTCATGGGTTACATCTTGTGGCCGGGTCCGGAGACCCTACCATAAAACAGGGTCTAGGCATCCTGCTGTATGCGGCAGGCAAAGATATGGGGAAAGAAGCTTTCTACTCCGCAGATGGTGACTTTTTGATTGTCGCCCAGCATGGCGTGCTAGACATCCAGACTGAGCTTGGCCGGTTGGTGGTTCGGCCGAATGAGATTTGTGTGATTCCTCGTGGTGTAAGGTACGTACTGCCGCACTGACCTTGACATTGATTATGATGAGCTGACAAAACAGATACCGTGTCACCCTCCCTGACGGTCCTGTGAGAGGGTACATCTGCGAGCTCTACCAAGGTCACTACCAGCTTCCCGAGCTAGGCCCTATCGGTTCCAATGGCCTTGCCAATGCGCGGGACTTCCAAGCACCAGTGGCTTCGTTTGATGATGAAGAGGAACCGTCGGAGTACCGGCTATACAGCAAATTCAACAACCACCTCTTCTCCGCGCGCCAGGACCATACCCCATTCGACGTTGTCGCGTGGCACGGCAACTATTATCCGTACAAATACGACCTCGGCCGCTTCAACACCATTGGCTCCATCTCATTTGACCACCCGGACCCCTCTATCTACACCGTGCTCACCGGTCCATCTGATCATGTGGGCACTGCAATTGCCGACTTTGTTATCTTCCCACCGCGCTGGTTGGTCGCGGAGAAAACCTTTAGGCCCCCATGGTATCACCGCAACACCATGTCCGAGTTCATGGGCCTGATCACCGGTGATTATGACGCGAAAACTGGCGGCGGATTCCAACCTGCTGGTGCAAGTCTGCACAATATCATGAGTGCGCATGGGCCGGACATGCATGCATTCGAGGGCGCAAGCAATGCCGATCTAAAGCCCGCGAAGGTTGGGGATGGCAGCATGGCGTTCATGTTCGAGAGGTATGTGAACCGTGACTTGTCGAGCTCAAGTGGCTAACTTCGTATAGTTCTCTCATGGTTGGTGTGTCTGAATGGGGTCTTAAGACATGCCAGAAGGTGCAGGAGGAGTATAACGAGCATAGTTGGCAGCCGCTGAAGAGACACTTCAAGGACCCGAGAAAGGCGTAAAATGTTGAGCGTAGAAATGTTGAATAGTTATCATCTTGGATATCTCATGCCATATACCAGGGTTTTGATTTAAAACTTTGTCTAATCTAGTGACAGTTGGTGATATACTACTTACATTTGCAACTAAAGAAATATACTAAAAGACGTACAGAAAAGCTATACCCCCTCAACCTCCTTCCTCATTGCCTCCTTCACAATGGCCCCACACATCTTCGCGTATGGATTAGTCTGTACGGCCATCTGCTGCGCAACCTTGTTCCCATATCGGCCCCCGAGGAAGAAGTCCCGACTTGCCATCTCTTCTAGCCCTTCGGATCCTATATCCTTTAGCGTATCTGGTACGTTCCTGACCTCCTGCTTATCACCACCCTTGAGCTGCCGTGATATCTTCAGGAGGAGGTATGCGCGGTGCGTGTGGGTGTCTGCTAAGAGCTTTGCTTGGGTCGGCGATACGGCGTCAGCGGGCGAGAGTGGTGTAGCGAGGGTAATTGCTTCGCCGAGATCTGAGAGGAGAGAGGAGAGGAGAGAGATTGTTTCTGGTGAGGCTTTTTGGTCGTCCTCGTTCTCAATCAGCATCCGCAGTGCTTGAGCCCGGTTTGCGTAGGCGGATGGGTATGTTGGGTGTTCCCTGATAAGAGCATCGAGCGCACTGACTGCAGATTGGATCTGGCTGGGTTCCGGTACCGCCTGGTTGGTTGATGCTAAGGGGTTGATAATGTCTTTCTCGCGGGCCTGGAGGGCTGCATGTTCTTCTGAAGATATACCTAGATGTGCTGGGAGCTGAGGAAGGCTCGGATTGATTGTGACGCCTGAAGAAGGCGAGGATTCGGCGTCGAAGAGGGCTTGCAGGACGGCGGAATCGTTGGTTGTTAGAGAGGGCTTGGAAGGGGCGATTGTCGTTGCGGACATTGTGCTTGATTCTATTTTGCTCTAGTTTGGATTTTGAAATTGTTAAGAGCAGCACATTATATTCTGATAGCTGAAAAGGGCACGCGGCACATGCTTGGCTTTGTAATGGTGATGGTGCTGATGCCGGAAATCTTGCGGGCAGTGCCGGATGTTTTGAAATACCCGGCCACCAACATCCGCCTCCAGCCGTCTCCGTCCTCTTCCATCCTACCAACTCCGTCAGAATGAATAATGCGTTGCTAATATGCGAAAGATAAGAGGACATGGATCATTCATCATTATTACCCGACGTCTGCTACCTAGGTTTATAATCTCACGTCCTCACGCCAACCATCCCTCTCGACCATCATCGCCATACTTCAATATCACACTTCAGATATACTTACTGATAGCAGATCAAGATGGCGCCCTCGGCAATTGACCCTCCCACAACTACAACTCTTCCCTCCTCCGTCGCCAGCTACCGCGGTTACGACCACGTCCACTGGTACGTCGGCAACGCCAAACAAGCGGCCTCCTACTACATCACCCGCATGGGCTTCAAGCGCGTTGCCTACCGCGGCCTCGAGACAAACTCCCGTGCCATCTGCTCTCACGTCATCCGTAACGGAGACATTACTTTCGTGCTCACCTCGCCCCTCCGCTCGCTAGACCAGATCTCCCGGTTCACGCCCGAAGAGCAGGACCTCCTAAAGGAGATCCACTACCACCTCGAGCAGCACGGAGACGCAGTCAAGGACGTTGCGTTTGAGGTTGACTCTGTCGAGGCGGTATTTGGTGCTGCGGTGGCGAATGGGGCCAAAGTCGTGAAGAACCCAAGCACGCTGGAGGATGAGAGCGGGAAGGTGACGACGGCGACGATCCAGACGTATGGTCAGACGACACATACGCTTGTTGAACGGGGTGCATACAGGGGGGTGTTCTTGCCTGGGTACCGGGTGGATACTGGTCTTGAGGATCCGATCACGTCTCTGCTGCCGGACGTGCTGTTGAACCGGATTGACCACTGCGTTGGAAACCAGGATTGGGATGAGATGGATAAGATCTGCGAGTAGTACGTCCCTCTCTTGCTGTGGAAATTGCCTGACGGAGTCTAACAAACACAGCTACGAGAAAGCCCTCGGATTCCACCGCTTCTGGTCTGTGGACGACAAGCAGATCTGCACGTACGTTGATTTATGCTCCGGTACTGTCCCATGTTACTAATACTTAACAGGGAGTTCTCAGCCCTAAAGAGCATCGTCATGTCCTCTCCCAACGAGATCGTCAAAATGCCCATCAACGAGCCAGCAAAGGGCAAGAAGCAGTCACAGATTGAGGAATATGTAGACTTCTATAACGGCGCGGGCGTGCAGCACATCGCCCTCCTAACTGACGACATCATTCGCGACATCACAAACCTCAAGGCGCGTGGGGTGGAGTTCATCAAGGTCCCTGATACATACTACGAGGATATCAAAGTTAGGCTGAAGAAGGCTGGACTCACTCTGCACGAGGACTTCGACACCATTCGCGCCTTGGATATTTTGATCGATTTCGACGAGAACGGGTATTTGTTGCAGTTGTTCACTAAGGTAACTTCCCTTCCTCTTTCTTGTATACAACGCGGCGGAGCTGACTTGTGGGTTCAGCACCTCATGGACCGCCCAACCGTCTTCATTGAGATTATTCAACGGCACAATTTCTCTGGCTTTGGCGCTGGAAACTTCAAGTCGCTGTTTGAGGCCATCGAGAGGGAGCAGGCGCTGCGGGGGAATCTTGTGTAAGACTTGTTTTGAGGTATCATTGTATAGCATGTTATCATTAGCTGAAGACATTTTTTGATGGTTACAATGATCATGAAACATGGCTGCGTACCGTACACCTTCTGGCATGCATGCTATACGGAAACCCGACCCCGGTCCTTCAGGGCATCTGCATTGTAGAGCAGGTGCATAGCATACAAGGTAACTATTAAGATAAAGCTGTGGTTCTTGCCCTACTTTAGGCCTGGCTACTGTGTATAACAGCTGTCAAAATCTAGACATGGGTTTCTTATAGCATGCGTAAAGGCTGCGCCGATGGCGGTCCGCACTCTAATTTTTATTGAGAGCTTGTATGGCTAAATAAAATTCAGCTTTTCAACAATTGGGTTCCATGGCTCAGCTGGTTAGCGCGTGGTGCTAATATCTGATCAAAACGGTCTGGTAAACGCCAAGGTCGAGGGTTCGATCCCCTCTGGGACCATTTTTTTTCCTTAAATTATTTTTACATTCAGTTCTTAACACCAATGATAAATAAGTGCATTCATTCGGCCACATGTGCTACGACCTCCTCTGCAGCTGATTGAATGTGGTTATTTTTGCTGAGACAGCTCCATATGAATCCCGGTGGGCCTCGTGAAGCCAGTGGCCCTAACCCTATATCCCAACCACGGAGTCAAATCATACCCTAAACTCCTCTGGCGTGTCCAGCTGAGTTCTCCAGTGCCCTTCCTTGACTACCTTCTCTCGCTCCAGGGCCTCCGCAACCCTCTTGATCGTAGGGTATTCCCCTAGATCAACGCCCACCCGCTCCGCGCCCCAAACGGCCGGAACAAGGCAGACATCCGCCAGGGTTATGATATCTCCAACACTGAACTTCCCTGCGGACTCTTTAGCGATAGTCTCGTACGCCGCGAACCCAGCTTCAATGAGGTCCTTTGACCAGGCGGCCCGGTCGACGCCGAAGGGGGCCACGCGCTGAAGAATCCGCAGGTTCGTGACGGGTTGGACGTCGCAGGCTATTATTGAGGCTAGGGTCCTCACGAGTGCGCGTTGAGCTGGTTCTGAAACGGGTGGGAGGAGGCTCGAGCGCGACGGGAAGGCTTCGTCGAGGTATTCGAGTGCTGCGAGGGATTGGGTGATGATTATTGAAGGCTGGCTGGGGTATTCGATTACCAGGGTGGGCACGGTCGCAGACGGGTTCACGGCTGTGTTTTGCGTGCTGGATTGTTCGTTCTTCAGCAGGTTGATGGGGATTGATATGTATGGGATAGACTTCAGCGCCAGGGCGATGCGCAGGCGTGCAGAGCAGGAGGACCGGAAATAGGTGTAGAGAGTCACTTTTGGCTCTGAGCCTGTGGTCATTTTAACTGATTTTGATATGCTCCTAAAGATATTTGCAGTCTTGAAGGGTTCGTTGTTTGATGTTTGGAGTTGGCAAGGTGGTTGCTTGTTCATCCGAGCCCTGCACTACGGCAGAACCGGCAGCAAGGCGATAAAGGTTCCATTCATCGAGTGATAATCCTGGATATCCACGGCCAAGTCTCAGTTATTACCGGCTTACCTTCGCGGCCTGCGGCGCATTTCTCAAAATATTGAGATGCGGGGTGGCGGAATGAGTTCCGCGGGTGAATATCCGCTGCTGGGAGCGCAGATTCCCGCGGTTTTCCGTGGGAGAAAACAACTAGTGACGTATCAGAGAGCACACTCGGATCTTCAATTTGTACACTTACCTTACTCCAGTGGCTGGACAATATGACTGTACGGAGTACATGATTATGTTATACATCATTCATGATTCCACGCGTAACAGTGTCTCTTCCATACTAAGTGCGATAGACACGGCACAAATTGCAGAGTCAGCCACAAGCCCTAACTACCTCAATAGATCAATAAAATATGTTTTCTACAAGAGGACCCTGCTGTCCCGTGCTGGCGTACAAGCATTATGTGCTCAATTTGTAGACTATGTGGCCAGATATCCTCTTCCAACCTACAAAGTGTTGCTATCATGCCTCCCTACGGCAGTACATTGCATTTCATCAAGCAAGGCCTGGGTTGCTCGTGAAATAGTACAATGCATGGCTGGTGTTGGGGAGGATGAGACGGGTAAAGACTTGCCTTCTTTGGATCCACGATGGCACAACCTCATCGAAAATGGTTGTCGAGCATCCGTCGGCTAACCGCTACACTTTGCGAGGTGAAAGAAACAGAAGATCGGTGGCCTGTCCATACGCTCGCCCGTCTGTCATCCCAGGGTGAAGAATGTCGAACCAGCCGCACTCACCTTTGCCGCCGGAGTAGGGGGTAGGGACAGGCTTGGCCATCCAGAGCCGCAAGTTAAGCTTTGCGAGTGAGTCTGGCCCCTGCATGCTTTTTCTGATGCACTACAATGACCACCAGCCATTGGTCACCGCGTCAGTCCAGTAAACCGTGGGGTATCTCTTATTGAGATAATTCTGCCGTGAAAATTCATGGTCATGACTTCGTATCACACAAAAAACGCCAAATCATCATCCTGCCCGCCTTGCTGCTGCTTCTCGTCAGGCTGTCATGCTGCATCCGTTACGTCAATTCGTATCACCACCACCAGTTCGTGGTCAAACGAGTTTCGTGCTCCACCTAAACTCGCCGTTCATGCCCCAGTCACATCCTGCGGGGGTGGGCAAGGCATCATGGTTAGAGAAATCCGTGATATCGATCTTGCGAAAAACCACATCTGCGCGATGCGCCTCCTCTTGAAGGGTTCTCATGTTAAAGCCAACATCAACATCACCAAATTCAACCTCGATAGATAGTTCACGCAGTCGTGGGAACCGGGAGCGATGCTGGAGCATTCCGCAGCAATCCTCAATCAAAAACTCCAGCTGTTGTGGTGTGCTAAAACCTGTGATGCGTAAGACTTCGAGCGACTCCGGCAGCCGATCGTGGAGAGGGGCATTGAGCAGCTCCCTTTCGTCTTCGAAGTGGTCTGTTTTTGAGAAATCGTAGATATCGAAATCTTCAGGGTCGTGGATAAGGTAACCAGCGGCAACGTAAATGTTGGTGAGTGTGGAAAAGTGAGAAAAATCCAGTGGATGTATCTCCCCTTCTTGGTGGAGATAAATGCAAGGCTCGAAGGACAGTGCAACGTTTTCCAACGTCTCCCAAAGCGGGCGGAGCGCTTCGGTGATGGAAGCCCCGGAAAGCCTAACGCGAAACCGAGGGTCCCAGTCGCGATGGAAAATAAACGTCCTCACCGAGCGACAGTACTTGAGAATCGTTTGCAGACTGTGCATGTCAATGTTGCAGTAACGGAGTTCGAGGTGTGTGATCGACGATGTCTCTCTGCCGCTTTCTAACCCCGTGGCTTGAATCTTAACCCCATCATCCCGGACATTCCGCCTGATAGGCCCCCAATGGCTGCCGAAAAAGTGGGTCAGCGAGGGCATCTGAAAGAGGGGAAGTATTTCAGAAGAATTGCCACAGGGGAACTCGGAGTTGACTTTCAGATGGGTCAAGTTCCGAAGGACAAAGGGCGCGTGCGACGAATCTACCTTTTCCATATCAGCTTGCGGCAACAAGTGCCTGATGTAGGTTGGATCCAACKACCAGTTGGACTCGAGCTTTTCCAGGGAGGAGAGAAACACCAAAATGAGGGCAACAAGAGCGTCCAAACTCGGCGCAACCTCCTGCAACTCCGCACACCACTTGTGTTTGTGCTTATCCGAAAGCGGGAGACGCCGAACCACGGTCACGAGCTTGAACATGTCCAGTCTGTCGGGTCGACCGAGGATGTTCCCGGTCATCATCCGGGCTACTAGTTCTCTGCGCCGACGGGAGAGGGATTGGTGCGTGGCCCAGGAGAGTTCGTTCAGTTCGAGCGACCGTACGCACTGGGCTAGATAGGGGCTGGAAAACACGGACATGATGAATCGCCGCACCTATTTCAAACGGGCAGTGTCAGTAGCAGAGCTCCACGGCAGATACTAGTCACGGTACATTGCGGGACTCATCGCCATTGTCTAGACTCAACGTGACATGTGAATACAATATTGGAGTTGTAATGCGGTGAAACCTCTTGTTGAGGGTCGCGAGAAGAGCCAGTGTGTGCGAATCTCGTTCAAAGTAGGTGGTGAAGATATGCCACAGAAGCTCCTCGGGCAGGTTCGCAAACAGCATGCTCTTTCCGGGGGTGGCGAGTCTGAACGACCCAGGCCGCGGTTAACAAATGGCGGCGCTCTCTAAATTGCGGCTTAGAGAGAGAAGTTTCATGGAAGACTAGGATGGTGGCAAAGAGCGGCCTGATAAATACTCCGTAGTAGTTCAGGGCGGGCTTCTGATCAGGGTGTTTGTCAAAGAGAAAGTCGCGCCAGTGCAGCGCCCTTTTCCCCGATCGCACGCCGTCGCGGCCGAGACCACCACAGATCGTCGCAGGCCGCACAGGTCGAACCAGAGTCTGGCTCCTCAACGCTCGCTGCCAACTGCAGCCAACTGCCCACTTTTTCGAGTTTTCTAGTCGTTTTCTAGTGTCGGTTGTGATAACCATCCAATAATCAGCCCCCTCTCTGCCCAAAATGATTCTCATGTGCCCTGCAGTTTGTGGCCTTTGAATTGAACAAGCAATAATCTGTGCCCGAACAATGCCCGGGTCCGCTTGGATCCTTGATTCCCAGCAAACGGATCCTTGTTTTGCATCTGATTCCAGATCTGCAGGTGACTTGCAGGACCAGTGCCTGACTTTTGGCTCGATACTCCTTACCAAGGTGTGGTACTTTTGTGTGTGTGCGTCTCTAATGCTTGGATATCTTGCCCGGGTCTGAAATGTAGGATATTGTTCACTCTATGAACGTGGTACGCCACAATGTCAAGGTTGCTCGGAAATGTGCTCCGGGCTCCGCTCATTATTTGCCCACGGTCCCAAGGTCTTGGATTTTGTTTTCGGGCTCAGATCTAAGCCACAGCCTGCCAGGTGGCATAGGTGGAGTGCACTAACTACGAGCGGCTGGTGGTACTCTATGTGCACAGCCGCAGATTATTGAGCTTGGCTTGGGTGGTCCCAGGGTCGAGACTCCGTAGACCGTCATATTTAGAAGCTCGGGCGGTGTCGAACTGTCGATTTTACGCAGCGAGCATCTGTGTACTGTAGGGCACATATTTATCGACGATGATTGGGTGATGTAGTGATTGAGTTATGGTGAGGGCATCCAGACATAGAGCAGATACGACCTGGCACTTCCTGATCCTTCGTGGCGGTTGAAATATATATATCAACGACAGAAAACTGAGATTTGAGACAGGCGTCACAGGCGATTGGCAGAGTGTCAAAGCAAACACAATAATTGCGTACTGCTACACAGGGCTCAGTTTTATATCAACACATGGTAAATATTTCTACCTAGTGACAGAACTAAGATGTTCATTTTGTATCAATGATCAATGATTGGGGGTGAGCTATTTTTACGCTGTTTATGTAACCAAAGTTTAGATTTATTTTTATCCAACAGGCAAGGTGGCCGAGCGGTCTAAGGCGCGCGGTTAAGGTTACTATTAGAACCTCTTCTTGATCTCATCAAGTTTCCGCGTCATTAATTTGGCGTGGGTTCGAATCCCACCCTTGTCATATTTTTGCTCATTGTTTTTTGCCCATTACCTATTAGGTAGTTTGGTTACGTCTCCTTTCTCTATTCTTTACACAACACTACAATTCAAGACCACAGTTACGCCATAACAACAATGCTATAACCGACAAGCGAGTAATCTATGATCTTCCGACCACAGTTTTGCCGACCGCAGCCCAGTACTGCAAACCTCACCCTGTGGTGCGCGTGACGGATATTTTGCTCACCCCACTCGGGTATTTCCGGCTGTTTCTACTCTCCCACCTCATACGCTCCGTCTGCAACACCAGGCAAAACAGCCATCGACCTGGGTACGGCAAAGTGAACCGATATACAGTCGTACGGTTAGCCTAGGTCATCTACGGCGGTCATTGGTTGATCTCGGGTGACATGGAAGCCAGAAGGCGCTCGCGGCCCAACAATTCGTCGGAGCGGATATACCAGCGTACCTACAAGGCTTGTATTCCCTGCCGGCAAAGGAAAGCAAAATGCGATCTAGGTGAACTCTCGGATGGCTCGCCCATGGGCCCTCCGTGTGCAAAGTGCCGCAGAGAGCAGAGAGAATGCGTCTTCAGTGAGACGCGGGCCTGGGAGAGGAAGAAAAAGCGAGGTAGGACGCCATCACTGTTCGAACTGGTCTACGTTGACAAATTGAACCAGCATCGCAATCAGATATCCCGTCATCTGCGAACACACGCAGAAGATTGTCGAGCAGCGTTCGATCCAACGACGGGGAGCCGGAGATTCGACGGCACGATCCGGCCTCAGCTGGCAACGTGGATGGGCACTCTGAAGCCAGCATAACTCCCCACCGACCTACTGGGGAAAGCTCACACGCGCGCCAAAAGCCTGCATCCACGCTGGAAAGTTCCATGATGCGCACCGTAGTTTCGAGCGGAAATGATGCACTCAACATTCTCTTCGAGGCAGCTGCTCATAGCCAAGAAGCCGACTTGGCCGAAGCGAGGATGAACTCGGGGGATATAACCGACCAAGCAGCGCAAGGCGTGAATAATGAGAGCCCATTCAGCCAAATACACTCTGCAGTCTCATCCGGTGGACTTGCCAAGTCAATCCGGCCAGTTGAGATCTCCCAAGCGTCCAAAGACGTGCTCAGCACCTGGGAAACATGTCGATTCGTGATGATGGGTTGGTTTACCCCTAGAGAAGCCGTTACACTCGTGGATCTGTAAGTGGCCTAGGAAAAATATCACCAATGCTGAGCATGCTCATTGATGGTTGGCAAACCAGCTTCTACAAAAACATGTCCTCACTGTCACCGATTTTGACAGACTTCTATGCCGACCACCAGAATCATCGCGAATTGATCACCTGTGATCCCGTTCTGTGCTGCACTATTCTTATGCTTTCCTCACGATACCATATCTTACCCGGGCCAGGCGGCGAGTCTAGAAACTTCTTCATCCACCATCGTCTCTGGCAGCATTGCCAACAGCTAGTCACAAGGCTTATGTTCGGCCAAGAGAGGACTTCCAACTCAAAACTGCGAAGAATCGGCACAATTGAGGCTCTTCTACTGATGTCGGAATGGCACCCACGGTCTCTTCATTTTCCCCCAGAAAGTGATGGCTGGGATTTCGACCTAGTCATAAAACCCCCCCAGCCGAGGGACGAGGAGGGCTCAACGAGAAATCGGCTCCTAGAAGACATGGTCGAACCGGCGAAGAGATCCGACCAAATGTCGTGGATGCTGCTTGGAGCTGCGCTATCCCTCTCGCACGAGTTGGAAATCTACGAGGTTAACGACGATAAGCGAAGCTGGCTCTCTGCCTATGAAGGATGTATACCCGGCGACCAGATCAAGCTTCGACAGCAGCGTGTTCAGCGGCTGCTCTACGTCTATATCAACCAGCTCGCATGGCGAATAGGGTGTGTATCGCTCATGCCACAGAGCTTAAACCATACCATCTTGAACCGACAAACGTCTCGAAACCTGAAACACTATAACGATCAATGGCTAGCATTTATGGATTCTTGGATGGATCTCACAAAGCTGGCTAAATCGGTCACGGATATGTTCTTCCCATCTGCGGAATTTGCCCGGCAACAGTTACGTAGTGGTCGGTATATTGACATGCTTGACCACTTCCGACCTCTGCTACTCAAATGGGAGGAAGAGCATCTTCGGCCGGAAGGTACGCAAATAGTATGTTATATTTGCCGGCTTACTTGCCAACTGACTCAATGCAGTACTCAACAAGCGTTTCTATAACGACCTATTCATCGAATACCACTTCGTTCGAGCCTACACTCATTCGATTGGTATGCAAGCGGTCGTGGAACGAGTCATTGCTGATAGTAACCCCGACGTCGAAATCCGAGCAGCGAACATTGACCAGGTTGACTATGAATACATACAGGAAGTCATCGACGGATGTTGCCAGGTCCTACAAAAGGCAAGCGAACTGGGCGAAGCCGGCGCCCTAAGGTTCTGCCCAGTCCGCATTTTCCTTCGAATTACGACGTCCTCCATCTTTTTGATGAAGGCCCTGAGCATTGGGACACGTCATGCTAAGCTGCGAGAGTCACTGGATACCATTGAGCGCTGTATACAAGCACTAAAGTCCAATGCCCTTGATGATATCCATTTAAGCGCCCGTTATGCCGCTCTGCTGGAGACACATGTGTCGCGCCTGCGACGCAATTTGCTCGCGTCCAAGATTACAAGAGGCGCTCATGGGTGTACGGCCCACTTTTCACTGGCGCCTTTGCAGGATACCGACACAGAAGACAGCACGCCAATGGGCGTTCCCGCCGGGCAAACAATCCCTGAATTGGGATTCATTCCAACATTCAACGATCTGGCCGCCGACGATTGGCTTTCTTTGCCTTTCGACCCTTCCATGGCGCCGTTCGGCATGAGTGGTGGGGGACCTTTTCCAGCGTATGAAGGTGGTGCACTGAACTTTATTTGGAACCTGCCTTCGTGAATCCAGTATGCGTTCAAGGTACTGTTAACATGGAGGGTGGTTTGATCGTCTGATTAAACCCTCGGGCCTGGGTTATAAGTACCGTAAGGAGCGAGTGAGTTGCGGCAAGCAAATCGCCGTGTAACACTGGATATCTCCTCTTGACTTGCAAACGGCGCAAGGTCGAGGATACCAACGAGTCCACGATCACTTCGCAGTTGACCAACCTTCCGTTCATAACGGCATAGCCATGGAATGTCTTCAGATGCGCGAATGCGGAGCGAGTCGCTTGGCTTTAGACGACGAGATCGAGGCCCTCACCCAGCAACTGGAAGAGATCAGATTTTACCGCGAAAACGATAAAGGCAAATGGCGAGCTGACGACCTACCGGACAATGAGCTAGGGATCTCAGCATTTCTAGAAGAAGTGACAACTTCGCTTGGCGTTCTCGGTGACCTGAGGCTTGCTCAAAGCTTCGCCAACGCTGTCGAGTCAGACGCTCAAGCCATCAAGGCTATAACGGAAGAAGAGATCCAAGCCGAGGAAGATAGGCGTCTAGCGATGCGTTACAGCGTCGATGACACCCAGCCGGAGAGCGATTCAGAGGCTGATGGTATCGCCGGTGACTACTCGATCTTTCAGAGATTATGCCTGAGCGTATACAATTGGTTCATGGACGGCAATGGTGCGGAGACGGAGATTGATGACGGGGGACCTTCAATGACCTACGCGCAGCGACAGGAGGAGGCAATGAGGAGGCTTTCTGAGGTCGAAACATGCTGCGCTTGCTACGATTTATTTCCTTTGCACAATATTCAGCGCTTGAACTGCGCCGCCCTTTACTGCCACGACTGTCTTCGGAGTATTTTTGCAACGGCTACAACGGATGAGTCCTTGTTTCCACCTAAGTGCTGCGGCGAGCCAATACCTCTCTGCCTCGTCCAGGGGAAAATGTCACAGCATGAACTAGACGAGTTCAGAAATGCCGAAGTCGAATTTTCAACCAGCAATAGGACATATTGCAGCAATACAGACTGCCAGAGATTCGTGTCTCCCAGAAACATCCAGGCGGATCGAGCGAGATGCCCCTACTGTGACTTGGACACTTGTGTCTTGTGCAAAAGTGCCTACCACGACAAAGATGACTGCGCCGCAGACACTGCACTCCAAGCTACACTCGAACTGGTGAAGAGAATGCGTTGGCAACGTTGTTACGCATGCGGGGCTGTGGTGGAGTTGACCATAGGCTGCTACCATATGAAGTGAGTTTCCCAACTATCCACGTGCATCTATCATGGTTATTGACATCGAAGCCAGGTGCAATTGTACAGCACAGTTTTGCTACCTCTGTGGGGCAAAGTGGAAGACATGCAATTGCCCCCAAGTTGAGGAGGGGAGATTGTACGAGAGACCAGACGCCGTTGTGGAGGCGGAGGCTAACAATCAACTTCTTGATGTAGCTCTAGAAGAAGGTGACTTGGGTAATGACCGTGCACATTGCACGCACGGTCGACGCTTTCGACGCATCAACCTGTATGGGAGTCGGGCCACCTGCGAGATGTGCCATACGAGGCATTATCGTTTTATACTCGAATGTCGAAGGTGCCCGTTGAGGGTGTGTTTCGATTGTCGAGCAGACATTTGATGAGATGTTTAGAATGGGCACCGAAGTAGGGTTGACCATGGTCGATCACTGTTATTGCCCCTACTAAATAAAACCCCTTGTTGGAGTTCAAAGAATAATCTGGCATACGAAACGGCTTTGTGCCTTAGCGGATAAAGAGCCCTGTAGATCGAGACCGCGCCCGTGGTAAAAAAAGAACGAGATCCCTATATGTCCCGACAGCAACAATGATGCTGACAGGTTGGTGCAAATAATTTGCCTGAGGCAAAGGGGAATCCCGGAGTGGCCGCCGGCACGTGACCGTCCAATGCCGGGGCGAAAAAAAGCCTTCGAACTTCAAGAAGACGAAGCGTCAGTTCTCCATCGGACCCCAGTTTTCGGCCTACTCAACCACATCGCCATTCCTGTCCCGCTGTCGATTGATAGCTCCCCAATTCTCGTGTCTATTCCGAGAATATATACGACCGATTCGACTTCGCGTCATCCCTCGCTTCCGTGATCCGGACAAGCTCGCCTCATCTCGCCCCAAGTGACGTTTCTTGATCGCGAGCCGGACGAAGCTCTTCCTTCGCCCTCGACTCATTCAATCTTTCTACCCTCTTCTCGCACATCACAAATACACATAAAATGGATCACTCCAGAGACCCCTGCCCTTGGGTTGCCCTGAGCGATTTCGGTGGTGCCTTCTGTATGGGTGTATGTCTTGACCATTCCAAAATTGCCCATCGACAACGAATTGAGAACTGACATTACTGTCTCGATTAGGCCATCGGTGGTGCTGTATGGCACGGTGTTAAGGGATTTCGAAACAGCCCCTACGGCGAGCGACGGATAGGAGCCATCACAGCCATCAAGGCCCGCGCGCCTGTACTTGGTGGTAACTTCGGTGTTTGGGGTGGATTGTTCTCGACGTTCGACTGTGCTGTCAAGGGTATTCGCAAGAAGGAGGATCCTTACAATGCTAGTATGTTTATGAAATGACTGCCGGGACTGACAATGTAGCTAATGGTGTCCCAGTCATTGCTGGTTTCTTCACCGGTGGCTCCCTGGCTATCCGTGGTGGTTACAAGGCTGCCCGTAACGGTGCCATCATGTGCGCTGTCTTCCTGGCCGTTATCGAGGGTGTCGGTATCGGTTTCCAGCGCATGATGGCCGATCAAACAAAACTAGAGGTGAGCTCCCCAAAGGCACGCATATTTCCAGAATTCAACCTAACATTTTGCTACTTTAGCTCCCTCCTGCTCCTCCTTCCGACAAGGCAGTTGCCTAAGCGATCAAAATACCTACCTCATCCTTTATCGAGCCCTACGATTTCTTGCGTCCATCTATGCCCATAAACGTTGCTGTTACATTACATCTCATCTCTCTTCTCCGGTGTTAGGAACTGATGCGTGCATGGTATAGAGGTTTTCTCATTTATTTTTTCGAAGCATGCCGGATATTCCGCTCTTAACTATTGCCCTAAAGAACTGGTTCTCACCGGCGATTATTCTTTTTTGGATACACAGCCTTGCTTTCGCATGTTGCTTTTTCACAGGGAGGCGAAAAGAAGCAGATCCTCGATTGGCGACCGGGGCCATGTTACCACTATGTTTTCTAATTTCTTGTACAATACTATTGCCAATACCAGGATTAATGCGATGCTCGGGTTTGTTTCTGGATTTGCGAGTCCTGTTGCTTATCGTGCGTTCATCTGGATTACTGACTGATATGGAGTAGATGTGGTTCATTGTTCATTTGCCGCTAACATGACAGCATCTCGACGCAGCTTCCCCGCCTCCTCCAGCCACCTCGCAATCGAGAACGGTTGATGAATTCTGGTCAAAACACTCATTTTATTGTTTACCAGACGAATAGCCAATCAATAATGATGACGCCCAACCCAATTTTCAAACCGACACTTATCCTCCACGGCGGCGCGGGCGCCATCCACCGCTCAACCCTCCCTCCAGACCTTTGGGCGAAATACCAAGCTTCTCTCCTTGCCTACCTACGCTCTACAAAACACCTCCTCGACAACGGCGCCCGCGCCCTCGATGCCGCCGTCCACGCCGTCTCGCTAATGGAAGACGATGAGCTCTTCAACTGCGGCCGCGGCAGCGTCTTCACCTCGGCGGGCACAATCGAAATGGAAGCCTCGGTCATGGTGACATCGGTTAGGGGCGAGGATACCGTGTCGGATAATAGTGATACCATGAAGCGCGGCGCGGGCGTTATCGGCATCAGGAACGTGCGGCATCCCATCCAGTTAGCGAGGGAGGTTCTTGCTCGCAGCGGGCAGGATGAGAACGGGGGTCCGGTGGGCGGTGATGAGGGTCGAGGCGGGAGCATGCACTCGCAGCTTGCGGGCCCGTATGTTGAGGGGCTTGCGAGAGAGTGGGGACTAGAGTTCAAGCCGGATGAATGGTTCTGGACACAGAAAAGGTGGGAGGAGCACCTTAGGGGATTAGAGAAGAGTACAAAGACGCAGGGTGAATTGATGTCCGAGCCTGTGACGGGGTATGGCTATCCCAGTCAGGGGACTGTTGGGTGTGTCTGCCTCGACCAGTGGGGTGATTTGGCTGTTGCGACGAGCACGGGCGGGTTGACGAATAAGTTACCTGGCCGAGTTGGCGATACACCTACGCTCGGGGCTGGATTCTGGGCGGAGACCTGGGCGGTGGAAGGGAGTGATGCTGGTCCGAGTTCGTTATCGACGCGTCGGCATGAAGGCATGCAATATCTCTCGCAAACCGGGCAAGGGCCTTACCCTCGTACATTTATAGGCCCTAAATCCATCTGGCAGATGACTCTCGCAGACTGCTGGCCCGCCCTGCCTCATTTCCTGAAAGAGAGCCTTGCATCCGAGTCCGACGCGGACCTGGACACGACGCACGCTCTCCTGAAGAAGTCGTTTATCGACGAGAAGCCCAAGACCCTGCGCTCGCGGAAGATACGACGAGCGGTGGCTGTATCCGGAACCGGGAATGGGGATTCCTTCCTTCGCACGGCCGCCGCTCGAACAGCGTGCGCGATGGTTCGGTTTTCCGAGAAACGCGTTAGTCTTGCCGATGCTGTTACGGCCGTTGCGGGGGCTGATGGCGAACTGCAGCGCAGCGCGGGCAGGCGATGGGGAAAGACGGGTGAGGGACAGGGCGGTATTATTGGGATCGAGGCTGAGATCGATGATGGTGCTGCGGCCGGATCGAGCCTGGGCCGTGGGAAGGTTATTTATGACTTCAATTGTGGAGGGATGTTTCGGGCTTGGGCTGAGGAGGGTGTAGATGGGGATGATGTTGAGCATGTTATGGTGTTTAGAGAGCCATACATGTAGATTTATGCCCATGGCGATCAGTTATAGAACGTAGAGCATGCTGTTTTAGCATAAACAGAAGAAGTTATCAATGTTCAAGAAACCGCCCAGCTTCAATCCTGACCACCCACGCATCAATTTTGTAGCAAACATCTTCAATCAAGCGTCCTGGGTATGCAGTTGACTTAAGCCAACTAGACCCCATCAAGCCCTTGATACAACGGCCAACGATACGCCTCATCAGGTGTATTGAACCTGAGATCCGCATTCAGCGCATCAATCTTCTCCATATCCTCCTGGTCAAGCACAAAAACACTCTCCACATTCTGCCTGATCTGCCAAGGGATCGTGCTCTTTGGAATAACGGACCGTCCATGGTTCACGCCCCAGGCCAGCGCCACCTGCGCGGGACTCTTGTTATACTTTGCGCCTAATTCGTGTAGGACGGGTTCGTCGAGAAGGCGGCCGCGGTTGGCGCGCCCGTTGCTCCAGGACACCTCACGGTAGAAGGAGTTCATGTTGCCCAGGGGACTGAATTGTTGCACGTGGATCCCGCGCGTCTTGTGCCAGGCCGTGAAGGCTTTCTGGGAGAGGAAGGGATGGACTTCCATTTGGTGGACTGCTGGCGGCTATGGATAGACATGGATGGGATCGTTAGCCCCAGCTCTTGCCGCGAAGTGAGAGCAAGTGGATTAGAAGGTCTCACCATCCCAGCTGCAATCAGGTTCTCGACCTCAGCCTGACTGAAGTTCGACACTCCAATTGCCTTTATCTTTCCCGTCCTCTTCATTATTTCTTGCAGGGCCTTCCACGTATCAACGTAGGTCGTCTCGCCCATACGCATGAGGCCATCTTCACCCTTGGGGAACCTATCTTCCCCACGCGCGAATGTACACGGGTAATGGAGCATAAACAAGTCGACATAGTCTGTTTGCAGGTCGCGCAGGGAATCGTCCAGGGCGGACTCGACATCGTCCGGGTGGAAGGAGTTGCACCAGAGCTTTGTGGTGAGGAAGATTTCGTCTCGGGGGACAGACGATTTCTGAATTGCAGTGCCGATGAATGATTCTGTGTCATAGCTATAGTCTGGGTTAGCCACTTCTGCTTTCTTACCCTGATCTGTAGAGAAAGATGAGAGATAACGAGAACGGGGAGCATACACTCTCGCCGTATCAATGAGTCTTACACCGGCCTTCAGGGCTTCAAGCACGGCGCCCTCCTGCTGCTCTTTGTCTTGGAATGTTCCACATCCAATGGCCGGGATCTGGGCGCCCGTGTTGAGGGTGAAGGTCTTGCCAGTATAATTGCTGATTTGCCTGGAGGCATTTGCTGTGTTCGCCCAGGGCCCTAGCATGAATCGACTGGCCTGGGAGATGGGGCGAAGAAAGTGCCGGGTATTCATTGTTGTGGATCTAGGATATGCCTAGCTCGGAGGGTGTAGCTCAACCGACCGGATGATGCGGGGGGTAGATATAGCTGGGGCATGGTGCTGTAGGACGTTGGACTGACTGGCCGGGACTGGTTGGATGGTCACTTGAGCAGCTGCAGCTGCAGCACCCAGGAATCAGCACTGATGAGAAGTGATTGTTTCCGGTGCATGATTTCCCCGACACGAGGGAGGCCCGAAACGAGTCAAAGCCTAACGGTAAACCCGGAGGGGACTAGTCGCTGCCTACCCCGTCTTTACCCCGGCCTCGGCTAACCGCTTGAATGTCCCCAAAACTTATACCGAGTCAGACTGCAGGACATGGCTAAAGCTGGGACCCTCACACTTGACAATAATCGTGCAGACTTGGGGCGAGACCTAGGCATGGAAAGTGCTGTTTGGGAGAGGTGTCCCCTTCAGTAGTGCATACTTCTTTAATATCAAATTGCTATGCGCGTAAACAGACATACAATATATGGTCAAAAGCCCACCAGGCCTTTCATTTTTTCACCTCGAAGACAAAATAAACAGAGATATACCCAGGCATGTCAGGCGCATCATGTCCCAAGCTAATCTTCAGCGCGCTACAACCTCGTGGTGCTGAACGAGCCCATCCTCTTTCTTCTCACCCTCCTCTCCAGCGGAACCCTGCCCGAAATCGTTCTTCCGAATAACCTCCTCTTCCCTGAGTCTGTACCGTTCCGGTCTCTTGGCCGAAACGGCCTCTTTGTCACGATAGACCAACAGAGGTGGGTTTGTGCGGTAGTACTCGTCCATATCCTCTAGTGTGCGTCCCGCAGTCTCCGGATAGAAAAGGTACATGGTGGGCACCATTGCCGCATTGAGGACGATCCAGATGATATAGAATCGCCAGCCGAGGTTCTGAATCCCGATAGGCGTGATTTCAACGACCATGAAGTTAAGAATCCAGTTTATTGCGGCGCCGATGGCAGCGCCCTTTGTTCGCATTGTGAGGGAGTTGATTTCGGTGGGGTATACTGGAGTGTGCTGTTAGAACGTGCATTGAGAGAGATTGAAGAGGATGTGGATGGTTGCTTACACCACGGTATGCCTTGCATGGCAATGCCGAAGAAAACATAGTAGAGGAAGAAGAACGCCACGGAGGCAGACGCGACTTGCTGTGCGTTTGGATACCCAGGCATCTCGTTGTATCGGATAAGGGCAGTGATGATGATATAGCAGAAGCATTGCCCTGTTGCGCCGAAGATCATGGTTTTACGACGGCCCCAGCGGTCGACTTGTCTGATACCGAGGAACGACCAAAGGAGGTACTGAACGCTGTTGCAGGCGGCCAGGAGTCGTGCTAGGTCAGGGCTCAACCCGACGGACGTTGTTAGGACTGTTGGCATGTAGTATGATGTGACATTAATGCCTGCACAAAGCATTAGTGTGACCCCCTCAGAACAATGAGCTGGTAGGTATTTACCGGCGAACTGTTGCATAGACTGCGTTCCCATTCCCAAAATCAATCGACGAATTGTCTTGGTGCCGGTTTTGCCGGAGCCTTTTCCTCGCAGAAGTTCTCCCCAACTCATCCCGTTTGTGCGTTCGTATTCGTCGGTGTACTTGATAGTTTGCAATTGAGAGACGACTAAAGCGTCGTTTGTGGGTTTGTCCTCGATGTCCGATAGGATCTTCAACGCCTCTTCATCTCGCCCCTTCATGACGAGCCATCTAAACGAACACGATACAGCGTTAGGTACGTATTGAAAACGAAGAAGAGCCTAATAATGCACGTACCTCGGTGACTCCGGGAGCCATGGAATGACTAGATAAATCATGATAATAAAGACAAGCTGAAAAGCGAGCGGGAAGCGCCAGGAAACAGGACCGTCGGCAAAGGCAAGGCCATAGTTGATCCAGTTGGACATCGAAAAGCCAACAAGTAAAAGAGCGTTCTGCAAAATGACCAGCTTTCCCTTCAACCTGGCCGGAGCGGTCTCAGACTGCCAAACAGGCACAGTGGAAGAGTTGATTCCATTCCCAATGCCAGAGACAATCCGGCCGATTATCATATGGGGCACGCCATAGGAAGTGGTTTGTAGTATAGCGCCGACGGTCATGATGGCGATTCCCAGAATAACGGATCGTTTGCGCCCCAGCTTTCCGCCTACCCATGTAGCGCAAACCGCACCCAAGAAACAGCCGACATTGTAGATGGCCGTCACTGTGCTGAGAACATTTGTCCTTGATGGTCCTTCTAGATCGTGCACGCGGAGGTAGTCGGGGGAGATCACGACGCCACCGAAGACTCCCTTGTTTAGTTAGTAAAGCACCAGTCGATAGCAAGAGGGAGGGCCTTGTTACCTGGTCGTAACCGTAGAGCGCCATGTCAGCACCGCATCCCACGGCGAACCAAAAGGTCAGCCATCCTCCACGGAGGCCTCTCGAGGGCTTGAGATGTTCGAGAATGCCCATGGTCCACGGGCAAACAAAAGATGAAAACACTGACTGTGCCGTATGATTGAGTACATCACGACGGGCACATTCATGTTTTTATATGTGCTCCGCAGTTGCATGACAGTGGGAACTGTCTCCGGATTCCGGAACTTGCCATGCTTTCTCCTACCCCACGGGGATGCAGTGAAGTAACCATGGCACGTATGCTCGTAAACGTGGTATTCACCTTTATCCAATCCTTTTTAGAAGATTAAAAATATCGTGCTCGAGACGGCACAATGGGTAAGATCGTCCATGTCCCGAGACGAGCAGTGCAGTGTTTGTGGCTGCTCATTGGGCGGCCAGAAATCCTCCGGGGTAATCCTGAATCATGAAGTGGCACGGTTCGCCAATTATCCCAGAAGAACACTAATCAGGTCGAGAATGCTGGTATCCTTTCGTCATATCTCATGCACGCGGAGTGCTCGAAACGAGTACTCTGAAGGAAAACGGATATACCTCGGTCAAAGGTGTCGTCGCATCTGGAGTGTGAAGCCGATTTACCTGGCATTGTACTGCAATAGCTCCTCCACCCAGCAAGTCGCAGCAGTATTGTCTGGAAAAATGGATGCCTTCAATCTTCCAATGAAGATGAAAGCGCTGGGTATGATACGCCTACTACTGCTGATATGAAGGTGTTGATCTGACTCGACAGAGTACTCCGCTCCAAGAAATCCGCGCGTGGTCGAGAAACGCTTGCCAAATATAAGAGGGCATGACTTGTTGGTATTGTTCCTCTTCAATTTTGGACGACAAAAGTATGCCGAGCTGATGATTGACCATAGATCAAGGTGAAAGCGTGCGGCGTCTGCGGGACGGACTTGCACATCCACGATGGCGAGTTTGGAGCGCAGGTGAGGCTAAATATACCAACTATGGATAATATCTGACAGCGGCAGTTCCCCGTGGTCCCAGGACACGAAACCGTCGGCGTGGTGGCAGCATATGGATCGAAAGTGAAGGGGTTCTCTGTCGGCGACCGAGTGGTGGCCGACAATTCAGAGCTATGCGGGGAGTGTTTCCACTGCCGCCGGGGAAGCGAGCTCTTCTGCGAAAACTTCATCGCGCACGGGGTCATGGTCGATGGAGGATTCGCCGAATATGCGGTATACCCAGCGAAAAGGGTGTTCCCCATCCAGAGCATCTCGGACGTGGACGCAACGTTGATCGAGCCTGCAGCCTGCGCTGCTCATGGAATAGACAAGATTGCACCGCAAATGGGGTCGAGGGTGCTCCTCTTTGGAGCTGGGCCGACTGGACTGGTTCTAGCGCAGTTACTGCGACAAAATGGTGGGTGTAATGTCGTCGTGGCCGCACCGGAGGGGGCCAAGATGGCGCTGGCAAGATCACTCGATGCTGCAGATGAGTATATCTGCCTTCCGCGAGATCAGGCGGCTGCGGCGGCGGTGCTTGAGAAGCTAGAGGGCGGTAATCCGTACGGATTCGATATCGTCGTTGAAGCCACGGGCAATGCGAAGGTGCTGGAAAGAGCACTTGATTTTGTTCGAAAGGGAGGAAAGCTGGTGGTGTACGGAGTGTATGGCGACGACGACCGGATCTCGTTGCCTCCGAACAGGATCTTCAAGGACGAGATCCAGATCCTCGGGTCGTTCAGTGAGATGCACAAGTTCCCCGCCGCGATCGACTACCTTGGTCAGTTCTTGGATACCATTCTCTGGAAGTGCTGACAGGAAAGTGCTGACTTGCTGTAGAGTCTGGCAGGGTCCGTGTTACTGGAATCGTCAACCAGACTTTCCGAGTGGAGCAGTGGGAGGAGTGCCTGGAGGCGATGCGGACGAAGAAGGCGATCAAGGCGGCCATTGTCTTTGACTAGTCGGAACTCTGCTTAGACGAGATCGTACATGGTTTGTCCCCAGCCTTCCCTCCCCCTCCCATTTCCTCACTCCGCCTCAACTTCTCTCCTTTGTCCCGCAGCCATTGCTTATGACTCTTGTAGAATCTGGCGGAAAGGTCTCGCGGTAGCAAGCTCCGTCGCTTGTCCGCCTCCTTAACACGTATCACCTTGCGCTTATAATCATAATGGACAGTAGCTTTATTACCATTCTCTTTGACAGCTGCGATGATATCCTTGAGCAACATAACAAAACGATGAAGATCAGCGTTGTGACGCTCCTCCCATTCTTTCATACGAGCAGTGACATCCTCAACTTCAGGCACTGTGAATAGGCCCTCTGTTCTATAGGATGCCCGCACAAGTTTCGGGGTCTGAGAAAACCACAGCTGTGGAAGTATCTTACTAATACGATAGGTTCCCCTTTGTTTGGCTCTACACGTCTTGATCTCAAGGGTTGATTCCCTAGGTACGGTGTGACCGGCTTTTCGGACTGTCAAAGCCGACGTGTTTTCGACCCTGTCCGGGACATCAACTGGGAACAGATGCGTGGGCTCGTGGGACGACGACGTATATCCGTCCAGCTCATGACGCACCATGAGCTTTAGGCCGCCGAGCCGGTACGAAACGATTCCATGATGACCCGTGCTCCTCTGCACTAGCTCAGTGGTAAAGGCTTTCTCAAACTCACGTCCGTAACCCTGAAAGTCATCTGGCCTGACGTGCTGGATTATCCTCTCATCGTGGTACTGGAACAAAGCAGTGTTCTTCTTAACCTCGACAAGTATCCGGAAAGATTTCTTTTGCTTGCCAATCTCAAGGCTGGGGTTGATGAACGCCAGAAGCCGACGGAGGGTTCCCCGGTCGGATACGAGGTCAATAGAACGAATGTCAAAGGTGGGGTGCTCGAGATACAAGGCGCGGAAAAGAGGCTCAAGCGGACTTTTTGGATAGCGGGCGGTATTTTGCGAAATGAAATAGCGACCAACGTCTTTCCTCACCTTGAGCGTGGGTTCCTTTGGAGGAGTCCAGAGGGCAGGGCTACCGGGCACAGCGATCGTGGGAAAGGAGGCATCGATCCAATTGTAAGAGGAGATATGCGTAACCTCAGTGATGGAGACTGGACTGCCTGAGGTGCTTCCTTTAGGGGGATGCGTCACCTCAGTGACAGAGACTGGACTGCCTGATATGTGCGTGGCCTCAGTAATGGAGACTGGGCTGTCTGAGATGCTTCCTTCAGGGGGATGCGTGACCTCAGTGATGGAGGCTGGACTCTGTGAGATGGTCCTTTTAGGGGGATAGAACTCGGCGAGGACGCGACGCGCTGGGGTATTATAGCGCATGGGAATACTAGGCAAGCCGCCCTAAGCCAGATATTGTTCTATTCCCCAGTGGTAGCCGCGCCCAGTGGTACTTGCGCCTGGTATCAAGACGCGTAAACGTAGCAGGCAATGGTGAATGTGGTGGCGGGAATGGGATGACATTGGTTGGACCATTGGAGCTCTCAGCCCCGGGCACGTGATTTCTCATGAGAACCAATCAATGTTGGCAAACAGCCTGGCCGTAAACAGTCACGGGTCTAGATAGGGCTTGAGACTTCATGTCAGAGAATCACCAAGCATCGCTGGGCAGTTGATTCTCAAAAGGACTCTACGACCTAGTCAGATGGACGTACCGAAATATACGCCTCTTACCAAGGAAAGACCTAAATCCTAAGGAGCGCCCCCTTAACACCCCCCGCCAACTTCACCCTCCAAAGCCGATGCTCATTCAAAAGAAACATCTCGCCTTCCCTCCCAAAGCAAAAATTCGCAACACCGCCGTCAACTAATATTCGGCCTAGAAGTTCGCCCCCAGGAGACCAGACGTTGACGCCGTCGCCGCAGCCGCTGTATACGTTACCTTCCAGGTCGCATTTGATCCCGTCAGGGATGCCGCTGTCGGCCATTGCGAAGAGGCGCCGGTTGACTAGGAAGGGCTGGTTGTGGCGGGTTATAAGGTCGAACGCGTAGCTTGCGGTTTGTCAATCAGTTTCCTGTATGTGGCATGGAAGTTAGGGCAGACGTACATAGACGACGCCCGTGTATCGTCTGTGGTCCCGTCCCCGTGGATCCAATCTGTATCGGTCACATAGACCACGGTCTCATCCGGCGAGAAGCAGATCCCATTCGGCCTGCCGAACCCATCTGCCATTGCGCGGATACTCCCAGATTCGGCATCGAACCGGTAAACCTGGTTCGGCAGACGGGGTGGCGGCCGATACCCCTGCTCATGTCCATAAATTGGGTCAGTGAACCAGATACTCCCATCTGTGTGGACGATAACATCGTTCACTGAATTGAACGGGCGACCGTGAAAGTCAGATTTGAGCAGGGTTGCTGCGTAGGGAGGCTCGGTGGACATGTGATATAGCCCGCTTGGTGCATCCATCGAGCCTTGGGCGCAGATAAGTATACCATCTTTATAGTTGACACCGCCGTTGGCCATGGGGATGGGAACAGTAAGTTCCTCGCATTTTACTGCTCCTGTTTTTGAGTGTATCGAGGTAGAGAAGCCATTGTTGAGATGGACTTTCGTTACTTGAACGCGCTGACCTCCAGGCGAGTCTGGATCTTGAATGCGATTGCTCGTTATTAGGAGTTCATTGCGCTCAGGGATGAACACGCCCGCTTCATGAGCGAAAGGGTATGCTTTGTTCTCGGCGAGAAGTTCGAGAGTCGGAGTTTCGCCGAGGATGGCCTGAAACCTGGTGTCGTGGATAACGAATGGGCTTGGAGATGGCATGACGTTGCGCTGAGTGTCTCTCAAATGATGCCTCGCGCAGGGCTGTTTATAATCCGTTCCAAGGCTATTTGTGCTGCGACTCGCGGGCATTCGTGGGGTCAGCCCCGCGGTGGGGGTATGGGCGTCCCCGAGACGAGGCCCGGCAGGCACAGGCTTTAAATGTGGGCGCAAGGCTCAACATTGAGAGTATCTTCACCAACAAGATACACGCAAGAAAACAATCATGGCTGACTGGAAAGACTCAAACACGCATCTGCGCATCCTTCGCGATGCCGAAGCTGGTGGATACGGTGTGATGGCTACAATCTCATACAACATCGAGCAAGTGAAGGGGATGGTCAAGGCTGCGGAGATCGCACGCTCTCCCCTGATCCTCCAGTTCTTTCCATGGGTTATCTCAACTTACGACGGCCTTCTCGTGCGCGCCGCTGCCGAAGAGGCGAAACGCGCCAGCGTCCCAATCTCCATCCATCTCGACCACGCCCAATCGGAGGAACTTATCGAGCGAGCCGCCGAGTTACCGTTTGACAGCATCATGGTCGATATGTCGCATTTCGAAAAGGAGGATAACTTGCGTAAAACCGCTCACTGGGTGCGACACTGCAACGAGCGACACATTGTCACGGAAGCGGAGCCGGGTCGGATCGAGGGTGGAGAAGACGGCGTGATGGACACAGCTGGGTTAGAAGCTCGCTTTACCACGGCAGAGGAGGTTGACGAGTTTGTTGCGACGGGAGTCGATACTTTGGCTCCTTCATTTGGTAACGTGCATGGTGAATATGGCCCGCAGGGGCCTAGGCTGGATTTCGATAGGTACAAGCCTCAGACCAGACAATTCATGTTACGCCCAAGCTGACACTGAATCAGGTTCGCAAAGGTCAAGGAGCGCGCGAATGGTAGGGTACGGCTGGCGGTGCACGGAACGAATGGATTCCCACCTGAGCTAATGCAGCAATGCATTGCTGCCGGTTGCCGCAAGATCAACGTCAACAGGTGTGTCCTAGATGATTACTACGAGCATCTCCATGCGAATGCCGGAAAAATGCCGCATACCCGGCTTATAGAGGAGGGTATCGAGAAGGTGACCCAGGCGACGATAAAATGGATGGAAATCATCGGTTCCGCGGGGAAAGCATAGACCTGTGGATAGAGGCAGCAACGACTAATGACGATTCAACATGTTTGCGTATGTGGCCGTCTCATTAGGCCTGGAAGATTCATGCGTTGCCCATAGCTGTTTTAGTTCATCTCCGAAGGAATGAGCTGGCCAGCCGGTTCGCCGTCTGCAGGACTCCAGGAGATCCAGCATGCATTCACGAGAGCTGCTACCCTGTGCGAACATACCACCTAGCAGTGTGAGTAGATGTAGCTCCAAAAGGATGATCACATACCGATGAATAAGCATTGCGATGATATTAAAGACGACGAATCGTCCTTGAGAGTCATGGCGATCCCGCCTATAATTTCGACACATTGCCAAATTCTTGTCTGCCGCTCGAGATAACGATCTAACCCACCGATACAAGGCTCGTGCGAGCAGAGCAGAATATGAGCCACGCAGTGCAGTTGAACGGCGACGGCTGAATAAAGTTAGCGATTGATTCAGAGAATAGACGCTCTTAGATGACCTTGTTTCTGTTGAAAAGAAGGTTATATATCAGGCAAGGGCTGCATTAAAAACCATAACATACCAAATGCTGGTGTTCGAATCCATATAGGCCGGAAGGCCGCTGGGTGACTGTTAGACATTGACGGTAGCGGAGTGAACTCGACAGTCAAATGCCTCCACCACTCGTCGAGCATACCGCGCAGATGCTTTGCCCTATTAATCCTAGACTGTATATCCACTTCTGCCAGAGCACATTCCTCTCGTGAGCAGTAATTGATAACTTTCGAGAGGATAAACATCGAGCGAGCAGCAATTTCGGACGGGGTCAGGTCTGCATACGTCTTTTTCGGAACCCAGAAGGTCAGGGTTTTCCGTCTTTCACGGAACGCTGCCCACACATCCTGGCAGAGCCATGCCCACCAGACCGCGCTTTTAAGCCCACCTGAGTCTCCATATATCACTTGTGAACGTTGAATTAGGAAGACGCCTTCGAGGTGCCGCTGCCAGTCCTGGCTTGAATCGTCCAGCATTTCGTAAGTGGAGATGATCAGTACAGTAGCAAGAAGTTCCAAGCTAGTCTTGTAGCTTGAGTACTGCATAGCTTTCTGGACGTAGTGTAATGTCTGATAGTAGTACTGCAGTGGAGTACCGCGATGAGGCTGGTCGTGTGAAGCGTCTCCTGCGTTGAGTAAGAGGTGACGAGAAGACAGTGCTAGAATTGCATTCAACAGTCCAGCGTTGCGCATCTTGTCCGGTTAGAACTTATTATCGATAGATAAGATATGGTCATACCGCAAGGTGAGGCACGAAGGTCGAGAACTTGCTTGTTGGGTCGAAGATGTCGATCCATGGGCTGACTCGTTGGACAAAGTTCTCGAAGAGGGTGTACTCGTGCGGAAGAAGCTGAATAGTCTCCTGGGCTTGCCAAAGCCTCTCTTCAAGAGAAGCACTGGTAGGCGAGTTGATTGCATGCACATTTTGCTCCAATTGTATAGCGTTGCCTGTTGATTGTTCTGAACTTAGACCTGGCTGCACGGTGTCGTCATCGACATGAGTTCGGTCCACGATACGTGTGGCCCGCTGTAATGGTGTAATCTGCGATACATCTGTCTCCTCGAGTACGTCTTGTCCGTAACCGATGATGCTCGAAATCTGGGGCGTTTCACGGACGGCGTCATTTGCTAGCAGATCGAACCATCTCACAGCCGCGGCGTTTATAGTCGGTCCGGGCGACTCGATGGAGCTCGACACTGAATGAGGAATGTCCGATGGATACTGCGAGGAGGTTGGTATGTTACTAGCAAAGGTAGAACTGTGGTCAATCGCGACAATGGCGGCTAGTTGGTCGAGCGGATGAAGGGCGGGTTGACTATGATTGGCCCATGGGAGCACGGTAGGGTCTGTTTGCTCATGAGATGTTAGATCCGGAGACTCATTAATGCTTGTGTCGTGTATAGACGAAAGAAAAGGCGCAGTGGCTTCTGTGTCTGCTGAGGGCTCGATTGCTTCATCTTCGACAGGTGGATCGGCGGGAGGACAGGACGATTGAGTATAGTCGCACTGCCGGCCAACTTTGGCACAAGGCCCACAGATGGGTTTGGCTTCGTCGCATTTGAGATGTCGCTTGCGGCAAGTTGTACTGTAATCCCCTTAGTCAAGAAGGCCATTGGGAATAAGGCGACAACGAGCTCGGCAAAAACAGAGCAGCACCCTCGTAACGAGGGAGTGAAGGGACCAGGCACAATACCAACCAGTCTTGGTGCGAAGGCCGCGACCTCGAGATTTCCGACCACGAGATAATCGAACGGAAGTATTATTGCTCATACTTTGAAGAGAATTTGCGGTAACAAGGGCGAGTAGAAGAGATGGAAGATGGATGGGGCTGAGGGAGCTGCAAAACGCACTCCTTGGCGCCCCGTGGGGAACGGCCACTGAAGTGGGGTTGGACCACTTTCCTAACAGGCGAAGAACTAGGTAGTTACTTAGGTCTGGTAGGTACATTTACTTCTAAGAACTATAAATGCTTTCTCCCTGCCTAATCTAGGTATTACTAACAGAGCGAAAGATGACAGACATGGACAATAGGCTAATCACGACTGCCTAACCAGTGCAAATGCAACGGCTACAACTTACACAGCACAAGTAAATGCAAGGACTGTACCTATGACCATAGGAAGTGTAATCTGTGCTCGAACGACGCAGAATTGGGGAGAAGGGGAGAGCTTGTTTTTGAGAACCATCACGATACCTGCCCTCTGCAGGTGGACAATGTTAGCAAAGGACTGGAATTTGGACCCCGTCCAGCCATGGCTGGGTGGTAGCTCCGTGTAAGTGCATTCCCTACCCCGGACATCAAATGACGCATACAAACACAAATCTTGATATAGAGCATATTGGCTAACAAAGCGCCTACCCCTCCCTACAGTGTGCTTGCAGGAATACCAATAATCCAGATCTTGCTGCTGACGTATGTAGTACTTGCGCCAACCGCAAGTTTGTGCTGTTCTAGTACTGAGGACTGTACAAGAGTTGTTGAGACTATGAAGTGAAGAAGATACTATATACTATATATTTAAGGATACTTTTTCCGCGCGCATCCTCCTATTTATTAATTCTTTGGGAAGTGTAGGCAAGCAATAACTGAGCAAGGCAGATGTATCAGCTTACGGATGCCCTAATCCAAAAATTCAGGCAAAGTTGAGTCCCTCCCAGAAATTATGCAGTCACTGACGTCTTCCGGACCTGTCTCTGAATAATGGCGTTCACAAGACAGTATATAGAGTCCACACCCATTCGTCTATGCCCACCAATAGGACAGATATCTGGGCTTCGTGGAAGAACTCCTTATCATCACCTGCGCAAGTACTGAAACTGGCTTGGAACTCACCCTTCCGTCGGTTGACATGATTTTTTCGACGTTGGTGTCCCTGCCACCGACCGTCTCAAAGCGAAGAACGGTATATAGAATTCGAAGGTGTAAGTGCTTGCGGAGCGGATCGGATAGTCCTTCAATGTGTTAAAATCTGAACGTAAATCGGACACTGATGCCTGGAGCTTACCATGGAGACGCCGAAGAGAGTTTTACTGATGATGTACTTGGATAGGAACTCCCGAAGCGCCGGCGCATACCGGACCGCGACGGGGAGGACGAGTGCTGAGCACACAGGGGTGATAAATATCTGATGAATCTTGTTTTATTAGTGGGTAAAAACAATGAAACATAATATAGAGTAGGCTACTCACATGCTTTTGCGCTCTGGAGGACCTTTTCCCAATTGCAGCCGCTGGGGTAGGTACATAGTCAGCCTCATATAAACAACTTTTGCTTCAGGAGGGAACCATGATTGACGCAAGCGCATACTTCTTCTTCAAGTGCATCGTACAAATCCTTTGCAGTAAGAGCCTCCAGACGAATCGACTCCCCCTCGGGCGGATACTGTGTATACTCCGCCCAGTAGCGAGAGTTGAAGGTATTCAGGGGACGCTCATCAAGCAGGACAATTTGCTCGGAATCCTGAGACCCGCGTGCTACAGGAATTGTTCCTTCGAGTTTGCCAATACCAAGCTCGTCTCGTTCCAAGAACTCTCGCAAAGCCGTAGCTGTATTGATCCGTCATCAGCCGATGGACCCGCTGTGTGAGAAAGGACTCTGTCCTCGACCACCCCGGAACAGTAATGATCTTCTGGTTCTCAGACGGGTATAGACTTTCATTGCGCTTGCAGAATTTGGGATCCCATGCAAGAAACCTGCGAGTCATGGTACTGAGGCGGCGGGATGGTTGGTTAAATAGGTAGGCAGAGCCCTAAAGAGTCCCCACAAGGGTTTTATCGATACTTGAACTTTGCAATTGAAAAGCCTTTAACCTTTGTAACTGTCCGTACGTGAGATAAATTATCTCTGCGATGACCGGCTTAGTACTGCTGCCATCACAAGGCTGAATAGGCGGGGTAGTAGCGTAGCTCAGCCTCACTTCCATCACTCGCCGACAGCTGGCTTCTTCTACCCTTGCCACTAAGCTACCATTGCGCAGCTTAGCTGCGCCTTAGATAGGACGGCTTCACGTACTTGAGCTGGTAAACATGAGGAGGGAGTGGCTTGGTGCTTGTTGCTGGCAACCTGAGAGGACTAGGCAAGTTGTTGTAGAAGACAGACATGGCAACGTGAGCCTTAGTTGCTTTATCTTCCTTGACTTGTAAGGTTAAGGAACCTGACAGTTCATATATTTCGTCGATCACTGGCGATACCATGCGAAGTAGATCGCAGGCATATTGCATATTGGACATGCAATGAGATGTCATGGCTAAGGGGTTAATAAAGGCCGGCCGGTACTCTAAGCTGGGAATATTCGGGACTGAAAATGGGTGTATATCACATTCGCGGATAGCGCTCGGCTGACCGAGAATTCGGGTGATGTGCCTGTAATTGTCAATCAATACTCGCCTGAAAGTAACTGCAGGAAATGAATACTTCTCTAGCATCCAGGTACCTAGCCACATGAGCGTTCGAGCTTCTTTAACGTCGCTGAAGTCGGAGCTATCGCCGGAGCTTTCCAAATGAAGACCAAGAAACAGAGCATGTCGGCAAGCAATACCTAGAAGCAATGAGAAACGTCTCAACCTAGTGTTTATGCTAGACTTACCAATGTACTGAGAGGCGGAAGCTAGATTGCCAACTGTTACGTCTCTGAGAGAAACAAGAGCTGCCGCCAAAGCAAGCGAAAGAGAAGGCCGTTCTATTTGACCAAGAACCAAACCCTTTACATGCTGTGCAAGCGAATCAGCCGAGGTCTTCCATGATGAGGATTGATCTTCATCAAAATATTGGGCACCCAAAGACAGAACTGCTGATAGAACTGCAGGCGTAGTGTAGCCGTTGGCTCCGTTTTCAGCGAGATCCTTTTCGAAGAGAAGTCGATGGACTAGAAGAGGCCAGTTGCTCTGCCAGGTCCAGAACTCTTCCAAAAGTCCGGCTTGTGTTTCTGGTTGGAATACCAACAGTGAATCGCTGGGGATAGGAGGCTCATTGATATTCTGCGACTTGGTGTAGTCGTTTGAGAAGCTAGGATGACCGTACGCTCCAGTGAAGCGTGGATTTCGCAGCAGGTGGGAGGCCTCTTTGGAAACTGATTGAGAGTGAGGTAGTTCGTCCACTGGCAGCCCAGAGTTGAGCAATGATATAGGACCATTTTCTATGGCGTGCCCAGACTGTGCGAGTCGAGTTTCCAGGAGGGCGATTCTCGAGTGCAGCGCATGGATATAACACTTGGTGGGTGGCCTGCCTAGGATTAGAGCTCAACCATCACCACTTATTCTGTCGCTTACTTTCGCTTCTCAAGATGATGGAAGTACTCGCAGTGCCGTCCATCTCTTTGGCACGTCATGCATTCAGGTTTTTGGCCATCGCACTAATATATTTTAGCACGCGGTGGACATCAACGAGGTTGCTGGCAGCACCCACTCGACGTTTCCTCTGCCTACAGGGTGTACAGGCGAGAGAGACACGCTGCCTTCTGTCGGTAGATGACATGGCCTAGAAACCTCTTTGAGTCTCGTCCGTAGCAGGTCTAGAATGGGTGTGCTTTCCTGCACACTTTTTGCTTTCTTCCCAGTGGATCCTGCTTAGGTAATCAACAGGTTACCTAGGCGATTTCTCCAAGACCCGGACTTCCTTCTACTCCGTACTTCGTACCCTTGAAAGTTAGAACTCGCGAACGATATGAAATGCGTTATGCTCACTACCTAGTCTATTGACATCATACTCTTGAAACCTAACTATCAATTAGCTCGTCGTGCATTCCACTCCCTGTCAATCCGCGTAAGAGATCTCTGCGCGGTGGGAACGCAGTCGAGCGCTTTGATCGACACTCTTCCAGTTCGGCTAAGCATGAACTTGACCGACTCGGCAAGATCCTCTGCCACCAACGGCTCATAGCCATAGAAGAACTCGTCCATGGCTTCCTTGTCATACTTGACCCGCTGCAGATGAAAATGGCTAACGACGCAGCCTGGCCGCAGGGCTAGAACCCGGATATCGGACCCAGCAGTCTCGCTCCGCAGGGCATTCGTGAAACCCTCCAGGCATGCCTTGTTTGCATGGTAAACAGCCTCGCCATTGAAGGGCGGACATTCGAGCCCCGTCACTGACGATACATTGATGATCGTGCCTCGCTTTTTCGGCCACATACTCCGATTCAGCACAGAGTGGGTCGTATACATAACGCCTGCGATATTCGTGCCGTTCATTTGATCGATCAGCTCAATTGGCAACTCCCAGAATCGAGATGGTGCACCAAGTGCAAGACCGGCCTTTCGGGTGTCAACACCAACCTCTCTAGGAACATGGGTTCGAACTCACGTTGTTAACCAAAACCTCAATGTCGCCTAGCTCAGAGATGACGCTCTTCACGGTCTCATCGATCTGGTTGTGGTTTTGAATATCAATCGGGTATATGCGCGCTTGAACAGCAGGATATTTCTCCGTGATCTTTGCTTTAACGGCTTCCAACTTGTCCTGCAAAAGAATCAGTGGTGTCCATGGGCTCCAGGTCCAGGAATCTTACTTTACTCCTGGCAAGAAGCGCAACATTCATGCCCATCTCTGCCAAGGCAAGCGCAATGGCCTCTCCAATGCCCATCGAGGCACCCGTCTGTAAAGAGCAAGGTCAATATACTTGGCCTCTTCGACAGGGAGCACCAAACATACCACAAGTGCAGTGCGTCCCTTTAGTTCCGATTCCATTATGGCGATGTTTAGTCTAAGCGACTGCTTGATGTTAAAAGCTATTGCTTGTTTTATGAAGTAACAAGTGGCGTTTAAAATGACTTTCGAAGATTGTGTCGTCAGACCCTGAACAACCCTGATCAAGGGCCTGGACGAACGGCGGGTGATGCTCTTCCGCAGTGGGGACGGCTAATGCCCTTCCGCGATGGGGACTCAGCATTGAATTTTTGAGAAGCACTTGACGACCTGCGCTTGGTGGTCTGATAAGACTTGCTCTTGATTCTTCCCAATTCTGCAGTCAGTTCCAAGGTTTCAGGAAACCTGGATCATCCATCCATTCGAGCTCCACCCCGGCCCATTGGAGGAGGAGCATCAGCCAGGTCCTGGAGGCGACGCAACTTATTCTACGACTTTTCAAGACAGCTTCAGTGATGAGCTGGCTGAGCTCTTTCAAATGCGCGGCGCTTAACTATGGCTGGTCCAGGAGGTGACGACGGTCGCCTTCTCCTTTTACCGTGCGTGATCTTCTGCTAAGAAGCTTGTTGGGGGAAGAGCAGTAATGCATACACGGCTCGTTAACTTAGTGACCATTCGCTTCGTCTACTATCCTAACTTTGGATATGTGGAGTCGCTTCTCTAGCAGTCTCCAACGGTCTCATACCGCAATTATGCCGGAATTGAGACCAAATTGACAGAACAAAAATATCAATCTAAGCGAACAAACGCACTGGCCTTCCAGGAAGATAAGTTTCAGGGTCGTTGAAGTGCAAGCCCATATGCAACTGCGCAATTTGCTCCAGCTCCTGCACTTCCATATCAAACCCGGTTACGATCCTGAATGGTCGTCAGTATGCGTTATCAAAGGACTATGGACGGGTCTGATGCAGAGGCCGTCTACGAACCTTTAGACCACATCAGCGGCTTGTTCTGGTGCTACCTTCCAGAGACCGAAGCCGACTTGAGGAATCTGATGTCCTGATCCTTGGACTTGTCAGTATCGGCACGGACCATTGTTGGTATCGTTGGCTTTAGACAATTCGCGTGAGAGCAAGAGACTCCTGTGGAATGATGATTGATTGATAGCTTCAAACGAGGGCTGGCCTTTGGACCAGCTACAAAAAGGGGAATGCATCAGCGGCTAGACTGTCCGTCAAGGGAAAGCAGTCCTCTAGTAGAGCTAGACCATTCCTGCTTCTCGACCTGGGTATGCGCACCCACCCTGACGATGGGGGAGCGGCGGGTAATGCCCATCCGCAACCTGGATGCGGCTATTGTCATTCCGCAAGCCTGCTCACTCGACAGGATACTACATATGTCCATCATAGCCGCTATTCTGAGAATGACGTACCGCTGTCCGTGGCCACAACTTCTTAAGGAGGGTTTGTACATCCAACTTCAAACATCCGAAAATTACCCACGAAGCGTACCCGTTGTGCAGTACCAACATGACTTCAACCACTCTGCCCATCTTTCGCAAAGGCGCTACGGCTCTCATAACGGGCGTCGCCTCAGGGATTGGCCTCGCAACTGCCCAACGATGCCACTCGCACGGGATGAACCTGGTGCTCCTTGACCGCAACGCAACCGCACTCTCGCAAGTCACCGAGCACCTCACACCGCAAAACTCGAACAATATTACAACTCATGTAATCGACGTTTCCTCCATGACGGAATGGCAAAAGCTAGCGCCGAAGGTCAAATCCTCGCACCCCGAAGGCATCGACTTCCTCATGCTCAACGTCGGAGCCGGGTTCACGCCGAAAGACGGGAAAGGATTCTGGGAGGATGCAGAGTACTTTGAGAAGACATTCGCTGTCAACACACTCGGGTACACAAATGGTCTCGCTGCGTTCTTGGATAGCGTGACTGCAGGCGCGGACAAGAAGGTCCGGCGAGCAATTGTCTTGACCGGGTCGAAGCAGGGAATTACCAATCCGCCGAGCAACCCGGCCTACAACGCTTCCAAGGCGGCTGTGCGGACCATCGCCGAGCATTTGTCTTTTGATCTGGCTAAGGTGGCGCCAAAGGTTAGCGTTCATTTGCTGATTCCGGGGCGGACGTACACGGGCTTTCATACTGGGGCGTTTCGGGAGAAGCCTGATGGGGCGTGGACGTCGGAGCAGGTGGTCGACTTTATGGTTCGGAAGATGGTGGAGGATAAATTCTACATTCTCTGCCCGGATAATGAGGTTGGCGAAGACCTGGACAGGAAGCGTATTCTTTGGGCGACGGGGGATCTCATTGAGGGACGGCCGCCACTGACGCGGTGGAGGGAGGATTGGAAGGAGAAGGCAAAGGCTGGAGTTGAGAACATGTCGCTTTGAACGAGATATACACTCCTGATGCTGTACGAGTGATGTATGAAGATCTTATACTACTGCAGATTACAAAACATGCCCCCATCCGCCAACAGCCCACTCCCATTAACAAACCGGCTCATCTCCTCGCTTGCCAGAAACACCGCCGGCCCAGCCATATCCTCCGGCTCGCCCACCCTCCCCAGCGGAATCCTAGCTTCAAGATACGCCTTCTTCGCCGGGTTTTTCATATCATGGTCCGCCAGCTGCGTGTTGATTGTCCCGGGTAAGAGTGCATTACATCGAATCTTGTGCTTCCCCAGCGCGATGGCCATGGACTGCATCATCGAGAGCACGGCGGCCTTTGTAGGCGTGTAGTGTGTTTGCAGGCCGCCGCCGACAAGGGCGCTCACGGAGGAGATGGCGATGATGGAGCCCCCGTGGCCTTGCTTGACCATTTGGCGGGCGGCAGATTGGCATGAGTAGAAGGTGCCCTTTACGTTGACGTCGAGGGAGTGGGTTAGGAGGGCGGGCTCGATTCTAAGCTGGAGTCAGCACCTGATGCCGTCTGCTTTAACAGTCCAGTCAATGAAGTGATACATACTCAAGAAGTTCAGCCTGCTTGAAGACACCCGCATTCGCGACAAAGACGTCAAGCTTTCCCCAGCGCTTCACAGCCTCCTCGATCAATATCGCCGGAGTCTGAGGGTCCGTCACGTCGCCTGCGATCTCCAGGACTTCTCCCGCATTTGCGCCCTTCTTGTGTAGCGACTCGACCTCTTGCAGTAGGCTGTGGCGTAGATGTTCGTCTTTGGGAAGGCCCAGGTGGTTTATCGCAACATTGCATCCCTGCCTGATGTATTCGAGGGCGATGGCGCGCCCGATTCCGGTTGTGCCTCCGGTGATGGCGGCGGTTTTGCCGCGGAGGATGTTCCAGGCTGGTAGGGCCATGGTCTGAGTTGGATCGTGTATTCAGAGAGAAGTTTGGAGCCCGAGAGGGGCAGCAAGCTAACTGTTCTTTTGAAATAGGCATGTTATGGAGACTTCCACCTGCCACAGGGTGCATTGATCAACCCCGTCGCCCTGCCCCGTCTCGAGGGAACCCCACCAGCCTCTCCAACCGATCGTCTGTGCTCGTTTCGCGGGCATGTATGTGGACGAGGGTAGATTGGCATTCTGTCATTCGTCATATTAGACAGTCCACAATCTTTTCCAGTGTCTGTATGCAATGGCGTTGCTTATAAGTAGCTGATCTTCCCCTACAACCCCTCTACCTAACTTCAACAAAGTATCAGCCCAACTCCCTCACCATGGCCTCCACCACAACAGAAACCCCCCAGACCCAACTCACCCTCGCCGGCAAAGTAATTGCCAGTAAGTCCATCCCTAGCTCAACCTGCAAAGCCCCCCTTCCAACCCCCGTCACAGTCACCGGCGCAAACCGCGGCATCGGCCTGGGCGTCGCCGAGTCCTGCCTCGTCAACGGCGCCTCACACGTCTACTCAATCGACATCAGCACGCCCGACGAGAACTCCGACTACACCGCGTTATCGTCTCGCTTCCCCGGAAAGCTGCACGCCATAACCGCCAACGTCACGCAAGAAGAAACCATCATCGCCGCCATCGACTCCATCATCGCCGAAGCAGGCGCCCTACACGGGATGGTCGTGAACGCCGGACGCACGCACCACAAGGCCGCGCTGGAGTTTACAAAGGAGGACCTTGATAACCTGTGGAGCGTCAATCTGTACGGGGCGTTCTTTACGGCTCGCGCGGCGGCAAAGGCATTCATCAAGCAGGGCGTCAAGGGAAGCATCGTGTTTACGGCGAGCATGGCAAGTTATCGACCGAATAAGGTGCGCCTCCTACCCTCTTATCCATGCCTGCATATATGATGTCCAAAGAAGAAGAAGGGCTAATCAATCAACGTCAGCGCGTCCCCTCCGCCCCCTACGGCGCCTCCAAAGCAGGCGTGCGCAACATGACACACACGCTGGCCATGGAATGGGCGCAGTACGGGATCCGCGTCAACAGTGTGTCGCCGGGTCTGGTGCAGACGGCCATGACGTACTGGGTGCCGCAGCAGCCGGACTGGGAGCAGCAGCTGAAGTACTACGGGGGCATTCCGCGCCTCGCGCAGGTGCAGGAGCTGGGTGGGGCGTATGTGTACCTGCTTAGTGATGCGGCGAGTTATACGACGAGTATTGATATTCCGGTTAATGGGGTTATTGGGATTTGTTAGGCGGGGTTAGTTAGGGTACCGAGGCCGTGTCTACGCTTCTCGATGCAGGGATGAGCATTGCCATAATGGGGGCCCTGGGTTGGGTATCTGCTTGTTGGTGGCTGGTGACGATGGCCGGGGCTGTACCTTGCTGGAAAAGTCATATATAGATGCAGTACCAGGCAGATTAGCTAAGAATATCCCTGCATTGGCATAGGACGTTGAGGGGTAATCAAGGCATGGGCTATACTACCACCCCTCCAATGGTGTAAACCTCGCAACCACACCATCCATAGGTGACGCAGTCACACTGCGTTTGATAACAAGCTCCTTTTCCGGATCCGCCAACTCCATTCGAAACCTGCCCACCATCGCAGCAACAAGACAAGCCAGCTCTGCCTTCGCAAAGCCCTGCCCAATGCAGCTTCGCGGGCCGTGCAAAAAGGTCATGAGCGCGTAGTTACTACTAGCTCCACCCGTGTTAGCCCGTCCAGGGCCCAGCCACCGCTCTGGATTGAATACGTGTGCATCTGGACCCCAGAAATCTGGGTCGTGGTTGATGACTTCGGGGGAGATCGTTAACGGTGTCCCCTTCGGGATGAGGGTGCCGCAGAGCGTGGTGTCCTGTGCTGTGGTGCGGAATGTTATCGGAACGGATGGATAAAAGCGGAGGACTTCGTTGCAGAAGGCGTGCAGGTATGGGAGGGAGTCTAGAGTTGCTGCTGTGATGGGTTCAGGTTTCTCCGGAGAGATAGGGGGCAGGGTAGAGCGGATTTCCTCGCGGAGCCGTGTCTGAACGTCTGGATGTTTGCAGAGAGCATAGATGGACCACTGTAGCGCAGTTGAAGTCGTTTCGTGCCCGGCTGCAAGGAAGGTCATCATTTGGTCGACGAGCTCCAGATCGGTGAAGTTGCCGCTGTTTACAGCCACCGAGAGGATATCCTTTGAGTGTGCACTGTCCGATTCGTCCGGCTTGTGCTTGAGTCGCTCTCGCTTCTCATTAATGAGCTGCTGTGCGACCTGTCGGACATATCTAGCCCCTTCAACTATGTCCCTATTGCGTTTTATGGGCAGCACCCGGAGGATCTTTATGTTTCCTACGACGAACGCAGCGGCAAATAGGAGCTTCACCCAGAGCGGCGGGTCCTCAAGGATGCGGTGGTACTGCGCTGCAAGCTCGTTGCCTGGGTCTGCGAGGGATCCAAAATCACGATCCATGCCCGCGAGCCCGATGATATCCAGCGTAGCTCGGCTTGCCCAGTTTCGCACGGTCACGGTATTATCGTCTGCGCTTTTGCGACTCTGCAGGTCTTTTTCGATGCATTTCACCATTTCCACGCTTTTAGCCCAAAAGGTGGCGTAGAGATCCTTGATGTGGCGGTAGGAGAATGCTGGCATAAGGTTCTTCCGATGCCTCTATAGAGGGCTTAGCTAGAACTCGACGAGACCATCCCTCAGCTGTACCAACCTTATGCTCGTTCCCTTCTACAAGTAGTATACCGTGGTCGCCAGCAACCCGGGAAAGTGAAGTCCGCATAAACTCGGGCTTTGGGAACTCGTACGCCTTCTGGACAAGAAGCTCACTTAGAGCTTTTGGTGTCGTCACAAGAACCCTCTCCATATTCCCGACGACATAGTACCGCAGTAGCCCGTTGTTCGGCACCGACCGAGCCCATGTGAGTAAATTTCCAAAGGGCGTTTCGACAACGAAAGTGTCGGTATTGCCCTTGGTCCATGATCGGTTCTTTTCTATTAGCTAGACATCAAGCATCGGATGGGGAGAAATCTCACAGGAGGCGTTGGAATGTGCCTGATTGGAGTCAAATATTCCGGGTACAGGAACGAGGCGTGAAGGAATCGGAGGGCAGCGAGGGCGATAGCTAGACCGGAAAATGTGGAGATGCTGGATGTTAAGAAAGAGAATCCCGCGGCGACAACGAAGAATACCCCCCACGGTACCTGGGCCATGTTGGGTTGAGGTCCAGACTCTCGAGGTCGATCTCGGTTAGCAAGATTTCTATGATACAATGACGATGCAAGGAAGAAAGTTGTTGGGACCATGCAGCGAAACCGGCGACCATGGCTCTATTATATTCCAAAAATGCATGATGCACTCGACGCCCCGGACCTGACAGGGGATGCCTGTTGAACCGGACAGCCGCCGAGTGGCCAGGCAGAAGGCATTCAACCCGGGCCACAGTAGCGTGGTCGTGGTCGAATCATCGCGCGTCCATTATGTTTGTCCTGCCGCCGGAAGGATTTCCATCCGAGTTCGAGCCCACCATCTTTATAGTTCGTGCTGATATTCGCCCTAACTCACTCAGAAGCTTGGTGGAGAGAGACTGGAAGCATTGCAGAGTTGCGCTGAAGCGGCTGTCATGTCCATATCGCTTTTCTATTCCATTACAAAGATATTTTAGACTTGCCATACAAAACCCAAAAATCACACAGACCTTCCCCGAAGGCGCTTTTCATATTCACAATCGTAATTCGTACCAGCGATATCACATCTTACAACTTCTCGCCAGCGGCCTGCTTCATCTGTCCGTACTTCTTCAGGCGGATGGCAGACACGCCAATGAATCCGGTGGTCTCGGTGGGGGCGAAGTCACCAATCTCGTCCATGCTGGACTCGGACATATCGTACAGCTTCTCGGTCTCGGAGGATCGGCCGAGGATGATCATGTTGCCCTTGTAGGCACGGCAGCGGACCTTGCCGTTGACCGACTTCTGGGAGGCAGGGATGGCCTGCTCAAGGAACTCACGCTCGGGAGAGAAGTAGAGACCGTTGTAGAGGAGCTTGGAGTAGTTGACGGTGACGAACTGGTCGCGCAGAGCACGGACCTCGCGGTCGAGCACAAGACCCTCAAGGTCACTAGGAGCGGTTAGCAAACTGTTTGCCGAGATACGCAAGGTTTCGCATACATGTGGGCGGAGCGCAGGCAGGTGAGACCAGGGGTCTCGTAGCAACCGCGAGACTTGATACCGATGAAACGGTTCTCAACAATGTCGATACGGCCGATACCGTTACGGCGGGCAATGGCGTTGGCGGTCAAGAAGAGGTCAACGGCGTCAGTGGCGGTCTTCTGCTCGCCGTTCTCGGTGTACTCGAGCTTAACGGGCAGACCCTTCTCGAAGTGGACGGTGAAGTCCTCGGGCTTGTCGGGAGCGGTGAGGGGGTCGACGGTGAGCTTCCACATGTCGGAGGGAGGGGTGATATCGGGGTCCTCCAGAATACCGGCCTCGTAGGAGCAGTGGGCCAAGTTCTCGTCCATACTCCAGGGCTTGGACTTGGTGGAGGTGACAGGAATGCCCTTCTCGGCAGCGTAGGCGAGGAGATCGTTACGACCGGCGAAGCGCTCGTAGAAGACGGGGTCACGCCAAGGAGCGATGACCTTGATGTCGGGCTGGAGCGCGTAGAAGGCGAGTTCGAAACGGACCTGGTCGTTACCCTTGCCGGTGCAGCCGTGGGAAACAGCAAAGCATCCTTCCCGCTGTTTATCAATTGGTGAGTTAATGGCCTAGAAATAGATTGTTAAGATGATTTCTAACCTTGGCGACCTCGATCTGGGCACGAGCGATCACGGGGCGGGCAAGAGAGGTACCGAGAAGGTAAACGTTCTCGTAGATGGCGTTGCAAGCAATGGCGGGGAAGCAGAGCTCCTCAACAAACTCGCCTATTTACCACCCGTCAACTCAAAGCACTTATACATCCAGAAATTGGTCGGAATACGTACGGCGAAGGTCAACTACCTCGGCCTTGACGGCACCGAGCTTCAGAGCTTTCTCCTTGATGGCGGCGAAGTCCTCTAGAGGGCGGGGAGTCAGAGCGCAAGTAGCGGTGGACAATTCGGGGCAATCGCTTTACCTTCCTGACCAACATCGGCAGCTAGGATCTGTTAGCAACGAAGCAGAGGAAATAAGTACCAATTGACGGGATACTCACTGAAAGCGACGACATCGTAGCCCTCGTCAATGAGCCATTTCACTGTGTATTTTGGATCAGCTGGAGCACGCGGGGAAGATTCGACGGGAGCGGAGGAGCTAACAGATGATGCTGGTGTCGAGACCACCGCTGAAGGCGACACAGATCTTTCCTTTACCCATGTTGTATGGTGTGGTTGTGATGACAATGGGGAGAATTGAGGAATGAAAGGAGAATGGAAGACGGAGGGGAAGATATGAAGGACGACTGAGTCACACTACACCCCAAAGAAAAATTATTGGGACGCGGAGTGGAGGCCCTCTCCGACGCCGGCCTCGCTATCAATCTTGGCGGCACAGATAAGCGTCGATCACAGGCAGCTAACTGCTAAGCCAATTCAATTCCAACACTTGACTGCGTGAGGCTCTGGCTGAACTTTTTGCTGCTGATCGATATCAAAGTTCCGTGTTCTAGATAGCATTGTGAACCTTGCTGTCTGTTCCAGGTTCAGCGTTACCTATGCATGTGTCAGACACTGTGAGGTCACACAAAGCCCCCTCCCGAATGAGGCGTCCTCTCCCGGTCGTCCTAACCGCCGACTTGACATCTCTGTTGCTGCACTGTCAGCACTGACTACAGTTGACAAGAGAGCAGACCGACACCAAATGGATACACTCAGGTTTATCCGGATACCCAGATGCGCCCGATGCAGCCGGCTTCCGGTCGTTGGTGCGTTCGACCAAGGCAAGGAGATGCACGTCATTGATTTCTAAGCGGAGTTCAACGTTATTGTCGCATTTAAAAACCCAAAACCCCCATTCTGGTTTCTCAAAGCCATTGACTACAAGATATTCTAGCTTAGACTCATCTCTTAGCCATGGCATCGAAACAAGCTCAAGATATTGAGGTTAAGCCTGCTTCTGGCATTTCCTACTTCACCCCCGCGCAAGAGACCCCCGCTGGGCTGGCAGCCGACCCGCAGTCTGATGGAGCGCCAATTCCAAAGCTGTTCAAGCCCCTCAAAGTGAGAGGTCTAACATTACACAACCGTATTGGAGTTCGTGACCCCCTCAATGGCAATTTCTTTCTGTTCGTGTTTATTGCGGAAGTGTGCACGGGTCACTAACAGTTGGGCGCCTTTGCAGCTGTCACCGCTATGCCAATATTCCGCGGATGATGGTCATATGACTGCCTGGCATATGGCCCATCTGGGAGGAATTGCTCAGCGCGGACCGGGCTTTCTCATGGTAGAGGCCACCGCGGTCGAACCCGAAGGCCGTATCACACCGCAGGACCTCGGTCTCTGGAAAGACTCGCAAATCGACCCTATGAAGGGAGTTATTGAGTTCGCGCACAGCCAAAATCAGATCATTGGCGTTCAGATTGCCCACGCAGGCCGCAAAGCTAGCACTGTTCCACCTTGGCTGTCTTCTGGCGACGTTGCGACTGAGAAGGTGGGCGGCTGGCCGGACCGTGTCAAAGGTCCTTCCGATATCCCGTTCACGTCGCGATTTCCCGTTCCCAAGGCAATGACCAAGGAAGATATCGAGGAATTGAAGACTGCGTGGGTGGCTGCGGTTAAGCGGGCTGTTAAAGCTGGCGCTGATTTCGTCGAGATCCACAATGCACATGGCTATCTCCTCATGTCTTTCTTATCGCCCGCTGTCAACAAGAGGACCGACGAATACGGCGGTAGCTTCGAGAACCGCATCCGTCTCAGCCTGGAAATCGCGAAATTGACTAGGGAGGCTGTTCCAGACCACTTGCCGGTCTTCTTGCGGGTTTCAGGCACTGACTGGCTGGAGGAGTCCCACCCCGATGAACCGAGCTGGCGCTTAGAGGATACTGTTAAGTTTGCCCAAGTCCTGGCAGATAGCGGTTACATCGACGTCCTGGACGTTAGCAGCGGTGGAACTCATGCGGATCAGCATATCCATGCCAAACCTGGCTTCCAGGCTCCCTTTGCCGCTGCCGTGAAGAAAGCCGTGGGCGATAAATTGCTCGTGGGCACTGTCGGAATGATCGACAGCGCTCACCTAGCAAACTCATTGCTCGAGAAAGAGGGGCTGGACCTTACCTTGATCGGTCGTGGCTTCCAGAAGAACCCAGGATTGGTCTGGGCGTTTGCTGAGGAGTTGGGAGTTGAAATTGGAATGGCCAACCAGATCCGATGGGGATTCGCGTCTCGCGGTGGTGGTCCGTATCTGAGAAAGAGGTCAGGAAAGATGTAGAGACATTTAGTCAGTATAGATCATGGGGAATTCCCCAGTAGAGAGGGACATTGGATAAGATAAACAGTTTGTAGATTCGCAATCATAAACATGTCATTCGTCTCTGTTATGCTGTATATCAACGTTGAGGTAACATACAAATCTATCCCTGGCATACAAATCTATCCCTGGCATACAAATAGCCATCCCGTCCGAATACCAACGCCATGCAAAGTACTAGTGGTTGAAACAAAGTATATACAACTGAAAATCCCCAGGATCACCTATATCAAGATCTCACAGGTGGTGTTGAACTGTTGAGAAGGTGCGTTTGTGGAAGTCTAGCGAAGGATGGATTAGCGCTTTTTTGTCTCACACAAGGGGCGGAGAACTCACCCTGCCACGTTTCTAGCGCTGCCTTCTCCGCATCCCATCCCCACAGGAACTCTTGCGTCTGTCTGTCTGACCATTTATCCGGGTTTGAGCCTCCCTTCAAAGAAGCGCGGAATTGTTCGTCCCGTGCCTCTTGCTCCGGGCCGTCAGGGAAATGCAGGGTGATACGGTTTGTTGAGCCGGACTGCTGAACGGTCTCTGCGCGCTCTTTGCGCGACTCTTCGTACGCTTGAAGAGCAAGAGGAATCTCGGTCCTCGACGTGATGCCGGATAATAACACGCCCAGCGCTGCGGCATCCTCCACCGCTTGAGCGGCACCCTGGGCGACGTACGGCCTGAGAGCGTAAGTTGAGATCTGACAAATACCGAGGATGGAGACTTACAGCATAGGATGACAGGCGTCCCCAATCATCGCTACTGATCCCTTAATCCATGTCTTCAATGGTGCGTGCAGGCAAAGCTTCCACTCAAGCACTTCTTCATCCGGAACCATATCAATCAGCTTCGTGACTATGGGATCCCATCCGTCGTAATCGTCGACCATCCTCTGCTTTGAACCCCTTGTGGTCCAAGACTCCTCAACTCCATGTTGATCAGGGTGCACAAGAACAATGTTGAAAAGTTCATGATTTCGGACTGGGTAAGCGATCAGATGGCGTTCAGGGCCGAGCCATCGGGTTGCCTCTGGGACTTCAACCAGCTTCTTCAATTCAGGATCGCTCTCCATCTCGGCCTTTGTGAGCATGATCCGGTACGCTGCATCTCCGGTTGGTATGGCTTTAGAGGCGCCCTCGCCCAGCAGCTGATCACGAATTGACGATTTAATCCCGTCGGCTGCAACGATAACATCAGCCTTGACAACACTGCCGTTGACCAGGGTCACTGATGTAGAATCAAAATCAACGGTTGCTACATGCGAGTTTACGCGCAGCTCCACGTTCGGCAGCTCCAGCGCCTTTTCAATCAGTGCGTTGTGGAGATCTGCGCGATGGATAACCACTTGCTGCCCGTATGTCTTGTTTACGGGCATGGTGCCAAGAAGGCTCCCATCTTTCCATCGTCGTACGTGAATCTGCTCCAATGCAACGTCGTTGGCATGTATTAATGGCGACACGCCCCAGCCTAGGTCTCGTCAGAGCGGTTTCCGTGTGCTATCCTCACGCCATACTTACGGTCAAAAAGCCTCAGCATGTTCGGGGAAACCTGGATGCCAGCGCCAACTTCCATAAGCTGTACAGATTTGTCAGTGCTCGTACATCCGCGCAACAAATGTACACTTTTACGTACCTTCGGAGCTGACTCCAGGATGGTGATATGATGCCCTCGCAAGCCCAATGTTAGGGCAGCCGCCATACCACCGATCCCTAGAACGGGTAATCATCAGTTCTAGTTCAAACTGCACATTGCGCAGTCAAATTCACAAAACGTACCGGCACTGCGATCCCCCAGTTAGCCCAAGAAACATGGCGTTCAACAAAACTCAGTGGACTTACCCAACAATGACAACCTCTAGGGTCGTCTTAGCCTGCGGTATCTGCATGGTGATGGGTTGGCCTTGTGCCTAATTGCTACCCCTCTCCAAATTCAGTTCTGGCGGGAAAAAAAGCAAAATTGAGCAAGGACAGTTGACCGAATATGACAGCCTGGTGAAATGAGGCCGCTACAATGGTTATTGCTCGCTGTCGTGACGTACGGGGAGGTATAAGGGACTAATAAACCGTGAGATCGACTTCCAAAATTCGGGGAGAGAAAGCTTGATAATTTTATATCCGGAATCCCACTGTCCTCCGTGTCCGGTAATTGCGGCAACGACCTACGGTCCCCACTTGGAACAGGAGCAAAAGCTGACGCTTAATTCCTGTACAAACGGTTTTTACAAATGCATTGATTGGCCCGCTGTCAAATCAAGAAGTCACACTACTGCAGCTTGCTGCGAACAGCGATAACGCTGTTAATACACCAGTTCGTGGTGGCGAGGCCATTTACTCCGGAAAAGTCGTGACTCGTGAAAAGCTCTGGCCGCTGATTTTCCTACGCGTTCTTTGGGTCAACCGGGTGGCCGAAGTCGCCTCTCGGGACAGACTCGGCTGCCTTCGAATCATGCGCGGAAGCCAGGGGTTTTGTGGAGGTAACCCGCTCGGCTTTTTCGACCGCTGGGATTTGCCGAGCACAACCTTTCCCCCAGACGCGAAGCCCGGGGCTCCCGGCTTCCACTGCCCACTAAGATCCGCCCCATTATTGATGCTACCCAGGGTATCCTTACTTCGACTGTGACTTGGATTAAAGCCAGGATATAGCAGGACTCCTGCGGCAAATCATGGGTACGCACTGCCGAACGAGGAAGCGAGTCATCGCTGCTGTCCTGGTTTTGGATACCGCACGGTATTTAATTACTTATTCAAGATCATCCGATGACAAGAGTTATGTTTGCCCACTGTATTTTGGGATGGCAGTCGTCAACCACAAAATTGGATGCGGCCGTCCCTTCATCAATACAACCAGACTCGCCAGGAAGTATCCTACCGTCAGCATGACCATTTGCTAGGAGCAACCTCGTTCTACTATGTAGCTTTACCTTCACACTATTCGGAGTACTTCATGTCTCTCACGAGGTGACTTGACGAGATAATCTTCTCCGCTTCGCACGTTCTGAGCTTCTCCACCCACATGCAGTCCATCCACCCAGCTTTGAGCTTCTCCTCCCCGAAGCAGATATGGGGTCCGGGGGACCGCCATAGCCGCATCTACGGTTACCTTATTGAAACGCAGGGATTCAGATGCGGTTCTACAATAATCCCACATCTTCCACAAACACGAATCTGCTGTCAGGTATCCGCGACGGCGCATCCTTGAAGTCATGCCCGAAATTCTCCCATGGCTGACCGTAAGCAACAAGCAAGAATGGATTATTGACCGGAGTATGAAAGTCCAGGTCCGGCCCCACGATCAGATAGCAACACCGACGGGTTACGTCTCCTGTATGACTAGGACGACGTGCTCCCAAAGGGATCTACGGGGTCTAAGCACTATCAGCATTTGCCGGGGCGATCCCATAGGGTGCCACACTTCCTTCAGCATGAGGCTGCATGTCTAGTGTTTGACAGCGGAGCTCGGCAATTCCAATTGAACCTTCAATGCCGGGGAGGTGGGTTCACACCAACCTACATTTCCGTTGATGATTGAGAGTCATAATGCCATTATTCGCTTTCACCGATCATCAGTCTCCTTGCTTCCTAAGAATGGACGGCAGATCACGGCAATAGTACTAATTGCCACCGGAACAGACGAGACGTTGCTTATGTCGACCTCGTGGTCTTCTGCTTCTCGGAAATAGCTCCCTAGACTGTCCAGGTAAGCCTTCATGTCTCTGTCCTCCTCAATCGTATCTTCCGACCCCACTGCTCTCTAAACCAGGAAAGAACATCTCTCCCTACCTGAGATAAGGCTGTCGATGGCCCTGTCCAGTCTATCTATCGAAGGAGGGTGCAGCTTCTAGGATAAATCAAGCATAGGCACTTTTTCTTGTGCAAGTATAATCTACCCTCAGCTGAGTACTTATAATCTCGACAGGCTGGAACCTCGAGACTCGGAAATTCTTCCAAAACTTAAGGTAGACAGAACACTTGTTGCGCCTGCCTGCCCTGCGTGAAATATTGTCTTGTTCTACGAGTGGGAGTGGGCGTGCAGCCAACATACCCCTTAGAAACTGGCAAGACACATACATGCGCATCGCGTCCCACGCCAGAGCCCCGCATATCATAGGTGATTATGGGAAGGTACGAAAGCACTGGAACGCGAGAGAGCCCAGACCCGTGGACTCTGATCGCACTCGCCTCCTCGACGGGTAATCCTATAACAGGGAGGAGCGGGGTGTTGGCTTTGAGATAAGAAGAGATGACGAGGAATTGTTAGTCTGAGAAGCGATGGTCAGCCTGAGAGTTGCACCTGCCATGTATAGTGCGCATACATACAGTGTAACTCACTCGAAGCAGAGCCAGCAAGTAGGATAGTAAGCGTCGGCTTCAAGGACTTGAGAAAGCAAGGTATATGCATTGACGCGCTTTTTAATGAATATGATAAGATCATGTACAGTGACTGAACAATCTATGCAAAGGAGTGTGCTGTCCATTTCCAACGCCGGTAAACAAAAAACGCTTGTTAAGTGATCGAAAATGCTAGCCAGAAGAAACGAAGGAACATGCCACGCAGATGAATGCTAGAATGTTGCGCAGATAACGGATCGTAAACATAATCATGGAGGCTGTATGCTGTTGGCAGCCTCTCTGTCGGTACCTAGTATCGGGTCATATATTTGAGATCGTAGGAGGAAGTCATATAAACGTATGCGAAGGTCGTATCGGAGTCGAGTATCTTGCTATATATGTACAATGAATGTCGAAAAGTCGGTGAAGGTGGGTCTATCAAGCTGTGAACATGAGGCGAAGCCGACTGGACCGCTTGACTTTTTCCTTGGGTTTCTTGCTCTTGTCCTTTTCTGAGTGACGGGATTCAGCGGAGGATGGAGCTCTCGAAGGTGCCCGCGAAGGGGCCTTGGATGGAGCTTTAGACGGGGGTGCTTTTGTGTGCCTCGAGAAGATCGATTTAGATTCCACCCTTGTATCCACTTTGGTGGGAGCGCGGCTGTGAGTGTGCGTAGATCGAGGAGGGCGGGAACGGTGGGACCGACGGGAAGATGCGACGGACTCGTCATCGTCGAACTTAAAGCGCGGGTCTCGAGACATTCGGGCAGTGGTGATATCGATGCCGGACATCGCGGCAGCCCTGGGGGTAATGAACTCTCCGTCCACGGAGGTTGCGACGCTCTCGGCTTCGGCGTCTGCCACGCCTCTGCGCCACATCTCCACGGAACTGAGGCACTCGGTGTTGAATTCTATCATCTCGTCCATTTGTTGTGGGCCAGATTGCGGATCGAACTGTGCCGGTTCGCGCGCGACGGCTGAAGGTTGTTGCAGCTGCTTGACGATCTTGTAGCCGCCAAACATGACGATTGTGGCTGTGAGACCGACTCCGGCAGCAATCAGGAACTGTGGGCTGGCGAGCAAGCCCCAGATCACTGGCGCTGAGGTCTTTAACATCGTGAGCGCAGATGGCGCCATCTTGCCAGCGACGTTGCTGATTTCTGCGAGAGTAAGCGCCACCGCTGCCATGGCATCCGGATTCTTCTGAAGGTGGTCGATTGTAGCTGTCGCTGTGTGCTGCACGCAGTTGGCTTCCTCCAGTAACCACTGGGCCTTTTTCACAAGGCCACCCAGCTCGGGATCATCGAATTGGTCTTGAGATTCTCGCGGGGCTATAGCATCCGGATTGAACTCGCCATAGGCCAGATCCATATCCACATGCGCATCGGATTTAGAGCGAGTGGCAAGGGGGCGAGCTTCCGTTTCTCGCACCATGATATCATGGTGAGTGTGACGGCGGACCATATCAGTTGGAGGTTCATAGTGAGACCTTGCACGGGACCTTGCACGAGATGCGGAAGAATGGAGGTCCTGCTCATAGATTGATTCGCCGCGGGGGCGGTCATAGTGGCTTCGACCCGAATGATGATGATGTCGCGACCGACTTCTCCGCGATGAAGCTACTGACGGGGCATCATCAATAGTATAGTTCTGCAATGCCTTCAGTGCTTCCCGTTCCGCGATCCTCTCCGCAATCTTCGCATTTCGCTCGGATTGGACTTGAGCTTTGCGCTCGCGGTAGGCGTTTTTTGCATGGCTGAAGACGCCGAACAGGTGTTTGCTCTGTTATCAGGTATAGATTAGAATCAAGCAAGTCGATTGAGAGCACCCCTAGGAACTTACCGTGCTAACCACCTGTCCAGACTTGTCAATCACAGCAATCGTTTCACCGAACGGCATGGTTGCACAGACACTGTTGTGAGATGACGGACTGCAGTAATAAGCCGGCAGCTCTCAGAGACCTCAACCGACCGGATGACAGTCAAATGACGAGGAGCATTGATTAATGATCGGCGATATCAAGGACCTACCTCACTCAGGAGGACGAGCGGTGTAGGGATTTCGACGGGTCTATATTAAGACTATGCCGATAAGTCGGGTCCAGGTGGGGATTTGACCGCGATCTTCCTTTGTATCCACGATGCGGTCTGGACCTTATACTGGCGTTCTGGAAGGGCTGACAGAATATGCAGAGAAGGCGAATTCTTGCAAGCGGGTGTCGCTGGAAAAGCTGATGCCTGGTGACAAAGGATGGCGGTTCAGCTGAGGTTGGTGGTGTTATAGGTACAAGCAAGAAAGGTAAATAGCGTCAATATAACAACGCATATGCACAGCGATAACCGCGCCACGACCGCGTCTTCAATATAGTGGATGAACAGGGAGCACGGAGTATGGAGAGGAAAAAAGGAGGGGGCTGGGAACACGAGCGACGCAGCGCCTAAAAGGGCACGAAGCGACGAACAGGAGAGACAGCTGCAGAGGAGGGGATGACTGGTTTGGTGCCGATGAAGCTAGGAACAAGGCAACAAAATGGTGCTCAGACAGTGACGGACCAAGGACGGCGCACCCGAATGGCTGTCAAGTTCGTAGCCGATCCGTGGGGATCAACTGGTGAGCTGGCTCGCTTCAGGGCGACCGTTCGAGTGAAGCTGCATTGCTGGATTGGCTGGGGGTTCGTGGGGGACGCTTGGGGCCTCCTTAGGTACTTGAAGTCGGGTACTCATCAATTTACAACACCTCCAGACCATCAGCGAGACGATGCCTGATGGACTTTTGATATCGGCGACAACAATTCGGCGGATGCTGGAGGAAGGCCGGAGGAGTCCGATCTGGATTCTGGACGAGCATCAAATGGCGGTGATATCTCGCGCCCTGATTGGCTGGAAGTGCACCGCCACTGTGGCTGGTGTAGACATATAGGTACGTGAGTGCTGCCTCCATCTTTACCCTGATCACGAGCAAGATGAGTCAAGAGGATCTAGTTCCTGAATTCTTGTGTCGTGGCTGCATCAGGAGACTGCACGATGATGCCTGTTCCGAACCTCTGATCGCGAAGGAATGCTGGGATCCCGGTAGCGCAGCAAACAGGCCAGTTACACATGCCATCAGCCCAGAGTCTGATGCTCTCTCTTGGCCTCAAAGTTCCTTGCGGATGCCTTACTTAGACACAACAATCCATGGGAATCACTGGAGCTGGCTGGCTGGCAGGTTTCTGAATATTTAGTTATCGCAAATCCCATGACCGCATTAAAGATAGGGGATGCAGCATCCCACTCTCTGTATCAGCCCAATCTTAAGCCCTTCCAAGACTTCCACTGCCCGGTGAAAGTCTCACTCTCTGCGTCTTTCCTTAATCCATTCCTTCATTCCTTTCAATGAACCCAAGGAGAAAGACGCCGCAGCGATGGCCCAACTCGCCTCGGACGCCTTGCTGACCCGGCTATTGTGGGAACCCAGGTTAGTATGCCTTCTACTTCCATAAGCCCGTGTAGATCAAGCATCATGAGAAGAGCAGCAGACAGACGATGGTTGACACAGAGCAGGAGCAAGTGCTGTTGGAAGCATCGCGCCCGAGCAGGTAAGAACAGACTCCTGCACCGCCACAGTTCTTTGAGATCAACGCCCATTCTTATCACTGGCCAATTTTTTCATGTCATCACCGTCAAGGGAGATCACGACATCCAGCACAGGCAGCGGGATGATCGTTGTTTGTCTACGATAGACCAATAGCCCTGCTGAGATCTGTACAGAGTATTGAAGTTCTTGGCTTCTTCTGTTGTGGGAAAAAGAAAGTCGCAGTCACGTGCGCCTGGGGTCGCTCTTCAGACTTGTCCTTTCCTCTCTCCTCCCAGTCCCCTGATTCTCAATAATTATCAGAAAAAAATACAATAAAAGAACCCAGGCTAAGACCGCAATGGAAAATACAGGACTCGGCGAGTCCGATAGCCCGTCGGACGTCGATGAGCAGACCAAAGCATGGGAGTCCGATCCTCGGACCGTGAGAGCACATCTCGCCCAAACCGACGGTCTCAACGACCAACCCTCACAAATCGAATGCGGCATTGGCCATCGAGTACAAGCTAGTCGGTCTGTTCTAGCCCTGGTGGTTGACGAAGACTGTGTTTTCGCCGGGCTTCAAGGGGGAGACATTGTAGTACGTCGCTGACTCACTGATATCACTATTACCGGATATAGCGAAGAGCGAAAACTTATGCTTCATAGGCGTGGTCTCTGGAGAACTACGATCTTGTTCTCTCCGTCCGTGCTCATCAAGAAAGCGTCTTGGACTTGTACCTCTCGGAAGGAGGTGACCTCCTCTTTTCCAGTGGAGGCGACTCTGTTGTCAATGTACCAACCCTCTGACGCCGCTACGGCTACTTTCAGTCGTGATTGACAAGTTGTAGGTCTGGTCTACTCGGACCTTTGAGCGGTTGTACTCGATTCATTCTCATCATGACGTTGGTGATCTCTTTGCCGTGGCCTACTCGCCGAGCCTGAACACCGTTTACTGTGGTGCCCAAAACACCAGCATCCAAGTGAGTTATCTACAACACCTGGCAATATTTTGTCTCACGCCGACAGTGGTGTAATCTTTCCCAATCTGGTACGGCATCTACCCAACAATCCGCTGTTCATCTATCCAAGCGAACACATCGCTTCTTCGACTCGAAGGGTCCTGACGGTACTCGCGCTCCTCGAGCGGATGGCCAGTCGGTGGCCGATGGTGGCCAAGTACTTAGCTTCAAGCGTGACCATCACAATTTGTTTGCCCACCATGGTTATGTTTACACGATGACGCTTGTCCGAGGACTGCTTGAGTCGTCCCCAAACGACGAGGTCCTCTTGACGGGGGCGGGTGACGGAGTGGTCAAACTCTGGCGCTTAGAGCAAGGAAAGGCTGATTCCGCTCCCGCACTGATGGCAAGGCTACATAACACCGATCCCGTGCTCTCCGTGGCAGTCGAAGGATCGTTTCTCTACTGCGGTTTGTCAGGCGGTGCGCTGAATATCTGGAACCTGGATTCCCATCAGCTCGTGAAGCGTATCGCCGCCCATACTGGTGATCTATGGGCGGTGGATATTATTCACGGTATGGCCGTGTGCGGAGACTCTAATGGAATTGTAAAGGTACGTTCCGAAGCCTGAGATGCAGCAGACTGCCTGCTAAATCAGTGTATAGAAATTCAACTCGCGGTTCGAGGAAGTCGGCAGCTGGGCCGCTCATGAAGGCACTATGCTCGCCTCTGCTGCCGGTAAATTCAAGGACCGACATATATACGCCACCGGAGGAAATGACAATACAGTTGGAATCTGGGATTTGACCGACGTATCTTTGTCTGCGACAGAGAAGCCTCCGATCAACAACGGTGAGTATACTCTCCTGTCTTAGGGAGTCCTATCTACTAACAGGATATAGATGAGATGGTGAGCTGCCTTGCCAAGCTGGTAGCGTTCAAAACGATATCATCCAGCCCAAAGTTTGCCGGTGAATGCAACCAAGGAGCAGCATTCCTCCGCCGACATTGCATATACCTTGGGGCTAAGACGAAGCTCTTACCCACAGGAGAAGACACTAATCCTATTGTTTTCGCTCGTTTCAGCGCGACGTCGCCTGAAAAGTCCGACAAAACCATCTTGTTCTACGGACATTATGACGTGGTCGGCGCGGACGCCAACCGACAGAAGTGGAAAACTGATCCGTATCAGCTAACTTCCATGGATGGCTTCTTGTACGGCCGTGGCGTTTCTGACAACAAAGGTCCTATCCTCGCCGCTTTATACGCAGCGGCAGATCTGGCACGTCAAAAAGCTCTACAATGCAACGTCGTATTCCTCCTTGAAGGAGAGGAGGAATCCGGATCTCAAGGCTTCCATGAGACAGTTCGCAAACACAAACAGCAAATTGGGCCAGTTGATTGGATTCTGTTAGCAAACAGCTACTGGCTGGATGACTACAATCCGTGTCTCACATACGGGCAGCGCGGAGTCGTCCACGCAAACCTGATCGTCACTAGTGACCACCCTGACTTACACAGTGGTATCGACGGCAGTTCGCTGTTAGACGAGCCATTGAAGGACTTGACTATGCTACTTGGTACTTTGGTTGGGCCCAGGGGCAAAGTCAACCTCCCTGGTTTCCAAGACCCCGTATTGCCATTGACCGATGTAGAAAGAGAGCGTTATGGCGCGATCGCCCAGATCCTCCTCAAGCAGCACCCGCAGATTAAGGATTCTGGTGCCCTAATCGACTCGCTTATGCATAGATGGCGCGAGCCTTCTCTCACCATTCATTCCGTCGAGGTTCCGGGAAGCAGCAAGAGTGCAACCACAACCATTTCCCGCAAAGCGAAGGCTAGCCTTTCGATTCGTATCGTGCCTAACCAATCGGCCGACGAAATTGCAGCTGCGTTGACTTTATACGCACAAGAGCGTTTCGACCAACTGGAATCCCAGAATGAGCTTACCGTTGAAATCACGGGGACATCAGACCCGTGGCTGGGCGACCCAGACAACCAAATCTTTGAGACCCTAGCCGAGGCCATCACAGCAGCCTGGACGCCCGACCAACAGCGCCTAAAGCATCAGTATTCGCTTTCCCGGCGTGCCTTCGGAGACCGCTCAGCTAGCCCCAGCGGCGCAAAGGAAGCTGCTACCAGGGCCCTCCGCCGCCAGGACTCAGAGGACAGCCTAGCCTCCCACATCGACCGCATCATCATGTCCACAACCACATCCAAAACAACCACGCGCCATCGGAGCTCGCTAAGCACAACCGTGCCCACCTCGTCAACCCTCACAGGCCAGTCGAACAAGCAAGCCGCAGACTCCACGACCTCGTCGCCTCCCCCAGACCCCGCTGTTATCTCATCTGCCCCCTCGCCAATGGGTACAGATGGTACAGCAGAGGTCTCTCGCGAAAGAGTCGGCGTCCGACCCATCTACATCCGCGAGGGCGGCTCAATCCCCACAATCCGCTTCCTGGAGAAAGAGTTCTCCGCCCCAGCGGCTAATCTGCCGTGCGGGCAGGCGAGTGATAACGCGCATTTGTACAATGAGCGGCTGCGCGTCGAGAATCTGTATAAAAGTCGGGAGATCTTCAGTTATGTGTTTTCGCGGTTGCCGGAAAAGGCGTGATTTTTGGAGTCATGCGGACCTCGGGAGCGTTGTTAGGTAGGATTAGATTGCAGTCCATTTCTTGTGAATTATTCGCTTTTTTATAGCATGTGGTTTTTTTATGCTAGACGTCTTGGGAATTTGAGGGACTTGATGTAGGCATATTCGATCGGTAAGTTCATTGGCAGGGAAGAGGTTCACGCATATATCAGAAAAGAGGGCTCACGATGCCGACTGGGGGCAAGGGTCATTGCAATCGTTATATACACTACATATCTATAGTAATCATTAGGAGACAAGTCGCTAAGTTACAAGTGCTTTATACAAGGTGATATCCAATCACCAGATCCGCTTCGCAGCCATCTCATACCGCTGGACGTGGTCCAAATGCAGATCATCGCCGTGTGCGGCCCTTGCCTTCTGGCTCGCCTTCTCCTTCTCTTTCAGCTTGCGTAGGCTATCCGGATCATCAAGGTATATCCACCGCCGGCTGTCTTCGTTGACCTCCACTGTCCCCCAGCCGCCAACACGTCGCGCACCATCTACTACGTAGTCGCGCGCACGTAAAGCCCCGTGACTTTCTGGGGCATTGGGTGGAGCGGATGAGGAAGCTGCGGCTGCGGCTGCGGCTGCGTGTTCCGCCTCCCGCTGCTTCATCGACCTATAGCGGGATCGTGCGCAGGTCAGAAGAAGCATGCCGAGAAAGAGCTTGCAAACAAGCAGGATGACGAATCCGGTGAGAACCAGGACAATTGTCAGGATGTAGACATAATGAGCGGGCGATGGCATTGCATTGGCAAGCGCCCGGCGAAACCATGCTTCGGCGTGCGCTGCTGTTGCAGGGAAAATCGTTCCTAAGGTAATCGGCGGTGGCGAGGGTACCGGGCCTGCCGGTACGTACTGGCTGTGTATGGCTGCAAGAGTTGTGGTCTCGACTGCAGTCGATGAAGAGGGCGACAACGGTGGAGAGTGGGGGAGTAATGCAGCCAGAAACATTTGATACGTTTGTACAGAGACGCGGAAGAACAAACATGACAGTGGAATAATTGGAAGTCCGAGACGGCGCATCAAGTTTTGATCGCCGAAGGCGTTTGTGTAATAGTCCTTTGCGAGAATGTCTAGGAACCGGCCGTAGATCGCGGGTCGAGTGTTGTTGAATTTACCAATGTATGCATGCTTCAACCAGTCCACAAACATTTCCGAGCCGAGAACGATCAAGAATGGACCAAGTACTTGGGCCAGCGCCGGAAGGAACGAATTGACATGGCTAAAGGACGCCATCAGGGACGACGGAACGAAAGTGAACGCTTGCGGAAGAATCGAAGTCGACGACTTTGGAGGTGTTGACAGCGGCGTGCTATTTGTTGCAGCAGACGTACCACTCACGCTTGTACTGAGTAAACTGCCCCCAAAGCTGAAAGCGCCGGTCTCGACCATGTTCCGTGACGCAATGATTGTAAGCATGAGCCAAAGCTGAAATCGCTCTACCACATCCGCACAAGTGAGCTGGAAGAGATTCTCCTTTTCAAACTTCTTGAATACAGAGCCTTTGATCTCCACAAATTGGTTTGATAGTAGTAAGGTGATCAGGGCATTAGAGTATGAGTTGACGGCCACATTCAGTGTCATGACCTGGTAGAAGAGAGCTGTGGAGTGAATGACCGTATACGCCAGCGCCGACAGGAAAAGTCCAAATGGCCGAAATATCTTGCTGCGTCCATCTGGACGACGCTCTAGCGCCTCACGAGAGAATAGGCACTCTAGGACGTCTTGACCGATAGCGGCAAAGAGACGGTCACTGACTTCAAGCACATTGTATATGACGTATAGCTTGATGGCTGCTTGGCCTCGGATCCAATGATACATACGACTTGCGTCGAAGTACATGAGGATAGTGCAAGTGGTAACCATCAGCAGCCCCTTGAGGATGTCGGCCTTGTCGTCCGGAAGCAGGGCCGAGGGGGTGGACCTCTGCCTGCGGTGTCGGTAGGTATCAGAGCGGTGCCGCCGACGTGGCTCCGGCCTAATGGGATTGGTATCATGTTCGATTGACGGCGTGTGGGCCGTCGATGACATTGAAGGCTTCCGATTCCGCCGCCGCCAAACCCGCCCCACGCCATTCCTGACAAAGTGGGCCAGATATCGACTCTCTGCAGCCAAATTCCGTGCCCAGGATTCGAAGAGTATATATACCGCTTTGATAAAACGGAGAGGTAAGATTGTGAAAGAGTATAGCCATGCGTCTAGGCACGCCAAGATTCCAAACCACAGCACCTGCTCTAGTGCTGGTGGAAGCACTAGAAAGTTGACCAGTCGCTCTAGCTTGACGCGAGCCGACTCATATGGGAAGTCATTCATGGAGGGTCGATGTATGTACAGTGGAGAAGGATTTCCCGAAGCAAGCTCCAGTTGTAGGTAGGTAGGAATGGATATTGGTGGAAGAGGAATGTTTTGTGATGGAGATGGTACGGCTTGGTCCAGAGGCGGGGGAGGACTTCTGAGATTCTTCGGTTCAGCCTCCCGGCCAACTGAAGGGCGCTCATGCCTATGACGAGACGTCCAAGTTTGCGTCAAGCGTTCATTGTTGTTTCCTGGCAATGTCTGTTTCCGTGTGGATTGAGGAGTCGACACAGCGCGGCTCATATGCGGACGGGTCCGAGTGGACGGCGTTTTTAGACCTAACCCATTCAGCCCATCCCCGTTATTGAAAGAGTCTTTATGTTGAAATGCTGGGATCTCGTCGAACGAGGCTTTGGGTTCAACCGGTGAAAGGTTTGAAACCTCCGACTCCATCGGTGGAAGCAACGGAGATGGCCCATCAGAATATGTCACCTTTCGGCTCGACTCTTTATTCCAATCCGAGACCGCGCGATATGGAATGGACTGCGGGGACGAGGTAAGCTCCTGTATCTTGGCTTCGGAAAGCTTGAGAATTCGATCACGATCCTTGTCCTTGTTCGCGACGGATGACGGTTCTCGGGCCCATCGATGTAGGGCAGCAGTAGCTTCAGCGTCCTCCAGCACATCCACCAGGGACGTACGATGCAGTGTGCGATGTTTTGAGCCAGCCTCGGCAACCGAATCCTCTTCGGTGTGTTGAATCACAAAACCGAGGGCCTTCTCTGGCGCTACCGAGAAGTGGCCACTTTTCGCGTCCGCGCCGGATACCCGATGCTCATGACAGCCATTTTCGACGGTACATCGAACAGTCCCAGTATTTTCATGAGGTATATCCTTCGTCTCGGTGGTTTGAATCGCCTTGTCGGGCACGGATTGGGGATCGGTCTGCGATGGCGCACCGGCTTCTACCACCGGTGCGGCGGAATCGGAGTCGACAGGTCGCTTCTCGGTGTTGTCGTGAAACCCGTTGACGTCGGGCATTGCGAATAAGAGGTCAGTTGGAAGTGAAAAGGAGATGATAGTGTAGCAAGCATAATCTGTGTCTTAGCTGCCGTGTTTAAGGCGAAATCCAGCTTCGGCGGTGACGATGGCGTCCACGCGGCAGGAGACTGCCAGGTTCCCAGCGCAGATGGCTATATTAGAAAAGTCAAAGGCATTCCGTGAAAGCCATTAAGGCTGCGCTTATCAGCCGTTCACAAGTAGGGGGCCCTCAACTAAGGGGTTTGGGGTGAAAATGGTGGAGTCTGGATTATGCGTGGAGCTCAACTGTTGCGGCCCGCGGCCCATCCGCCATGTCAGGACTCAGATCACGACTCAAAGGCGGTTGTCGGACGCCCGGAGGGCCGGCGCCCGGGACGCGCCTATCCTAATTAGGACTAGCGCAGCACGTGATGGTTAAGGTTTTTTTATAATTTACTGCTTGTTATATATAAATAATTTAAAGGTTTACTATAAGTAATATTATTAGCTAGTTATTAAGTTATAAGCCCTTAAACTTTTTTAACTATTTTAAAATATTATTTAAAACTTTTTTAAGTGCTTTTATAAGCTTTAAAGCTTATAATAAGTATTATTATATACTTTTTTTACTTTTTTAAAGTATAATTTTTAATACCTACTATTTATAAATTAATAAAACTATAATTTTTTAATTAATTAAAACTTAATATTTAATATAACTAAGCTTTAATAAGCTATTTTTATTATAGGAATACCTAATCCTATTATAAAAATACCTTAATAAATAACTTAATTAATAAATCCCCTTAATCCCTTGCTTAAATAAGTATATTATAAATATTATTTATTTAAGGCCATGGTTCCTATTATTATATACTTACTTAAAATTAAATTTTTAGGCTAAACTAATTATAATAAATAATTTAATTAAGTAAAAAAATATTTATAAGCCCTATGCTTTTTTTAATTAATTAATTTTTTACTTACCAGGCCTCCCAAGAATAGGCTATATTAAAAATAATAAAAAAATTACTTAATACTTATTACTAATTAGCTTTTAGGCTAAGTTAGCTATAAAATCTATACTAAAGTTATAAAATTCTTATATTTAATAAAATATACTAATAAAATATTTAATATAATTTACTAAATTATTATTAAATGTGGTAGCAGATTGCACCGTATGCAAATAAAAAGAGTCTTGATTTTTAAGTAAGCTGTAGAGCGGTTAAAATATCTTTATGTTATATAACAGGGCGGTAATATAAGGCAGAACCTGTATACCTAAAATATGGCCTGTATATAGCTATATATCCCCCCTGTTAAAAAGTATAGCGTATAATAAGAAAAAAGAGCTAAATGCTAAGTTAAAGCTACGCTTAATAAATAAAAAAAATAATATTATAAAATAAAAGTTAAAAAAGCCTAATAAATAAAAAAAAAAGATTTTTTAGTAATAAAGTAAAGCTTAATATAAACTAAAAACTAAAAAAAACACTGTAAAGCAGCTAGTAACTAAAGTTAAGCTTAATAAGAAAATATAAAATAGTGTTAAGGAATGTAAAAGTGTTAAAAAAGTATAGAAAAATAGGGTATTATAGTATTTAAAGTAGGTGTATTATTAAAGCGTAATATAAATATAAATAAAAATAAAATAAAGTAAAGATAGGGTATTACATGGGCATAAAATAGCCTTTAAAGTATAGTATAAAAAGGCTAGCTATAGACTAGCTTATTTTTTTTTTTATATTTAAGGTAGGTGGTAAAGTACTTATATATAATCTATACCTTTATATTATAGGATACTAGGTTAAAAATCTTACTTTATATATTTTTTAAATAATTAATATAAAATATTTTTAAAGCTATAAAAAGCTTTGCTATATTATTTATAAATATTATTTTAAATAAATATTTTAACATATTTTTAATATAGTTAATAATTACTTTAAAAGCCTATTCCTAAAAATAACTAGCCTTAATATTTTTTTATATAAAGTTTAAATAGTGTTTCTTATATAGGCCGCGCAGGGTAATTAAATAATAATTTAGTTTTACTTTTTTTTTTAGGTTTTTAGGTGTTAGTAGGCTAATTATATTATAAATATTAATAATATATAATTTTTAAGTTATAGCAAAGCTTATTAAATAAACTATTAAAAAATTTACTAGGTTTCCTATAATTTAATAACATGCAACTATAAAAAATACTAAGTATATATTAAAAATAGCTAACTAGTTGCCTAGCTATTATAATACTACTAAAGTGTTTAAATACTTAAACTAAGTATTATTTTAAGGCGTGTTTTATTAGCCTGGTACGCTAAAAAAATTACCAGCGCTAAAATTAAGACCAAAAAGCCCAGGACCAGGGGGGCTAAAAAGTCTAAAATTACCAGCGCTTTTAAAATTATTAAAAAGGTTTTATATAATCCTTATGGTATTTATAAGGTTTAGTAAGGTATAATTTATTTTATAGTAAATTTCCTGCAAGCACTGCTAAATAATACCCTTTATTTTTATAATTATTTACTAGTAGTTAGTAATATAAACTTTAATATTATATTAAGCCTAGTTAGCTCTGCCCTTTAATATATTATACTTATAAAATATTTTTTTTAGGCTAAAATAAAGTATGCTAGTAAACTAGTTCCTAAAATTTAGGTATTTTATTAATTTTATAGTGGCGGCTTTTTTATCCCATGCCTTTTAAAACTAAATAGTATATAACTTATTTATATTAGCGCGTGTTAGTATTTTAGGAAAGATTTTTAGTAATATAATATTAACCTTTACTTTTTTTTATAGTTTAATAAGTAGGTTTACTTTTTTTATATACCTTTTTACTTGCTACTTAGTAATTTATTTAACTATTTTTTAATATATTATTTATAATATATTTAGGTTTACCTTTGCTAGCTCCAGCGCTATCTTTTAAAATTTTTTTTTTAAATATTTAATATAATAATTTTTTTTAATTATACCTAGCCTGGCTTGGTTTAATAACTAGTAGCTATTTATTTTAAAGTTTTTAAGTATTATTATTACTACTATATATATATTAGTAATATAATTTACTTAATTATTTTTACTAAAAACTACGGGAGTTCTAGTAAAACCAAGCATGTAGCTAACTTACCATGTAATTAAAAAATAAGATATATACTTAGGTAAAGGTATTAAGTTTAGTTTTATATATTTTAGTTTTTTAATATTAGCTTTGCTTAGTATTATTTTATATATTAAAAATAGCATAATAATTAATAAAAAGGGGGCTAGCTTTTTATACTATATTACCTTAGGCTTTTTTTTTTAAGGTATTTTACTTAAAATAATTTTTTTTTTAGCCTAACTTAAAATTTATATTTATATATAGTTTTAAGGGAAAAAAAAAGCTATGCCTCTTATGTATTTATAAGGCTTAATTACTTATTTAGCTTAAATTTTTAATTATTTAGGTAAGGTGGAAGTGCGGGGTAAAAGTTAATAGTAAAAGGTTATATTTAAAATAAGGTAAGGCTAACTCTTAAAACCGCGAGTAAAAAAAAAATACTAGGAGAATTACCCTAGTATATAGTAATAAAAAAAATAATAAAACACGCTTTAAATATAAAAAAGCTGTTAAAAGAAAGAAATATAAAAAAAAAGGATAATTATAAGTAAAATAAAAAAGTAAATAATAAAAAGGGAAATAATTATAGGTAAAATAATACTAATGCCAGCTGCCTAAATACTATATAAAAAAAAAGATTTATAAAACTTAAAATAAAAAACTTAAGATAATATATGCACTTTTAAAATAAAAAAATCTTTTTTTAATATCTTACCTTTTTTTTATAATATTTATTATATACTGCTTTTTAAACTTCTTTACTAAATTTATGGCGTTTTATAGCTAGGATTTATAGTACTAATAGTTATAATAATTTAATTATTTAATATATTTTACTAGGTATTTAGTTCCTCCGTGCTTTGCTTTTTTTTTATAATTATTATTTTTAATTTATACTTATATTATTTACCTTTTTTTTTTAATTTACGCGGACAGCCGCGTTACTATTTTCCTAATTTTTTTAGCTAATTTTTTATTATATTTAAGGTACTACCACTTACTAGGTTATTTAACCCTTTTTTATATTAAAATGGGTCTTTACTAACCAGAGCCTTTTTTAAGTATATTACTAAAATCATAAGGTATAGTAGCCACTTAGCCAGAAAATTTAATTAATAAGCAAGTAATTTAACACGCTTTAGTACCTTAAAAAGGCTGCTATACTAGTTTAATAACTTCTTATTTAGTATATTTTTAATTAAATATTCTTTATAAAGGCGGAGGTATACTAAGTTACTAATTATAAAAAATATAAAAACATGGTGTTTATTATACTACTTTTTTATTAATATTTATACTAGTTTTATAATATTTATTACTATTTTACAAGCTATAAAAAACTATTTAACCCTTTTTAGCTATAGGCTAATATTTATTAAAAAATATAGGTTTATGCCGTACATAAAATACTAAAAAGTCTTATTTATAGTCACGTGCCTAGTACTATTATAAATAATTTAAAAATAGGGTAATATATTTAACTACTTAATATTAAACTTAAGGCCTGTAATAGCATATTATAGGTAAGCTTTAATTATTTAATTATTAATTTTAGTAGCTTTATTACCCTAAGAATACCAGGCCGTGGTAAATAAACCTTTTATACTAAAATATATAAAAATTTTTAACCATATATTTAAAAAAAACTTAATATTATAATTTAAAATAATATATAATGGTAGCCCCTAATTTCCTAATTATAAGTATTTTAATAATATATTAGCCTATTATTTTATAAACTAGTTATTATAACCTAGGATAGCTATTATACAGCGCAAAAAATAATTTATAACTAATATAATTATATTAAACTAGCTATTATCTAGTAACACTAAAATTAAATTAATTAATATTATTTTAAATAGCTTAGGTATTACTAGGATAGGTTACAGTGCTTTATATAATTTAT